GCAGATGAATCAGTCGTGTGCCACAAGGAAAACTATCCATATGCTGTCTTCTACTGCCACAAGACCCAACGCACCCGGTTATACGTGGTCCCAATGAAAGGCGCGGATGGGACGGAGGCGAAGGCCATCGCCGCTTGCCACACCGACACGTCGGCATGGAACCCGAAACACTTGGCCTTCCAAGTGCTCAAGGTTAAGCCAGGGACTGTGCCCGTTTGCCACTTCCTTCCTGAGGACCACATTGTGTGGTTTCACAACTAGGGACTTCGCTGTTAATGAGAACATGTGGTCACTCTCTTGGTATGTATTATTGTTGGAGGGTGCACATGTCATAAGTTTGTATGGAGCCAGTTTAGCTCATATAAGCAATACATGTACTTCTTGTTATGCAGACTAGTAAGTATAAGCAGTTTGTGGTATGTCACGACATCTTAGGTTAGTTTTATGAAATATATCCAGTATTATTATCTAACGGTTTAAGCTTTAGCTCAATTCACATGCTATCTTTCATATTTGAGTTATACATGGAGTATCTCTAATACTTTATGAGATGGAATCTACATTCAAGTAGTGCGCCTTATCGACTCGAACTTGGATCGCTTACATTCGCATTTTTCAGTTATCACTTCATCACCCAAATGACAAGATGCCCCAGCCTATCCATGTGTCTTGATGTTTCAATTCACAGAAAAATTGGTGACTAGAGATAAGTGATGATTGCTTCTCATTAGCACCTTCCTAATGTCAATTTTTAAGAAATTAGGAACTCGTATGGCCCAGTCTTCATGAGAATAATTTATCTCTAATCCTTCTCGTTCCTCACTCTTGGCATCAGAATAGTGGATATTAAAGCTGAGTTGGTGATGATCCCGCTATCTCAAAATTCTCCTTGCTTGACTTCTCCCCTTTTATGAATCTCTCCCTAAGGCCTAGCTCAAGAAAGAGGCTTCTCCAAATAAATTAATCGAGATGGAACTGAACTCAATTAAAATGAGGGAAAATTCTAAATAAGGACCTGAAGTACCTTCATTTTCTCAAATAAGGGCTTGAAATGAACCTTGTCTCAAGTTGTCTTATAAGTATTTTAGGACCTGAAGTGCCTTCATTTTAGTGTGGCATGAGTGAATATTGAAAGTCGCTGCGATGGAATACATCTTTACTTCTCCATCTTCACAGCTGATCGGCTTATCTTTTTTTTTTTCATTAAGTACATAAAGGGGTGAAGTAGAAAGTTAGGTTAAGGACGAGATAAGAAAACAAAATGTTTCGTGCGATTCTGCATATAATCTGTCCAATGTTCTTCTTTTTGTTACTTGTTATCAACCTCAAATAATAATGTTTTCTCTCTCTCCAGCTATGCTCCACCTGTCTCACAAGATGTAAATGCATTGGTTGTACGAAGGCCGGGGGAAGTTGAAATGATTAAGCCTGCATCAGCGGCATCTTGTGTCGGTGGGTTATGTTATGTAAAGCTTTAGTTTGAATTCTTCACCTCTCTATCTGCCTTGTAAATTTGGAACTTCATTCCTCTCTTATTTCCATGTAAATCTTTATCTCTCTCTGACTGAATCATCCTCCTACTGTAGATTTTGAGCTTCAATAATGGAGTTCAGACTCCTGCATGTCTTAGCTTCTCTCACAGTACGTACTTTCTTTGAAGAGATGTCACTTTTAGTTTAGGGTTAATACCACAAAAAACCTCAAACTGATACACCCGTGACAATTTTACTCTAAATTAATTTTTTGACCACAAAAAACCACAAACTGGTACACCTATGACAAATTTACCCCAAACTAATTTTTTGACTACTAAAAATCCCAACCCGGTACATTTGTGACAAATTTACTCTCCATTAGTTTCCGTTAAATTAGATTAATATCATAAAAAATCACAAACTGGTACACCTATGACAAACAAAGGGTAAAACATAAAATCGGTACATCAGCCAACTGCCGCATGTCATTTAACAAAGCAATTTGACAGTAAAATTTAACGGAAATAAATTGAGGGTAAATTTGTCACAGTCGTATCAATTTAGGATTTTTTGTGGTTAAAAAATTAGTTTGGGGTAGAATTGTTACAGGTGTATCAGTTTGAGATTTTTCGTGGTATTAACCCTTTAGTTTAACACACGAGGCTTGTCTCTTGGAACTTCAACAAATTTTTGCTTTTTTTTTATTGCGAGTTCATTATGTTGGTAATCCTTCAATTTTTTAGAAGCTAAAAGAGACTTTCGTTGTTGTGGAATTTGGTGCAGGTGATTCTGCCGACTTCCCATGGAGCTCCAACTCCAGAACTATTCTGGAAGTGTTACCCTACACACAAATGCCAAAATCCATCAAGGACGTGTTACAACAACAGTCAGGTTTGTGCTCAAACTCTTGAAAAAAAAAAAAACTATATATCGCACCACCAGCTAAAAACGAGGGCAAGAAAATTTGCGCTTCATCTAGTTTGGTCAAGAAGCTGACCGAATCGAAACTAAAAACATGAAACATTAAGGTAAGATAGCTTGTAAGTCACATGTCAGCACGTACCTTCTATTTCTCAATGGATTCCCAGAAAATCTGACAAATGAAACCGGTAAGATCTGAGTTTTTGTTTGATAGATATAAGGTCATTTCATGCTAGTCTAGAGCAGAAGTCTTAATTTATAATAAATTACTTGTTCTAATTTATATGAATGCAATCTAGATTAAATTTACATGGCTTGGTTGGCCTTTGCCAAGATGTGCACATCCTCTCTTAATTTTTTATGAACAATGATAATAATGGCTCTAAGAAAGTATTAAATGAGAGTCTACAAACAAGTTGGCCACATGTCGATCAATCTTAGTACATCTACCTTTATTTTTCTCTGATACTAGTTGAACTTAAGTCCGCTTACCAATTTTTTAGACTTCATGGGAAACAAGACCACCTCAGTTGACGTAGGCAAAGGTGGAGTGAACGTTGATGCCGGCAAGGGAAAGCCTGGCGGAACCACAGTTGGCGTCGGGAAAGGCAGCGTTGGGGTCGACACAGGGAGCCCTGGAAAGGGGTCCAGCGTCGGAGTTGGCAAAGGAGGAGGAGTCGTGCACACAGGCCACAAGGGCAAGCCCGTCTACGTCGTGGTCAAGCCCCGATTCAGCCCATTCATCTACAACTACGCTGCATCCGAGACCCAACTTCGTGATGCTCGGAACGTGGCCCTCTTCTTCCTGGAAAAAGACCTAAAACCCGGAACAACAATGACTTTGCACTTCACCAAGACTTCAGACTCGGCCGCTTTCTTGCCCTGCGAAGAAGCAAAAACCCTACCATTTTCATCTGACAAGCTACCTGATATCCAGGACCACTTTTCCCTGAAACCCGGATCAGTGGAAGCCGAAATAATGAAGGACACTATCAAGGAGTGTGAAGAAGCAGGCATCAAGGGAGAGGAAAAATACTGTACAACCTCATTGGAGTCCATGATTGATTACACCAAGTCCAAGCTTGGAAACAATGTCAAGGCTATCTCTACAGAGGTGAACAAAGGGACCCAGTTGGAGATATTCACCATCAATGCAGGAGCGAGAAGAGTAGCAGCAGACGAATCAGTGGTGTGCCACAAGCAAAACTATCCATATGCTGTCTTCTACTGCCACAAGACCCAACGCACCCGGTTCTACGTGGTCCCAATGAAAGGCGCGGATGGGACGGAGGCAAAGGCCATCGCTGCTTGCCACCCCGACACGTCGGCGTGGAACCCGAAACACTTGGCCTTCCAAGTGCTCAAGGTTAAGCCAGGGACTGTGCCCGTTTGCCATTTCCTTCCTGAGGACCACATTGTGTGGTTTCACAACTAGGGGCTTCGCTGTTAGTGAGAACATGTGGTCACTCTCTTGCTCTGTATAATTGTTGGGGGGTCCACATGTCATTAGTTTGTATGGAGCCAGTTTAGCTCATATAAGCAATAAATGTACTTCTTGTTATGCAGACTAGTAAGTATAAGCAGTTTGTGGTATGTCACGACATCTTAGGTTAGTTTTATGAAATATATCCAGTATTATTCTGTAACGGTTTAAGCTTTAGCTCAATTCACATGCTATCTTTTATATTTGAGTTATACATGGAGTATCTCTAATACTTTATGAGATGAAATCTACATTCAAGTAGTGCGCCTTATCGACTCGAACTTGGATCGCTTACATTCGCACTTTTCGGTTATCACTTCATCACCCCCAATAACAAGATGCCCCAGGCCCCATCCATGTGTCTTGATGTTTCAATTCATAGAAAAATTAGTGACTAGAGATAAGTGATGATTGCTTCTCATTAATTAGCACCTTCCTATTGTCAATTTTAAGAAATTAGGAACTCGGATTGGCCCGGTCTTCATGAGGATAATTTATCTCTAATCATCCTCATTCCTCACTCTTGGCATCAGAATAGTGGATATTAAAGCTGAGTTGGTGATGATCCTGCAATCTCAAAATTCTCCTTGCTTGACTTATCCCCTTTTATGAATCTCTCCCTAAGGCCAAGCTCAAGAAAGAGGCTTCTCCAAATAAATTAATCGGGATGGAACTGAACTCAATTAAAAAAATAAAAAATCTCAATTAAAATGACTTGCTATTGTCAAATCGGATTCAGAAATTACCAAGAATATAACTTTGGAAAGGAAATAGTCTTTTGTTTGTTTTTGAAAAAATTATATATATTTGCAGCAACTTGCGGTCATCTCATCTTTCCAAGATGCTTTTTGCCTCGTTCTCTAGGCCACAAGGTACTCTGCTGTAATTGCTTTTCTTTGTTGAATATGCTAGAACTTTGTAAATTCGATTGTGAATCGGTGTGGCATTTTCATTTGATGTTGAAAATTCCTTATTTCATCAACAATTTGACACAACAATTTATTAACAATTCTGGTCGATGTCAAGAAAACCTCCTCACCTTTGTGCTAAAAAATAATTGAACGTGTACGTTATTGCTCACAAGAAATTAGTCTGAGAACAATCGAAATTTTTTCCAGACATTTTCCTGAACCACCTCAACTTAAAGTACTCTCATACCATTTGGGACCAACATGAGACGAGGAAACATGTATACAAAGCTCCAATTTCCAAGAACAATTATTCTTGCAATTCGGAAAAGGTCATCACTTCGGTTGATTCTCAAGGGCAATAGGAGCAATGCCAAGGGTTAACAAATTTCGTCGAACGACACTGTGACATCTTGAACAACTTAGCTACAAGTTACACATAACTCAAGCATGGAACTCAGGTCAGTGGCCACCCGTCTTGAAGGGCCACATGTTCATCATACACTTCCTTACGCACATGTAGATGAGCCCCTTAAGTTAAGAGAAACGGAAACAAAGCCAAAGCACAAATGCCTGTACCAGAAGACCCCAGTGGTCATGGCCAAGTGGTTTGGGACGAGAACATCGGAATCCGACAGAGAGACTTTGCAACTGCTGCACTACCAACAATCCTGAACGGAATATAATGAGGGTGAACATTCCGAGAAAAGCGGAAAAATTAGAAGAAATAGCATTTGGAATTAGCTGAAGAAACCTAATCAAGTATTTGCCTCGTACTTCCAATTCCTCATAAGCTCTGTCTGAGTTGAACATTTCAATGTCCGGTTGGGGAGGGAGCATACATTTCATTTCTCCAGTGATACAGCAACGTCCACTTCTCTGATATATCACAGCCACGCAAGCCCGTTATAAATCCTTTAAAAGGCACCATCAGAAGTCGTCTCAAATGAAGCACACTGCAAAGGGAAAAACCTCCATTAAAATTTAAAAGTGGGTGTTCTCACATAGCTGCTGAGTTTTACAACAACAAAAACAACCAAATATTATCCCAGCAAATGAGGTCACAAAGTGGGTTTTTTCTTATAACTGTGGCATATCTTATGTCAAGTTTTACATGACATCCAAGCGCTAAAAAATGTTATGGTCTCAATCCACGTCCTCTCAAGTCTTTGGCGGCCCTTCTGACCCACATCCCCACCATAAGGTCGAGTCTTCTCACGGGAGTATCTTAAAGGTCGTTCTTTCCTGTAAACCACCTTAAATAAATTTATTTGGTTTCGTCCTCAACTGGACAAACCAATTTTTCCTCAGATACGCACATTTTGATTCCCATCTTTTCTTGCCACAAATCCAGTGAAGCGTTACTATCCGCAAAAGATGTTTTTTCACTAAAAAAAAAACATTTCCACTCGCTCACAATATTATGATCCAGTCACATAATCATCACATGTGATTAGAATGTACTCCCATGATCCAACTTTCATAAATAAAACAGGAGTAACTGGAGGCAAAATTATGTTCTCTTTGCTTTCATTCATTTAATTTTTTCTTTCCTTCCCCTTATCCCTTTTGTTCGGGTGGGGTTGCTAATCATTCCTGGATTCTAATGGCTCGTCAAACAAAGGTTACAGAAAACAGCAGGAAATCAAACTGCACTTCCCATACTGGCAAACAAAAGAAGATTGACGGAAGCAAACCTGCATGATCAGATTCAGAGACGGAGCTCAATCTAAAGTTCTTCAAACACCAGCTCCTCTGCTGGACCATCCACAAAGCGCCACTATGACAAATGATGCCTAAAAGGACATGCAAGTGAAATCAGTTTCCACTTCTATCCCACTTAATGATGAGAATAATGCAAATATCATTAGGAAAAAATTCTGTAGTTGACGGTCCTGAGTGACACGGGCAAAAGAAGATAAATCCGTATTAATTCAGAGTGACATGTAGCTCTCTAGTTGCGGGGTTTCTCTATGCCAACTAATCATTGGTGTAAACGTGTTTCTTTCTAGTTCCATTCCTTCCTTTGATTAATCAATGCCATTTGTTGAGGGGTCGTTCCCACAAACTAAATGAATAAATAATTAGGTTGCGCGCGCGAGGGACAGTGAGAGTGTATCATATTAATAGCAATATCATATATATATGTGGGCAAAAGCTCAAAAATATAGGCAGGCTATCATGAACTGGTCATTACCTCACTGGAATTCTAGTCACTCTGCAAATTGGCATCCTTGCAAGCCGTACCCAACTTGCCAGGACACTTAAAATCATACAATTTGGAGAAGCAGCCCAATGCAGAATTAACCACCAATTTTCATTCTAGATGTACCCACAATGCATAAATTAGACGAGGACAGCATATTCTCCAGTGGTAGCTCCTGAACTTGCCTGCTTTGAAGCAGCAATTGCTTGCCAACTCCAGGAGAACTGTCTTAATGGGCCTCTCTGATGATGGAAAGAACGATATGCCTGGTCTATGAGCCAACTTTCTCCACTGGAGCATTCACTGTGCTCCCAAATAAGCAGGTCTTGTACCTAGAGACATTGACCCACATCTTCGTTCTCATCTAATGTCAGAATGTCCAGACATTTGTTGAACAGATAGAAGCTGGTAGTGGAAAGTTCCGCCTTATTGATCAATTTATTGGAGTAGATATACAATAAAGATCTTTTGTTACCTAAGAACCACCGGCTACAACTTGCTCTTGATTTTCTGTGCAAAAAGGCTCCAAGGAACCCCAAGTTCTCCCAACTTTCAATTTGACATTCAAAGGAACTGAAGAACGAAACATAAAATTATTTTTAAATCAAAACACGCAAAACTGTATATGTCATTGGCAAATGTACTTGAAAATAAGAAACAGCAGAGAGTACGGGATCCTGATTTGTTCTTCAAACTAATAAGTTATCAAACATAAAGAAACAGATTACCCCTAAGTGAGACAGCATTTTCCATGCTCCTTTGCAGGAGTAGCGCAGCATCCTTTAGAACAGTAGGATCGACTTCAAGCACTAATTCGTCATGGACCTGAAAAGCAACATTCGTGATTAACTAGAGCTCCACATATCGTGACCTTACAGTATATCCTAGAGAAGAAACAGAGTGAAGACTCAACAATTTGTTTTAGTCAGTAACAAGAACGAGTCAGGGTAAGAACGTTTAAGGAATGAAAAAGAGTCCAAACTATCAAAATTCACAGTCAGTAGCGTGTCCTTCTGTTGTTTCCTCAAAACTCAAGTTATCCAATAGTGGCATCGCAAGAGGAGAAAAGAAAGATCTTGACAAAGCGCAAATACCTTTAGTCTAGTCTAAACTTATAAGATTTAATTGGACTCGCAATTTGTTTCATTGCTCATATTCCTATGCTTTAATATCAAAATTTGATAATTCATATGTATCGGCTCAATAAGCTCAACATCTTTTCTAGAAAAGATAGATAGTCAAAGCTCCAAGAATTTCTCAGCTTCCAACATCGGAATTGTCCATACTCCATAATTACCAATAGACAAACTGCATTTAACATCTTTCTCTGAAAGAAAAAAAAATAAAAGTGATTACAACATTGTTTTAAAAACCTTTTAAGACATCTTACATATGAATACTGACTTTCCTTACAAGTTTGTCGATCATAGTTAATGAAGCAAGTGAAGCTAGATAGTTCACAGCCAGTATTGATGTTATGACCACAGAATTGTCACTCACTCATCTTAGGTCAGTCACAATTATCCTCCAAAGACAGATGAAATGCAACTCCAGCTTTTAAGAAAAAAGATAAACATATAAACAGATAACAATACCTGCAACAGAATTCGACACCGGCCCTTCAGCATGTGAAAATTTGTCTCGCGCAGAGAGCTAGAATCAAATTCAATTCCAAGTATCACTGAGTGAATATTTATCATCGCTATCTTGATTATGTCAGCTGCAGATCCCTAGAATGAATAAAATTGTCAGAAAACCAGAACAGTTTCATATTAGAGGGGGAAAAGGAGCCAATAGACAGAGGAAGAAAAATAACAGATACTTTACCTGACAAATCGAATGAAAAGACAGTGAGAAACCATTATATGAATGCTTCTTTCCACCATTACAATGGAAAGAAATTAAAGTAAAGAGAGTGGTAGAATGCTATACCTGACAAATTGAATTTACAGCTTGCCTCTGAGCTTTTGATTGTTCGTTGCTATTTCCAAATTTTATTTTCGACAGGAAACGTTTTCTTCCCTTCAAAGTCTCCACATACCTAAACCAAACCATAGCTCAGAAAGTATATGGTTCACCTTACCAACCAAATGTTTCGAACTTTAAAAATATCAAGGTAAGTATCATTACATCTACTGGTCAATGGGGAGGAACCATTTTTCTTTTCCTGAAATTACAAATACCAATTGAATAAACATTTTTTGAAATGGGGTGCTGAGTATAATAAGCTTATTGTTGAAGACTGCCAAGTGACATTTGTTTACCCAATATGATGGTTAACATGTCGAGCCAAAACCATGCTCAAGTCTGGCAGAGTCTTATTGGCCTTTTCTCTTTTTCATCTCCACAACCATCCCCCCACCCCCCTCCCAAAAAAGAAAAAGAAAAAAAGAATAACTAAATAATAAACAAAGAAAAAATGGAAGCTTCTAAGTTAAATGTAAAACCAGTTAGAAAGTGTAGACATTGGATCCAAATTCCAATCATAAAACATTGCAGTTGTTAATTAAATGCCTATCTTGATTTTACTAAGTTAAAAAGGAAGACAGGGTTGCATGAAACAGACAGGAGAGAAGCAAGGTATCGCTACCCTTTCTGACGGCAAGATGAGACTGCCTCACGAAGCCAAGAAGCAACACCAGGAAAGCTTGTTTTAAAGCTTTGAATTTTTTCTGTGGCTCCATCAGGGGTACAATCCAATTGTTCAGCTAAGGTCTTAGCACCCATCCCATAAATAATGCCATAGACCATACGTTTTGTTTGATCACGTTCATGGGAGCTAACAGCATCTTCTGTCTTTCCCGTCCATCGAGCTGCTATCATTTTAAAGACATCCCCATTAGGCTTGCTCAGCAGTTCAATCAGAAAAGCGTCTCCAGAGAAATGTGCCATCAACCGTAGTTCGATCTGAGAATAATCTGCTGTTAATAACAACCAGTTCTCCTGAAAAAAGAAATCCAAGTAAGATACGTAAGAGGAAGCTGTTTCTCAGCTGCGAAACCCATTGTTAACCCCAAAAAGATTCACAGAAAAATGTCAGGATGCTCAACCCACTCAGGCTAATCCTGGCACACAAAGGAATGCACATGCAGACACACCTGCACGTAGTACACACAAACAAGGAAATAAACTGCCACCAACCCAAAGAACATGATTCGTGAACAACCCACAAGGAAATCTCTTCTCAGCTGAATGTTGTGAAAGCTAACCCACCCCCATCGCCTCCTTGCACCATTTGAATCCTCCAACTTTACAAAGAGATTCTACAGCCTGCACAATGGTCTATGTTCTAGTTCTATAACCACACTGCTCCAGTCATATTCAAACTGTAAAGTCACAGGGTTTGGCATGTGCTATACCAGTAGCAATAATATCAACATATTACCTCTACCGAGTAAACTTATTAGACTCCCATGCATAGTTGTATTGAGAAAAATTCATACACAAATCAGGGAAACCTTTTCAAATTGTTTTAGCATACAGCTAGTTGTGACAAAAGGCAAACAAAGTTAAAGATTATACATGGAATTTGCATCATCTGATGACTTTTAAATATAAATTACGCCAAACTACAGTCAACATTTATACTACTACGGTTATCAACATCGAAATTACTTTATCCATTCAAATATTTTCTTCAACTTACAAAAGTAGTAATTTCGAAAGCAATAATTTTCGAGACTGAATCTGCTTTGGAGATTTTGGAAGTACTGCCATGATGCATAGAGAAAGATACATCTATCTAACCATGATGAAAGCACCTTACATGAACTTAGCTTGATAAGCAATACCTGAGTAGGAACAATGAAATCTCGAGCATTGATTTTGTGATGATCTGCACCATTTTCAACTGCAGTCTTATCTGTATTCATCTTGAATTCAACCGCATGCTCAACACACTGCACAATTTAGTTCTGATCAATGTCTCCATCCAACAAGAAAGAAGATTATCATGACAGGAGCGAAATATAGATTAAGCCAAAACAAAACCCAGACCTGAAGATTAGGCTCTTCCATTGATAGCCGTCCAGTTGCTGTTGATGTCTGTAGCCAGTGGCCGTGGAGTGTGTACTTCTGAGTACTTGTAGAAAGCCTGGAAAGGGAACAAATTGATCCAAGCGTACAGTTCCGGAGCTTTGCCAACGTTCTATGCTCTTTGATGATGGGAATAATAGGATGTTCATTCCTGAGTAAATCAATATTCATTCTATCATATAATTGTTCCGCACCACACTAAAATACTTTTAAGACAGTCTGAAGGAAAACTTAAAAAATGCACCTAAGCATCAAATTAACTAAATATGGAATGCAAGTCAAAGAATGGAAGAGCAAGTCATCGGCAATGCAAGCGGAGACCAGTAACCACATCCTATAAGTGGTGTACTACACCACCAGTACGAGGCAAAAATATGTCTTCACTATAGCAAATGACACTAGTAGTACATGAACAACTTCTAAACAAGCATAAGACAAAGTAAAATATAATATCCACACAGGTTCAAGATCAGATAAATATGAAAGAGATCAAATGTAATTTTCTTTTCTCTGTAATACCTTAATAAATCCAAACAGTGCTTGTCTGTGCTTGGATGTTGTTTTCCTTTCCCAAGGACTTCGGGTATGGGCAATTTTAGATGTCCATAAAGGACATTTGCAATATCTGCAGCTGCATAGAGTGAGAATGTAATCCCAGCCAATCTATAAGCTTCCTTCTCAAGATGCCTCAACTTTTGCCCCAAAATGTTATGTGCCTGGAGGCACCCCTCCAGGTCAACACCTATTCCCCAGAGCTCCATGTCTGCAAGAACCTTAACCTGAAAACACAAGCATCAAACGGATGTCAAAAGATCCAAAGAAGATTGTCACGACTAGTGAGATGATAATCATTGCAACACATAACTCTACATCCCAAGAAAGACACCCCTCAACAAGCTTAAGCTCTAAAGAACCATACTTTGAGAATGGATTTATGAGCAATACATAGAAAACATTGGAGAAGCAACATCTCTGGCATTAAATATTATGACTTAATCAAACCAAGTCAAAAGCAGGTGGGGACCCACTAAAACAATCATCAAATGTTTAATCTTGGGTTTTATTTTAATCAGTTTGCTGGGCTACCCAACCAGAGGTAGCCCTCCCCTTTCCCAACCTCACTCCTTGATGAATGTAATTTGACTCAAAGTCCTCGTTATCAGAATGTAAGCACTTAGCAGCGCAACTGGCTGCATCATCCTTACACCTTTTCTTTAGCCATCCAGACAAAAAAAATTTACAGGTCTAAAGTTGTGAATCTATATTTTATCTTGAACATTTCATGCGTGATGCAATGCAAAACTTACCAGTGGAACTTCAATCATCATAAGTGGTTCGAATAGTTCTTCATCGATAAGTAATTTCCAAAGAACAGAACGTAATGCTCTCGTCTGCGCCACCCGTCGACAGCAACCATCATGTGCAGATTTTCTCATTTGATTCTTCCACCTGCCACAGCGATGAGCAGCTGCGGCCACCTCACTTGGTAACCTTTTCTTGACTTCCTGTTTTACAATCAAAACAACTTCAGATGTGAATTGTTAAAATACATATCCGTACAAGAAATCTTCATGACATATTTGAGCCGTCTCAAAAAGAGCTTTCCTGGGGCAAGAGGAACAAAATCACTAGTTTTATGCTATAACTCTGGTATTAGAAATCCTACAGGAGACAAAGCTGAATAATATGAAAATGGATCCCTCTTATTACCTTCTCCAGGTTTGGACAAGAGCTCCTCTCCTCATCAGGCCACAAAATCCATGCTACAACACAAATATCAATTCCATCGTTCACATTGACAGGTGGCAACACCAAGTATGAGTTATCTAAAATTTCAAGACCCATATCTTTCCCTGCAAGATATGGATGACCAATTCTCTGTACAGAAACTGCAGAATTCCTGAGAACCTGAATCTGAACTTTCAAATTCCACGAAAATTTTTGGACAGATTTTTTTCCCATTATACCACGGATCCTATTCCACCGTATTTTGATGCCTTCCAACCAAGCATGCTGAAGTGAACTTTCATTTGCAGTAGATGATGTTAATAGGTAACTGCTTTTTCTCTCAATGGTCCTCATTAGATCCTTGGGAAGATTAACATAGTATACTGGTGAATTTTCCCAACACACTGCTAAACCACATATCTCGAACGGCGCCACAGAATTCACCTCTTTCCGTTTAGTGTAGTGGATGTCAAAATAAAATTCGTTGGTAGTATCCCAAAGATCCAAGAAAGTATCGATTCCGCCAGGAGTATTAACTGCAGTAACAGGGCCTTTATCTGTGCAATCTTTATTTTGCACGCTGCTTACCGATATCTGAACACCATGATCAACACGAGCATCAGTTCCAACAGAATTTCGGTTTCTGTGACCATAACTCTCTACTAGTATGGTGGTAGTTGTATCAGCATCTTTTCCACAAATAGTTGCAACGTTAGGCTCATCACCAACTGCTATAGGATCTTCAGCCGGGAAGGGAGGCACATTAGCAGCATGAGTTGCAATTTCACTAGTTAACATCACACTTTCTGAAGCATTAGATTCATCAAATGACTTTGTCTCCAACGTCTCCCTTCGAGTCTCTGCAACTCTATTAGATTTCTTGCTCTCCCCGACAATTGCCACAGGCAGAACATGCTCCAAGGATTTCAGACCCGACGTATTATCAGTGGTTTCAACACCAGAGGACGTTCTCACATGCCCTTGTCCCATGTGATTTCCCATCATAGTTGGCACAGGTCGAGAAAATTGCGTGATGTCTAACCCAAGAGACTGGAAGGCAGAGAAGGCAGCAATTCTTGCTTCCTCGGCTTTATCTAGAACAATCTTGCGTGCCCCATTCTTTATTTTTTTGGCAACTCCTACTTGTAAGCGCCTTTGTGCTGAGCTTTCTAGTCATTTATAATCGATACAATTAGTACTAACAAACAGAAAGAGAAGTCCAAGTATATACAACTTCTAAAAGCAGGATATTTTTGTCCACAGCTGAAGTAACATTTGACTTTCAAAAAGAAAACAAGAATCAAACAGAATAAAAGAAATCAACTATATGAATCATGATGTATGTTTCGTCACATAACAAAAGTACATAAGCCCAAAGCAGAAGAACGCAGCGATGCACTATTCATAGAAGTCAATACAAGAAGTTCATAGGAAGTATGGACAAGTTTTTGGCAGCAATAAGTTGTTCTTTCAATTCTTAAAGATTCATTCTAACCAGTGCTTTCCTCTTGTACTAATTTTATAGAAAAGCATGAGTCTTCTCCACTTCCACTCCAACAAGAAAGCTTGCTCCATGTGCATGCTGTGGAATATCTCTTTACACCATTTCTTTGTGTGCTGGTTTAGAGATTGGGAGCTGAAGCCACATTTTCACTTATAGATATCCAAGGAAGGATGTACAAGGACAAAAGAGTAAAATATTAATTATACAAGTATACGAGCAAGTAGCAACTAATGTTGCACACTAAACACGTAATTCTAAATATATATAATAGTCTAATGTTATTTTTCCATTAGTAAAGAATCGATGACATATCAACGATAATTTATCTATTAACACAGTTTGGTAAGTGCAATTGGATTGTTTAAAATAGAGTTCCTCAATCCCTCCACTTTTGTTCCAAAGATGGGACAGAGCTTCACAGGGCCACTTGAAACTTTTTCTCTTTAGTCCTTCCCTTCAAATTTTCCCTCCGTCCCAGAAAAGGATGAAACAATCATTCCTCCTTTTCTTTCCCCTCCTTCAACTCGCCTCTCTCTTTCAACTCTCTCAAGCATAGACTGAGAGTTTGAAAAGAACACAGTGATCCTAACTTCCTGCACAACCATGGCAGGCAAACCCCGTACTTTGTAGCAATTGCATCAAAACATATTTTCAAGGCTAAAAGCAAAGCCAACTACATAATGGCACTGTAACAAGTAGAGATTGAGGTTCAATCAACATGCTTTGTATCTTTCATTTGATGATGAGCTCACATGTTGCATGCATCAATCCATTTTCTTAACCTAATTATGCAAAAGCGATGAACATCCAAATCAAATCCAGCAGCCCATAATTAACATTCAAATGGAGACTTCATCAGATGAGGTAAATGCTGTGTGCGTGCAGTCATGCACCTTTCATTCTATGATCAACCCAAATTTTCTAGTGGAAGCATAGCTTCATCGTTTAACCTATTTAAAAGAAGTCCATAATTATCCACATTCTTACCTTCAGCAGCCCATGAAGAATATTCAAATAGAGCTTTTACTATTTCAGAAGTGGAAGCTTCTGCAATTGCTAAAGGTGTGCGCAGGCCAGCTTTATACAGTGCTCTGGCTCGAGATCCCTAAAATTGGAAACAGTTGTCAAAACCAGGAAAACTAATTGAACTGACACAGAAGCATTCCACCGCTGACCATCAGGAGAAAAGTACTTGCCAACATAACGCATACTTGCCTTAACATATGGGATGTTCGTAAGCTCTACAATCTCTGCTCTCACTCCAAAGGACACACGATTTTGGAACTTGCCAACCAAGCCCTCTAGATCATGCCATCCAAGCCTCTCACAGAATACAGAAACCATTGAAGCAAATCGACCTGCATTTTCTTGTAAAGCTTGAACCATTCCTCTGGCCACTTTATATGCTTCACAGACTTCAGCCACAGGAGCTTCCTTTACCACAAAACTTAAATCATCAATTAAAGCTTCAACATCTAAACACGTGTACACAGTGAATCGCGTATTACATACAAAATGCAATCAGACTATTGATGGAAAATGCACATATGCTATTGGCTTAGACACTGTCAACCACGTGTTAAACAGGTAATACTTGAAAGCTTCATAATGTTTCAGGAGCACCTGGTACTAGGAGCACAGTAAGCAACTATAAAGAAGATAAATCATCTTTACCTGACAAATCACAGTCGTGTTTATCTCCAAGATCATTATCTAAATCATGACTAAGCACCGAAGTATGTCAACATGTTATAGATACTGCATACTCGTAAAATGGGGACAAAAGCCGAACACATAACTTTGTATTGAATTAACTTATAGTATGGCCGGCTGGTACTTGGAGCACATTAAGTTTCAAGGTTTAAGAGTGTAGTACTAAAATTGGTTATACAATAAGGCAGGACCATTGCATTAGCTGTGTTGTATCCTCAGATGTGCCGCAATTACTAGCATTCACTTTTTAAAACTTCTAAAGACAAACACTCCTCATCTATTTACAAGTCCTCAAATGATAGTCATCACAGTGCTTGCAAGGAAAAGTATGAATCATAGGTCAAAATATGTCATGATACTGAGACGGGGAAAGCATGAGAACTATACCTGCACTAATCTTGCCAAAATGAGAGCAACATAAAATCGTTTACACACACGAAATGCTTTCTCATCTGGAAGCACATGGTTGTTTGAGATTCCAGACAGCTTTTGCAATTTACCATGTGATCCTTTTGTATGCTCCCTCAATCTGCCTATGGTGCGCATAGGAGCACCATGTGCCATTCGCATCAAAAAGGGTTCAGACACTCCAACTCGATTCCCAACTGACTGCATCTCATACATTTTAAGGTAAGTTAAACGCATGCACAGATCTTTGATTGTGGAATAAATATGAACAAGAGTATAAACTCCAACTTTCACAGATGTTGCTGAAAGCATAATGGGAATATACAGATGAAGGGAAGGAATTATGGCCCTCCAAATCCGGCCATATGTGCCTACGCAATTGCAGAATATCGATTCCAGCTATCAAAAAGCCATCAAGCTTCATTATAAAAGTAACACTTCTTATAATGGACATTGAGGTAACTGGAGCAAAATAAGACTAAAAAAGGCAATCCGATTTATCATAATCAATTACTCAAATTGTTGAAAGCATATTTTCCTTGCCTTCCAGATATTGATTCACATACAAGAATACAGGGACCAAAGGTCAAAAACACAATCATATTCAACAGTATTTGCGTCATAATACACCATTTATTCTGCCACAAAAGCGTCAGACATCCACATAAAATGACTAAAATATTCGAAATCTCCCAGAACAAACATACTAAATATGCATGGGCTGAAAAAACTATCATAAAGATCTTGGGTAAACTATAAACGCTTGCCACTATCTTGCCCCAAACACCAATAGAGGCTCAAAGCCTCAGGCCTAACCTCCAAACACAAGCCAGGAGATCTCTATGGGACAGACTGAATATTAATGTCAACTGCCAAGAACTAGTTAAAATTATACTAATTACCTGATCCAGAGCAGACAATTCCATGAACCTTTGGTAATAAAGTTCCCAATCTGGCTCGACATCAACATTAGTCGGGGTAACTAAATAAACTAAATGCAGATCAGATGCAAGCACAAATCCTTCTCTAGCTCTAGAAAGATCCTCCAGTACAATCTGCGAAACAAGCAGAGTCAATATATTCCATCGAAGTACATTGTATTAGCAGTCTATACATCATTCCCTCACCCAAAGTATGAGTATCTAAATCTACAGAACTTATCAAGAAACATCTCTGTGAAATTACATGTACATTGACTGGTGCATCAACTGAAAACATGCTAATGTGATCAAGAAGCAAAAGCTTTACCAGTGAGTCATCTGGTGAGAGAGAACTTCCAAAAGCTGCACGCCCGAGAGGAGTTGTACTGTATAACTTGGTTTCCTCATTCCATTCAAGAAACTTTTTGTGACACAACCATCGGAGAGAATCCTGTGCTGATTTAACCACATCTTGAAATGGATTTGTAGAATTGAGAAGAGTACACCTGACATATCGATTGATATCATTAGCAGTTTGAACTATCCCACCAGCAACAACTTCTAAGATCGCATGAGTCATTCCATTTTTGTCCTCAGATAGACAAGAATTCAATGGTGGACAGCTTTCATTCAGAAGGGCGACAATTCTTTTAACCTCTTCCGATCTACAAATAAGTATCTGCACAGGTGTAAATATTTCTATCAGAGATTTAGAATTCTCTTGAATTAGGACAAAGAAGGTACTATTTATTTCAGAGAAGGAAAAGGCTTCTTCAGAAAAAATTATGGGCCATTGTATGTCATTGTGCAAAATGTAAACCACAAAAGCCATGAATAAAATACGTCAAGTATAAATTAATACAAATTCAGTATATGATCCATTTCAAAATAAGAAAGATGTGATTAAAAAGGAACATCAAACATACACTTTCACCCTTGGTATCTATACCAGTCCGACCGGCTCGACCGGCCATCTGCTTGTACCTAGTCCCATCAATAAAATCACGGCCAATTCTGGGTTGTCGGAAAATGACCCTCCTGGCTGGAAGGTTGACCCCAGCAGCTAATGTAGATGTGGCAGTCAAGACACGTAGAAGGCCTCTCCGGTAACAGGTCTCAACTATCTCTCTTTCCTCAACCTTTATATAGCATAGCCATTAGGAATTCTTGGTTATAGAACATTGCGATTTTCACATCAATAGAGGAAAAGGAGTATGAAAGCATACAGTAAGGCCAGCATGGTGGTAAGCAACACCAGAAGGAAGAGTCTCTTCTAATATAGGGTCCAATCCAGCAGGGCTCCTTCTCAAGGCATCGATAGCAGAAGCAATATCAGTAAACTCATCGGAATTCTGAAGATTGACAGAGAACTTCCGCAGAAACTTGGCAACATGTCTTGCAGTTGATTCACAGCCGTTGCGACTTGAGCAAAATATTAAGACTGAATGACCTTCTTGAACAACCTGAAATATGTTCACAATCCATCTTATCAAGTTCACACCTATGCATGTACATGTTAAGTAGAAGGGGAAAGCAATTATTTTCCAACCTCATTGCAAAGTTCTACAATGTGATCTGGATCTTTACCACCAAGTTCGGCTGCTTTTGAAACTGTTCTGATTATGTCCATCTTCTCATTATAAATGGTGTTCCCCACCTTAATATATTCCTCCAATGGAACTGGTCGAAAGTCCGTCTGGTATAATGCAGCCTGCAGGCAAATTTCTGGAACTTAAATTTGTAAAACAAGAGCCAAGACAATCAACAACATGAACATAAACGAAACTTCCTTATTGGGCTAAACTGCTAGAGAACAAAAATTAAAATTCTTAAACTTTTGCAGCAGCAAAACCCAACAAAACAAATGCACTTGCATTTAGAAACAAGTTGATGTGTCCATACATGTAGATACAACAAAATAGGGAGGAAATTACGCCATATACTCTTAGAAGAGTAACATAGAACTCTCTACCTAACTCCTAACTGCTTACAGAAACGATAAGTTCCTGCTGATAACAGGAATATGACCCCTATGATTCACAAACAATGTATATTGAGTAAAAACATTCAAATGCTAGCTAAGAATTCTAATTTGATTGATGTTCACCAGTCCTAGGCTTTCTCTGCCACTAGATCTGTCTCAGGCAATTGAACCAACAGCACAGCCACAATTAACAACCGATTTTAAGTAATTCTTAGCATCACCATCAGTCATGGTAATAAAGACCAAGGGCCTAATAAGTGAAGCAAGCTTTATTCTAACAAAGCCAGCCAATTGGACGACAGAAAGGCAGAGGATGCTCAGTTCTGCTTACCTGAAGCCAATCAGCAACTGCTGCCACATTTGGCATGGTCGCACTCATCCCCACAATTTGCAGTCCACGAGCAGGGTCAGCTCTACTACTGCTAGTATTTGAGCTTTCTCCGCTGCTTGAGTCAGAGTTGCCTTCACCAGCAGCGTAACGGAGCTTTGTCAACATAAGTTCCAAAAGATAACCCCTGCTTTGGTCACCAACCTGTCAGTATTACAGCATCAATTTAAGAATCCAGAAGGAAAAAAAGACCTCCAAAAGATGAACAAAAGATGTCTAATATATAGACTACAGAAGATTTTATCCGGGTATTCCAACTTAACAATCAAACTGGCACACACCATATGCAATTCATCTATCACCACAATTCCAATTTCTGATAGACGACCCTCCTCCAGCAGCCTATTTATCAAGGAGTTTGCCTTTTCTATAGTGCAGACAGCCACTGAAGTGTCCTTAGGAAGTGTTCCACCACCTTGGCTTCCATAGTAACTTCGCACATGCTTACCTAGTGGTTCCAAAAGGGCTTCAAGGTGTTCTGCCTACGCAAATCAACAAAAGTTCAGTATAGACAATAAGAAAAATAAAAAGAAGGGAAAATGAAAACAAGAACATTAGAAGAAAGAACCAAGAATAAGCACCTTCTCTGTACAAATAGAAACATAAGGAAGAACCAGTAGTGCGATTTTTCCAGTTGATAAGACTCTTCGCAACATCAAAATTTCAGCTACAAAACTTTTACCAGCACTGTTCCAAAAGGAAACATTGATCAGCAATGTTATGGAGGTATGAGAAATAGGTTGAACGCCTAACAAGAGTAGATGTTCCTTCCTTCCTTACTTAATAAAGGTCTAGCACCATATCGAGTCATGGATATTAAACTATCGGCTTAGCCAATCCTCTCCAGAAGAGAGAACATAATAACATGGAGAGAGAAAAGATAAAATATGTAAAGCATGTTCATAAGCTTAAGTTAATGCATATCCAGTCTAACAAGGTTGCACCTCTCAAACTTCTTTTAATGATAAAGGTCCTATGGTAAGCTGGCTTTTTGTCTATATCAATACAGTAGAGATAAGAGAAGTCCCTAATCAGTTATGCTGTTTATCTCATAATAGTTGGGAGGAAAGGAAGGTCTTCTATCCAACAAAGTAAAATGAAAAGGTACCTTAAAATATTAGACTAGATTGGAAAGAGAGAGAAGTCAAATACATATAGAAAACATGAAATACAACAGAATTGACTACTGAAGGACGTTGGGCTTTTGAATTTAGCATGTTGCTCCCTCGCATGATCATGCAAACCAAACTTCACTGCATTTGTGCATGTGTCATACAATAATATATAGATGACGGTCGCATCACACATTTCCTATCAATGGACACAATTAGCCATAGTCCACCAGTCACAAAGTCAAAATTTTAACCTCTATCAACTATTGGCAGTTACAACAGCCGATCAAATGCCATAGTGCATACAAATTGTAACAGGACAACATTGCATCCTTATGTGACATGCTGATGTATACACACGAAATGCTATCTAAATAAGGCGTTCAGTAATAGATAGCAAACAGATCTATACAATGAACGGATGAACCAACAAGGACATCTAAATGAGACGCAATCATATGCGTGTATCATTTTAAAAGATAGCTTCCAAGATTAACAAGCAAGACAGCAGCTTATTCTGAGTCGATACCTCGTAGACGCACAATATACAAGATTCTTTCTCTGCAACACACCTTCAACCTGAAGGCAGTCAACCTGAAAAAGAAAGTGAAAGCATATTTTTCTTCCATAAACTGAAAGATAGCACAATAGCAGATTACTACCGTATCAAATTGAGCAATGCAGTCCCTGACCCACTAATCCCATGAATGGTTCTTTATGTTTAATACGAGGACCCACGACTTCACTAAGTAAACTGATTATTTTTTTATCTTTTTTTAGCAACCAGTACAAATCGAAAATGCGCTAAAAAAAATTTAGTTACAAATTTGTTGCCAGTTTTTAAATCCATGGAAAAATTCCAAGAATAGGATATCCAGCTTCTTAGCTAGTTAGTTACTGCACAAGAATATTTCCTAAAAATGCTAGATAACATTATTGTCCCAACTGAGGAGACAAAATAACTCAGACTTATCCCAACATCACAACAAGAAAACCACTCAGAATTGAAATGGAGCCTTTTGCTCCAACTATTTCCAAATTTTGGCCAAGCAACTGTTTGTCAAGTTGTATATCTCACGCTTTTGTGAGCCATCGAACTTATACAGTCCATAAAATATTCTAAAGCAAAAAATTAAGAAGAAAGAAAATGCAACCTCCCTCTGTCGATCATATTTAAACATAAAAAATGAAGAACCTCCCAGCCCAAAAATAGCCTAAATATAATATACACAGCATCCACCACAGCAACCCATTGAAACAATGTCCATATGTCTAATTGATCTACGTACCACATATCACATCAGGAAAGTCAAAGTCAATTAGGACGGTAGATTAAAGATGATGTTGACACTCAAATATGCCCCACATATGCAAAATCTAGTCCAGATCTAAATGGAAAAATCCTTCAGTTCATCCATAACGCCACTCCGTAGCAAGGTAAGGATTGCATGCGTTGCGAAGATACCTGCCACTGGTATAGCCTAAGTATTCCTTTCTTCCTATATAAGCTGCTTATTGCAGGAGGAAGCCAATTGCTAATGTCAAGATTATCTTTGTTCTGCATACTACTTGGAGTACAAGCTTCGCCATTTTGATGATCGGCAGACAAATTCTTCACAGGATACATTGGCGAATCAGATTTTGAGCTGTCATCATTTTGACTAAATAAATCCGCTTTTCTTTTTATTAATGTATCCAATGGATCCATTGGTTGATTCTCATGCTCTTCTGTCTTCTGTCCATTGCTACAGCGAGCTAATGTACTTGTACTCCGAAGACCTTTTGGGCCTACAGATTCACAATCAGGCTGATTGTCATCTCTGCAGGTTGCAGCTCTCAAATACTGTGGATCAGAACTATTGCCAATGACTTTATCCAAGTTCTTGTCCTCGCAAGAAAAGTCAAAATGCTTGACAGGCAAAGGAGAGACTTCTTTCAGAGAGCCTTGTGTGTGCTTCTCTACTGATTCTGATGTAATAGTTTTCTTACAATAGACTCTGTTGTTCCTATCATGTAGTGTTGCCCCGTTCTCCTCATGATCTGATCTGTCCGGTTGACACACTTTTCCTACAAGGTGATCTTCCTCAAAAGCTTCAGAAATAGAATGATTTGCAGGAGCACAAAAACCATCAGCAAGCTTAATTGCTTCACTCCAAAATGCTTCGCCAGGGGAAAACATAGAGCTTCCACATGTTGAACTAGGTGTTTTATTGGCAGAGGATTTTACAACCAGTGAGACAGGCGTGGAGCACCCAATCATATGTACAGTTGATGGAGGTGGCTGTTTGCATTTCTTCAAGCTTGCTTGAAGCTCAATGAGAGCGTCCGCAACAGGTTCCTATCATATTGAAGACGTAAACAAGCAATGATTATTGAAAAGATGTCTTTCAAATTAAATTTATATTTACCTCTTTAAAAGAATCGAATGCGTGTTTCCTGGTTTCAGAAACTGAACATGGAACCCTTTCTAACGTAGCCTTTCCTTTGTGGAAACTGTAATCATCAGCTACTTGTGATTGACCAGTCATTTGAAACCTCTTATTGGATCTCTGTGATTCCTCATCAAGTAAAGATGGGTTATCGCGTCTCTTAACATTAGAAATTCCATCTGCCGGTAAACTTGATTGGATTTTACTGCGTATAGGTACAGAAACTTCAAGAGGAGTAACAAGGGAAAAAAAAAATTAAAATACCTGTCCTGATGGACCAGAAGAGAAGAAAATTGTGCTTTTGCTTTCTAATCAACAGATCTAAATGTCCAAATGGACACTTCAATAGGAAGGAAATATAAACTTGGGGCAAACAAGAATGACACCTTTTTTCTAAAACCCAGAACAAGATGAAGCTTTGATAAATTTCCTAATCATTAGAGTATTAAGGATGGGCCAAGAAAAAGAGTGGTCCATCCATAAACATGTCGGTACCTGCAGTATAATGACAATAAATCATTGGAAAACTGTTTAAGTTCCGAGTTTTCTGTGCCATTTGCAGGCAAGAGGCAATCCTGTGAAGGAGCATCAGCCGCAGCACACTCCAGGTCAGATGAACTGTGAGATGCATCCTTCTGAGCAGCTTCCTCGGGCTTAGGCACTTCAGCGGACAACTGTACTTGCTTATTTTCAGGCTTCAAGTTTTTCTCTGCCTTCTGTAACAGATTCCGCTTAACTGAATCGTGACCCACTGATGAATAATCACTAACAGTATGCAAGGGCTTGGCAGCACAACCACCTTCCTGAGAGGTCCTCAAGTAATTGTCTAAGGTGCCTTTGGCACTAGGCGACCCTCCAAGAGGGGTTACCTCATTACTTTCGGCCCTCCGTGATTTCGGATGAGGCGAGGAGGATTTCCTTTTCTTCGAAGCAAAAAACTGTCGAAGCAACAACAACCACAAATCGTGTCATTTTAAGCTCTCAACACCACAAATTGAATTGCTTGTCTGCAATAACTTGCAACATTGTTCCCTGTATGGGGTGAGTTCAAGTCTCATTGCATACTTCCCAAGAACCATCAGTACCGTCTTAACCAGTGTCAGAAAGTACAAAAATAATAATTTGCAATGCTTCTTTGACATTGGGGTTTTTGCTGATTCGACATGTTTTCTAGATCCTTTTAATTTCTATAACTAATTCTCTCGGAGCAGAAATGGTGCGATGCACCAAACCAAATCTTTTTTTTTTCCCTTGTTTGCAATTCAACTCTTTTATGCTGCGATAGAGCACGCATGGATGGTGATCATAAACAAGATTTGGATTCAATCTGATAAAAACTCCTTTCTTGAATAAAATTCTACTCAAAACGGAGTACCCAAGAAAGCAAAACGATTCAGCCAAATGCCATACGAGCTTGGAACGAATCCCAACCCAACCCAGGTATTCAAATGCTGTACGCAGCTGCGGAAAAAGAGCAAGAGAAAAAAAAACGCCGTTTCTCAGTGGACCACACCAAGAGCTACTACACATTGTCCATTTCTCTATAAAAAAAGAAACCGAACTGCCCGAAACCCTTCTGCAAATCCAACCGAATGCTCCTGCATCCTCGTCCGATTCACACGCGTCGCGAGAAGGAACAGCAACAAATTACCTGGTCGACGCGGTTCCGAGGCGAAACGGACGCCATCGCCGGACACGGACACGGTCCCTCGCCAATCCGAGGAAACCCTCGGAATTCGGACGGAGACGGAGATCCTCCAAGACGGCGCCGCCGCTGCTCCGGTGGTTCGAGACCTTCCGCGGCGGGCGAGAGAGCGACCGAGCGCCGGGTGCTGCCGCGACTGCTGCAGTTTCAGTTGGGCGCTGGAATAGGAGAGACAGAGAGAGAGAGAGGGGTTCGCTCGGAGGCTTTGGAGGGTTCGGCAAATTCAAATGGGTCGAGAAAATCTTCTTTTGCTGTCGTGCCCTTGGATTTTGTGCTATTCCTAGTTTCACCCAGCTTTTTTGATCGAATTTTTTAAAATAGGGCCCTCGGATTCTTGACCAAAATGACCACGTTAACGAGAAATGCTCGAAACTAATGGGAAATGGATACTCATGCGACATTTTTAATCAAAGAAATTAATTTGCCGATCATATCTAAACATCTTGGTAACTACACATAAATAATGCGAATAATCGACATAAATACGATGCACGTAATATGAAGTTGTCAATCCAGCGTATCGTTCCCGCTAAGGAGATTTAGGTCTAGGGGCCAATTTACCGGCAATAGCCAGACCAGAAAACTTCCTAACTTGGGTAATAAGTTACTCGTATATGAATTTATTAAGAGTTATTCCAATGTTTACAATAGATAGAAATTATTAAACACGCTCGACCATTGTAATTGATTCTGATAGATACTTTCTCACTTGTAGAAGATCCATTAATCACGTGAATAGGTCACCAATTTAAGATATTTCCGGATGGATTTTTACTTTTTGATTCATGTAAATCTTACTTCGAATGCATTTTGATTTTTTTTTAATTTCGGGGCAACTGAAGGCTTTGCAATATATAACTGTCTATACATAGATTTACATATAATTTTTTCATAATCTTTAGAAATTTCGATGTTTGACGGAAAAGTGAAAATTTGATTTTTTTTCTTTTAAAAAAGCACAAATGGACATTAATGAACTTTTTTGCTCTAAAAGCTACTAAAGTTAATAAGAAAAAGGAAAAGTTACTTTAAAATTTCCCACGGTTTAGTAACTTTTTAAAGTTAAAAAAGCTACACGCGATTAAAAAAAAATTTAAAAGCTACGCTAAAATCTGCTCAAGTGGGTTCCGGCATAGGGCCCTGCAGAGTTTTACATGTTTGCTTCGAGTAAAAATCTTATTTTTGTTTTTCTTTGTGAAATGTTGTAATAATACTCAATCTTGTCTGATTTTCATTCTTCATTTTGTTTCTATAGTGCATAGAATTTTTTTTTTATTATTCTCATTTAAGTGTGCGTTTATTTCACAAAAAGCTCAAATTTGAAAAATATTTTTTGAAAATAATTGTTTGCATCGCTTATAAAAATAAATGAATGAACGATATTTTAATCATCTATGAAAATAGTTAGGTATAAATTGTTGTCGATAATGAAAATATTTTTCTTTGAATAATTTTTCTAAGGAAAATTATCCAAAAAGTCATGAACCTATTTTACTTTTGCCAATTCGGTCTTAAACCTTTTAATTGTGCGAATTTAGACCTCAACATATTCACATTTTACCAATTGAGTCCATCCAATCAATTTTGCCTTGAAATCACTAACATGGACGTAGGCTGTCCTATGGGACACAGCCGACGCTAACGTGGACGATTTTTTTTAATATTTTAATATTTTTTTCGTATTTTTTATAATTGTTTTTCCCTTTTTTTCTACTCGTTTCCATCTTTACTTTTTTCTTTTTTTTCTTTTTTTCCTTTTCTCTTCTTTTCTTTTTCTTTTTTCTTTTTCCCTCCACCAAACGTAACCGAGCCTTGTCAATGGCCAGCTAAGGTCGACAGAGGGAAAAAGAAAAAAAGAAAAAAAGAAAAGAAGAGAAGAGAAGGAAAAAAAGAAAAAAGTTAAAGAAGGAAAAGAAGGAAAAAAAAAAGTAAAGAAGGAAAAGAAAGAAACGAGTAGAAAAGGGAAAAAAAATAATAAAAAAATTCAAAAAATACTTTATTAAAAATTGTCCACGTTAGCGTTGGTCGTGTCACGTAAGACTGCCGGAGCCCAAGTCAGCAATTTCTAGGCAAAATCTCTTGGTCTATCCATCCCGTTCAAGCCCGCTCAGGTTAGGGACAATTTCTCGTTAAATTAAAATTCTAAAACATGGTCGAGCCTTGGGAGAATTTTTAAGGAATGGTACTAAGTCCCGACCAGCCAATTGATCGAGTCTATTTTTCTTATTTTTCTAGTTTGAAATTGATAGTGGATAATACATTCTTCTAAACATTTCTTTTTTTGAAAACCAAAAGGAAAAAAATAGCTTTTAAAATATGTTTTTTTGTTAATTGCTGATAAATTATAGGACTTAATGTCATGCAAGTTACCAACCATATTAAAAACTCATAAATAATTGGCACCTTGACGTGACCTTATACAAGTTGCTAAGTACCACGCAAAGGTACTAGCTTCAATTGCCGAAATACAGGGGTAATTATTTTCGAATATCAAAAGTTGTTAAGTTGTTAATCTAATCACGAAATACTTATTAGCAATAGTATAAATTAGTAAAGTTTCCTTGTCTCATTTGCATTGATTTGAATTATTCGGAGAATGCCTTATATGCATTAATATTAGTCAAGTAAAAAATATGGACAATCAAACCCATCTCTCAATTCAATGCTGAAAAAGTTAAATGGGTCCTAAATAACGAGAAATATTTAAAAAAAAGGGGTCCGATTACACCTATTCCTAATTCTAAATGGAATGTAACAACGCCGGAATCTATATATAAACACATATAAATGACCCTATCTCGTAAAGAGAAAGTATATAATCCTATTCCAGGGCAGTCCGGTATGGGATGAACTTAGCTCATGGAATCGACTTGATCATCAGATCACAAATAATAAGTTCATAACCTTAGCTCATTACAATTTTGGGCGGAAGAAATCTACTAATTCTTTAATTCGAGTTAGTAAGAGGGATCTCGAGCTAAGAAATGTATTCTAAAAGTTAAAAAAGGTGTCCCACGCAATTGCAATAATCGGGTTCATTGATATTTATTGTTGTATTGATTTTACGTACATTTCCCTATGAAAATCACTTAACCATGCGAAATTACCATTGGCTGTAGTGTATCAATGTTACTTTTGATAAGCAAGCTGATTAATCACACCAAAAAATAGTTATTCTCTTAAATAAAAAATTATAGATATATATATATATACAGTTGCTTTTTACTATCCACTTCGATGAGGTACCAATTATATTACATTTCTATTTTAAAATTTTCTAGCCACGAAATGATGTTATTAATCCACGATATATCCATAATCAGTTCTCTATAAGGGAAGACATTAATTAGGTGAAGAAGGAACCATTATAAACATTTTCATTTATATAATTATATAAAGTAAGAGAACCTCCTGCTTTTGAAATATTTCAATCTTTTTTTCTTCCCCAAATATCATCGGTTAATTATTTCATAAGTTCTTTATCAAAGAGCAAATGCTAAACTAATAATTCTATTTTATCTCATGTGTTACAATATTGAAATTTGAATCTCTTTTTTTTTATCATACAACAACTTTCTTAAGAGAATTCAAATCTTGAAATATTTTTTCTCTTTCCGAGCATACAATTTTCTTGAAATATCTAATCTAACCTATAATTTATTTTCATAATTTAATAGTATAATATCTCGTGATTCTGCTTAATTGTTCGACTTCTGATTTCTTTTACACAACAAGTCGCGTGCAATGTTCCTTAATAGTAAAAAAATTATTAATTCAATATGTGTTGATTATTTTTTGCTATCTAGAAGAGTATCCTTATAAAGAAAATGAAAGAAACTCTATCAATTCAGATAAGTTTTTTTTATCACATGTGTAATCAGCATGAAAATCCATTAACGAAGAAGTTACTAGTTATTGATATATGGTAATGTTAGTTAGTAGTTTTTATATGCAGGTAGAAATTTTCCTTCTGCAAAAATAAATATGAAAGTCTCAAGAAGTCGCGAGTCATTTTCGTTGCTGAAAACTTTCCACTTGTAAAAGTAAGGATTAAGATATCTGTAATTAATAATTTATTTTTTATTGCATAGACATTTTTCCATATATAATAATTTAGGAGGATAATAACACAAATGGTCCCTGAACTTTAGCCTAATACGTAATGTGGTCATTGAATTTTAAATTTGTTCAACGTGGTCCATGAATTTTAGCCAAATGTAGACATGGCCACGGGTCGGTTTTGGCCCGGAATCAACCCGGTCAAACCAGGGCCCGGCCCGTTGACCAGGCCCGCAGTTCGGAACGGAACCGGCCCGTGGCCTACGGGCCCGGTTCCTGTTCCAAATTATTATTTTTTAAATAATAATAATGAAATTTTTTAAAAAAATTCATTATTTAATTTTTTTTATAAAACAATTTGAACTCTAATTGCCATGCATTGTAAGTGCATTGATCTCTAATTACAATGCTTGGCTTGGGTGTATTGAACTCTAATTACAAGGCTTGGCTTGGGTTTTATACACAATGATTTTAATGCATCTTCATTTCCATTCGATGTGGGACTCTCGGCTTGCCTTAAACACCTTTAATGTGAGACTCTTGACTTGTCTTCACACAAATGCCAAGAGTCCCACATCAAATGCGAATGAAGAGACCATCAAAGGGGTTGCATATAAAACCCAAGCCAAGCCATGGGCATGTGAAATTGTATGCCTTTTGTGGCTACGATCCTTTACTAGTTAAGAGCAAAGAGTTCCATTGGACCGCCTAGAACCGAACCGGACCAATGGTCCGGTTCCCGGTTCTATGATTTGCCGGTCCGGTTCTTAGTTCTAAAATTAAGGGACCGGTTTTACCTATTTAGTTCTCGGTTCCGAGCGGAACCGGACCGAACTGGGAACCAATCACCCCTACAATTTACATTTTGATTACAATTTATATTGAATAATTCATTATTCCATAATTTTTTTTATTTCATAATTTATTTTTAAAATTTTAAATTACGAACCGGAACCGCCGGTTCCGAACCGTGGCCATGCTTAACCAAATGTATAATTCGGTCCCTTAATTTTTAATTTATTCAGCATGGTCCATGAATATCCAATATTGTCCACAATACTAACTATTTTCATATAGTCCAATGACTAAATTGAACATATGTACGAAAAGTTTAGGAATCAAAGTGAACAAATTAAAAGTTCAAGGATCATATTATACATTGAGCTAAAATTCAGGGACCATATTGAACAAATTAAAAATTTATGAATGATATTACATATAGGCCAAAGTTCAAGGATCGTTTGTATCATTTACTTTGATTTAGGCATTGAATTAACAATGAGTAATAACTTTTTCCATTTGTGTAATGAAAAGTAAAATTAACTTTCAGACCACCAATCTATGGTTAAGGGTGTGTCTGGGAAAGTATTCTATTTACCGTGATGGAAAGTCCAACTTAAAAGCTTAAGTTATTAAATAGAGTGAGACCATATAAATATAAAGAGTATATGTCTCGCTGTCAAGGGATATGAGACAATATATCAACATCCCCGTGGCATGTGAAATTTGATTGTTGGGGGTGGATGCAAATATGCAAAAGAAATAGTACTAGCTTTGTAACTACGATACAAAGTCGACACAAAGTCCAACCCAAGCTTCAAATTCCACGTGCCGCTTCCAATCTGGCTTGTATGTGAATAGCACTAGCTCTATTATCATTTTACACAGCCCAATCCAAGCTTCAAATTTCACGTGTGGTTCCTAATTCGGTTTGCACATACGTGAGAGTGAGAGTGGTTGGACGCACATGCTAAACGGCAAAACCTGACTTTGATATCATATTAGGAAGTTCAACCCATAAACTTAAATTATTATGTGAATGGAGACCACGTGAATATAAAGAATACAGATTTGACCCATTGCCCAGCAATGTAGAACAATATTTCAACATGCAAAACAAATACCGCTTGGTTAAGTGATTTTGATATATTTTTTGCAAAGTAGCTTTCAAGTGTAAAAAAAAAAAGGGGAAACAGAGAATACCCCATCATGGAAGCAAAACCAGAATTCAAGATAAACAAACTTAAATACGAATGGAGATCTTGAAGATACCCCATCGTATTTGCTTCAGATTTGTTTTTTGCTCTTCGAGATGAAGAACGGGTTTCGGACCAGAAGTAAATCTGAAGCAAACTGGAGAATGAAGATCTTCAAGATGTCCTCGCTGAACCAAACCTCGCAGATGCGATTCCAGATAAGAAGCAAATTCATGCCGGCGATGATCAAGCCGTTGAATAGGCTAGGCAGGGCCAACACCGAGGTCAGGGTCATGCAACCTTAAGCGAGGTAGCGTCAGACCTAGACACGTGAACTTAGACCCTTGGCGACCCTCGACCACTCTCGAAAACCATCGGTGAGTTGAGCGCGACGATAAGTGAGGGCATCAAATTGGGCGATCAGATCTGAAACATTTGGTTTAGCAAGGGAGAATATAAACGGTGATTTTAAGGGCAAAGCTGGAATATGGAGATATTAGTGAGGGCAAATTGGAAAGAAAAAAAAAATTCATTAACCCTCTAAAACAACATTCCAAAAATGCTAAATGCCGATGTCGTATAGGACTTGCATTGGGCTGCCTTAGGAAATGCTAATTCTAGCTCAAAGGCATCTGCAACTTTGTTGCCAAACACCTCAACATTTTGCCGAGGGCCTAAAATCTTTTGGTGAAGCCGTGCCAAACCCACCTAAATATTCCACGAAGTCATTTCATCATCAGTAATATAAATAATTAATTAATTACTAATCAGTAAAAGTTATTTATTGACCGGCAAAAAGGTTCACCTATCTTCAGGGCTTCATCTAATCCGGACCGTCCACATCCGTCGATCGAAGATCGAAAGGTGTGAAATCGGCACCACCACCCCGACCTGAAATTCCAAATTTTTTTTCCATTTTTTAAATCGACAACAAAAGACAAAAAAAAGTATTATATAAATAAGCTGCGGTTCGGTGCGAGTAGAGCGTAACGACGACCAATCAAAGCCCTCCCTCCTGCCTACTCCTAACGGATTCTCCTGTGGACCTCGTTCCCAAACGCTCCCCCCAACCTCCTTTGTCTAATTACAAAAATAGTCCATGAAAGCTATGTCGTATCGATTCGTTCAGTACGGTCCTTTAATCTAACTTACAACGTCGTTTTCAAATCTTTAATTTATTCAATATCATCTTTAAATTTTTGCTAAACATTTAATTTAATCCCTAAATTATATTCATTTTTCCATCGATTCAAGTTTATGGACAACACTAAACATCATATTTAGTCCATGAACCAAAAGCTCCGGGTCCATATTCAACAAATTGAAAGTTCAAAAATAGCATTTTACGTTAGACATGAATTTCGGAGACCACATCGAACAGATTAAAAGTTAAAGGTTTTTTTTTTTTTTTTTGTCAAGAAAAGTTAAAGGTCCATTTGTTTCATTTTTCGTCGTTTCTTTTCGAACGCCGACGACGTCGTACTGCCTCAAAAAATGTGACCGTTGCCGCTAATCACCCACCTCGGACAAGGACACACGCCGATGAGCAGGGAGGAGCTCGCGCGTAGCGCTTCTGCACACATGCTCACATGGCGTGTCCCTGTCCCCAAGCACCGCCCCCCCTCTCTCTCTCTCTCTCTCTCCTCTCTCTGAATCCCCGCTGCCACCCTCTGCTCTCTCCTCTGCACAAAACTGCGCCTTTCTCTCTCTCTCTCTCTTCGTGTAAAGCAAAGCGGCAACTGGGTTTCGTCCTCCATTGAAGCTGCTTCGCTTGAGCTTCGAATGCGGAGGTAGCGCCCGTCGACTCCGAGCTCGGACCGAGGTTTTTTCTTTTTTTTTTCCGGGTGAGCTGTTCCGGAGCCGGAGCTCGCACGCCGGGGGGAAGAGATGGGGTGCGCGCAGTCGAAGATCGACAACGAGGAGTCGGTGTCGCGGTGCAAGGAGCGGAGGAACCTCATGAAGGACGCGGTCGGGGCGAGGAACGCCTTCGCGGCGGGCCACACCGGGTACGCCATGGGCCTGAAGAACACCGGGGCCGCGCTCAGCGACTACGGCCACGGTGAGGCCGAGGAGGGCTTCGACCACGCCCTCCGCAGCCAGGCGCCGCTGGACGCCGCCCCCCCGCCGCCTCCCCCACCCCCGCCGCCCCCGCCTCCGCCGCCGCCGATGGACAGCCTCCTGCCGCCTCCGCCGCTGCCGATCTTCTCCCCCAGCCCGCTCAAGAGGGCCACGAGCCTGCCGGAGTTCGCGGTGCCGCCGAGGCGGAACCCTATCGCGAGGGAGGAGTCGGTCGCGATCCCGGAGGGAGAGGAAGAAGAGGAGGGCCAAGCCAATGTAGGGGAGGAAGAAGAAGAAGAAGAAGAGAAGATGCAGAATCTCCGGCGGCAGCCTCGTCCGCGTCCGAGGACGAGCAATACGGGCGCTGTTCCTCCGATGAGCGCTCCGGTGAGCAATCCGGTCCCGCCCATGCCGGAGTCGAAAGGCATGGCGTGGGATTACTTCTTCAATGTGGAACCCATGCCAGGTCCGAGCCTGAACGATGAAGAGGAGATTAATAACGAGAACGATGAGAGCGAAGGCATCGGATTCGGAGAAATGGGCAACGGGCTGAATGGAAACGGGGCTATGGAGGTCGAGCCAAAGACGCCGGAGAAAGTGGTGGAGACGAAAGTAGTGAAGGAGGAGGAGAGCGCCGTGAAGGAAGTGGGGGATAAGCAGATTGCGCATTCGAGTACTGCTCCGGCGGAATTTGGCCGGAAAGTGGGTAAGGCTGTAAATGGGGTTAGCATGATGAAGGTGCTGAAAGACATTGACGACCATTTCCTCAAGGCTTCCGAGAGCGCGCAGGAGGTCTCGAAGATGCTCGAGGCGACACGGTTGCATTACCACTCGAATTTCGCCGACGCTCGAAGTAATTTCATGCGCCTGTCTCTTTTTTACTATTTCTGTCTGCACATCTGGGTTTGTTTGCAGAACTTCTGTGTTGATGATTGATCCATGGAGATATCTGTGTCTTGTCTGTGCTTGAGTTTTCTCAACCTGTGACGCTGACAAGTTCATCGATCTTCATCTTATGTATCTCTAGATAAAAGTGAAGCCGAATGTGGTCTAGCTCCCTTAACTTGCGTCTTTCGCCTCTTTCTCAAGACATTTGTCGGATTTAGTATCAACCTGATAGTGAAATAATTCATGTTGAGTTGTAGAAGAGACATTCATTTGTAGTTATAAGCAAATCGTTTATCATGAAAATGTTTTTCCACACTGGGAATATTAGATAATCGCAAGCTTTCCTCAGCTCGTAGTGATGATTCTCTTTTGCAAGGAGAGCACAACATAGATATAGTGTGCGAGTGCGCGCTCTGGCTTCTTGCGGAGCACCAGCTACTGTTCATGTTAAGATGATGGTGCTGGTAATGCTGATTACGGGATGAGACCTGAGCTTGAAGGATGTTGCTCTAGACATTGTCAGTTAAAAGTGATAAGGGGGAAGAAGGGTAGCATCCTTAGAGCTGCACCGCTAGAAGGAGGAGATAGTTTCGATTTAGACTCTGGAACTGGAAGTGTTAAGCGATCAAGTATGTTTCTTGAGTAGCGATTTGTTTCCTCAAGTGATTTAGAATTTCCAAAGAGACTTCTTCCTTAGTTATTTATTCCTAAGGTGTTCCTCTGAGAAGGAAACATGTTCATAGAAAGGTTGTTTGTTATGAATTCTCTATAATCTATTCTTCACGACTGGCATTGAAATTGCTAAACTTCAATGAACATATGGGATATGCTTACATTTCTAATTGAATATCTTACTTTTGGTGGTGGACATGGCATAACTTTGTCATCAATCTGATAGGCTTTAAATGACACAGGTCACATTGATCATTCTGCGAGGGTCATGCGTGTCATCACATGGAATAAGTCATTCAGAGGTGGTATACCCAATGGCGACAGTGGAAAGGATGACCTTGATACAGATGAATGTGAAACTCATGCCACAGTTTTGGATAAGCTATTAGCCTGGGAGAAAAAGCTCTACGAAGAAGTGAAGGTATGCAGTCCCACATTCTGTCCCAGAGATTTGCCAATCTGATGATATGCATGACCATTTTGATTTCTTGATTGTCATTTTAGTTTATTTTGGTTCAGTTTGCGAATGATGGGTAAACTAAGCCTCTAGGTTAATCAAATTAAACAAAATTCTGAAAGTTTCTCTCAATAAGTAAGCTCTTGATCATGTTTGTAGATTCGCTGCGAAAGGACAGGAGATTTGTAATAAGTCAAAATAGAAATTGATGTGAACTTTGGAGTTTCGAATAAGCTGCTCCTTTGTGTTTTGATGCATGTTTTACTTTTGTAATATGATAAATCTTTCTCTGTGTCTACGAATTGATAGCAAGGTGAGCACATGAAGCTCGAGTATCAGAGAAAGGTGGCTTTGCTAAACAAGCAGAAGAAACGTGGTGCTGGTGCTGAGTCCCTGGAGAAAACAAAAGCAGCTGTAAGTCATTTGCATACGAGATACATAGTTGACATGCAGTCCATGGATTCAACTGCTTCAGAAATAAACCACATAAGGGATGGACAGCTGTACCCAAAGCTTGCGGAACTTGTCGATGGGTAAGTTCCCATATCTGGAAACTGATTCTGTTTGTTCTGTTTCAATCAATGTATCCATATATTTTCATCTTTTATCCGCCTTCTGCTTTCAAACCGTTCCTCCTATAACTAGGAGCTAGAACATGTACTGCACCAGCTCTTGTCATTCTCTATAAGTCTGAGTTCTCCTTTCCGAAAACTTCCCTTCTCATATCTTTATGAAGTGACTCCAGTTCATCTATATTGATCTGTCTGCTCCTTTCTCCTGGTGGAAATTTCAAAATTTTGGTCCGTTTGGATTTTATCTTTCTCAAGTGAATGCTGACTCGTGCTCGTTGCAAGTTCAATCAAACCTTGTCAATTACAAATTTGTCATCTTATTTATTAATATTCTGTTTGCACTACCTTGGAATGATTGGATATCTTTTCTTTGAAATTTAGGATGGCAAAAATGTGGGAAAGAATGTGCATGCATCACAAAAGCCAGCAGTCTATTGTTAGTAACCTGATGTCCCTGGACAGCTCGCATGCTCCCAAGGAAACAACCAAGCATCACTATGACCGTACAGACCAACTTCATAAATATGTTCTTGAGTGGCAATTACAATTTGACAAGCTCATTACCCATCAGAAACAATACATCCAAGCTTTAAACAACTGGTTAAAGTTAAATCTCATTCCCATTGAGAGTAGCTTGAAAGAAAGAATCTCATCTCCACCCAGGGCCCAGAATCCTCCAATCCAAGCTCTGATAGTCTCGTGGTATGACCACCTTGAAAAGCTTCCTGATGAGCTTGCCAAGTCTGCTATAACCGCATTTGCTGCTGTAATAAACACCATCATGGTACATCAGGAAGAGGAGATGAAACAGAAAGAAAAGTGTGAGGAAACTAGGAGAGAGTTCTTGCGCAAGAATCAGGCATTTGATGATTGGTACCAGAAATACATGCAGCGAAGGGGGCCCGACGAAACTAGAACAGAAGATGTAAACCATCATGACCCTGTGATAGAGCGGCAAGCGGTAGTGGAAAGCTTGAAGAAGAAGTTGGAAGAGGACGTTGAAGCTCACCAAAGATTGTGTATTCAGGTCAGAGAGAAATCGCTGGGGAATCTCAAGAATCGCTTGCCCGAGCTCTTCCGAGCTATGGCAACCTATGCACAAGCCTGTGCAGAAGCTTATGAAAATTTGAGGTCCATAACACAGTCGCAGAGAAACAGGGCTTCCTCCTAGAATGGTAACACCTGTTTCATTAGGAGAAGTGTTTAAGATCGAACTTTAGTAGGCTATCTTCCTAAGAATATTGTCATGCACATATTTCCATACAGCCTCGGTTGTTATTATCTGTTAATATCTGACCGTCACCTCCCACATGATCATGTATATGCTCGGGTGGTGTGGTAATTTTGAAGTGAATGCCCAGGCATTCTAGTATTTGCTGTGTTCACGAGTTTATTTGAAAATAGCAAGCACTTGTGCTTAGAGTATTCCGAATGCCTTTGGCCTTCGAGGTTGAAACTGGTGTGGTGCTCGAAAAAATGCAATGTAGTATGGTCATGATGAAACTGCTGATTCATTATTGTGATAGTGTGCACAATGAAACTGTTGATTCATTATTGTGATAGCGTGTACAATCTTTGGGGCATTTGGGAAATGAAGTGGCATTACAGAAAAGGCCAGGCATGAGTGTACTACTCGTGCAGTCCGTACAAAGTAAGAAGGATCACCAAGTATCCGAAAAGCCTAGAGCCCCCTAACCCACGTGCCTCTATACTTTAGGCCCTGTACATTTGGGAATCTAATCAATTCTTCGAATGACTTTTGGTGCGCCAGTCATGTTCATGTTTCCTTTCCTTGAGAAATCGGAAACCATGGTTGTACCCATTTGGAAGTTGTTCTTTGGTGTCATCTCCAAAACTCGAAAAAGGATCAGAAAAACCAAGACGAGACGAAACGTTACTATTCGGAAAATTACTTAGTGGAAAATTGGAACAGTTATTGTCCAGTTTGGGGGGGGGGTTGTTGGATAATCAATCCAAAAGCAAGGTTACTACTTTCGGTTCATTTCAATCGGGTAGGGCACATCAGGGCCTGGCTCCTACAGCACTTTTTTAGTGGCCAATGAAGAGAACATTGCCTTGCCTTCTCTGGTGTATGGTTAGTTGCATTCCTCGTCCCACCAGCTTTTGCATTAAGCACGGTTTTACATCTCCACATGCTGGGCAGTTGTGGTAGGATTCGTTTGACTCTCAGATGGGGTCTCATGTGAGCCAGGAGAGAGAGAGAGAGAGAGAGAGAGAGAGAGAGAGAGAGAGAGAGAGAGGTGGCTGGCAAAATTTGACCTTTCGGCGGTCATCTTTATTAAATTTTTGCAGACTTTTGGATGCCTGGGGGTCGCTATGGGACCTTAACCTCATCGTCGACGCCCCAACTTGGTCCTGCTGGTTTGGGACCAGGAGGTAAATTGCATCTACTCACTCAAAGCTCATTACACAAGGTCTAGCCTCAATTTGAATCAATGAAATCTGGATTACTTCGGTTCTGTCACTCGAACTTTATACTTCGTTTCGAATCTGGTATTTCCGGTTATGACACAGGCACGTATGGATGGTCTATCAGCGGGTCTACAAATTAGTTGGCTTGATCTTTTTACGAATCATTTGTCAAACACTGATCCGTTTTGCCTTTTTCTCGGTTCTTTTGTCAAAGCGATGCTATTTTTTTCGGTATTTTCTTGTCAATTATGTATGACCAGTTCATATGGAGATCCTCCATCTGCTAAACCTGAGTTCTCTTCCTTTGTCTTGCATGACCACCATGAGATATTTATTCTCAACAATCGGGACCACTTCTCAGAGTTATATGAGATGTCTCAATCCTCTGTTAAAAGTGTCACCTCTAGAGTTTGCCGATTTGATGCTAAAATTTGTTATTCTGACCGACTCTCAAACGCGGCTCAATCTTGATGGGCGCGGGCTACTCATGATTACTCGGATCCTACAGCCGTCTAGCAAAGTGGGATCAAGTCAAAATGCTGAATATACATTCACACATGTCCCTCTTAAAGTCATAAAATACACCAAAGCTAACATCATTGTGTCATGTTACATGCACACCTACTTAAACCCTCATCTTTTGTTCAAACTCATTTTGTGCTTCAAGATCTGCTGATTTCATCTTCTCTCTTGGGACAAAGATGGGCATCAAGAACTGGCGTGAGCCAAGGATGGAGGTCATCTACCTGGGGAGGAACAGCAACAGCAACAGCAACAACAAGCCTAACCATGGTCAACATGAGAAAATGCTTCAAGGGTGGCAACTATTTTGGAGAAGATTCAAGAGGGACAAGAGGGCCTCCAGTTCTCTTAACAATAACAAAATCAGAGGTTCTTATGATCCTGATGAGTACTCTCAGAATTTCGATCAGGGAATCGATTGTACCGAGCCCGAAAATCTCTCTCGGTCGTTCTCCGCTCGGTACGCTGATCCGTGGTCAAGAATCGAACCGAAGAAGATATTGTTGATAGATATGGATTGAGTTTGTTCGATTGGTTCAACTAGCTAGCTCCTGTGTATGTAACCCTGTTTCCAGGATTGGGTCTTGAGTCCCTCTTCAAACTGTATTATAATTCATGTAAAGGGTTTGGCTATTCTTTTTTCTTTCACTTGTCTTTCTCTCTGCCCCGGAAGCTATTGCTTTTTTCTTATTTACAGAGTGACAAATTCAAATATTAGACACAAAGATAATGCCCACCACAAAAGGAAAACCTGCATCAATCACGAGCATAAAGAATTTGAGAATACAGGGAACAGTTTAATGGAGAAAGGAGTGTTTTCAAATTTCTATTCAATGAAAGAAAGATATAGGTAGTAACATCATCTGCATTTTTAATTTGTTCAGCTCAAAACTTTCCGATTCATGATATTAGAAAAATTATAACGGATTGTAAACGAAAAATGCTTTAAAAGATTGAATTTTTTTATTTAATATGTTTAACAAGCATCCCAATAATGTCGATGTTCAATGCGGAATATATTCTCCAATAATATCAATGTTCAATGCGGAATATATTTGGTATGAAGCAAGGAAATGCGAACGGCATGGTGGGTCATCCAAGTAATGGTTTCCCAGAAGGTTTAAGCTGCACGGGTCAAGAGTCACCATCATTGACAATTCAAAGTCATCGAAATTCGGTTGGCTCGGATTAAAAAACCACCACCGCACCCTTGTTTCAAGATGGCATCTCGTGCTTTGAAAAGCAACAAAAGAAAGGCGCGCGCTTTCTCTTTTGGTATTTGTATGCGACAGCAGGCACGCCTTTGGGTTTAATGGCCTTTTGACCTCGGTTCAAGTTTTGCGATCTCAATGCAACGCAATCTAACTCAGGACAAGAACAAAAAGCTGGAATGTCTCCACCTTTTCTGCTACCCTTTAGCCAAAAGTAGCCAAAGACCATGTGAATGTTAGAGAGAGAGAGAGAGAGAGAGAGAGGGGTTCTTTACTGGCGGGTGGAAGACAACATCTATGCAAGAAAAGAATCTGTGTTGGGGGCAACAAAGTTAAACTGCGTTTTGCAGGGTTAGACAGATAAGAGGTAGATGGTTGGGGGCATGTTTCAACGTATTGGGGGAAAATTCAAATGCTTTGCTCATGGTTTTGTCTGTTGCATGAGGAATTCCACATGCGCAAGTTTTCACCTAACTTTACTCGATACTTCTTTAAAAAATATAGCGACAGTGTAAGGAAAATGTTGAAAACGAAATCTCAACCTGTCATGATTCATGATGATTGACGAGATCATTGGTCATGCTTTTCCCCCCAAAAAAGGAAGGAAAAAACAAAAATAAAGCATTTGTAATGGAGTGCTGATGTAGTGAGGATGCAGGGGGCGTTTTTTGCTTGATTTTATACCAATTTTTTTAGTGAAATAATAGTGGATAGTCATTAGTAATAAGGCCAATATTGAAGAAAAATAAGTAGCCATATTGAATAACACCAAAGAAAGGACTAAGGGTCTGTTTAGTAACGTTTCTGTTTCTTTATTTTTCTGTTCTTTTGTTCCCCGGAACAGAAAAAGAACAGAAATCCGTTTAGTAAAAAAAATCTATTTTTTTGTTTCTGTTCCAAAAAAGTGTTCCAGAAATAGATTTGGAACAGAAACAAGAAGCAAAAAAAATCTGCTTCTTGTTTCTGGAACAAGAAAAAAGAAACGATTTTTTTTCTAGAATTCTCTAAAAATAAGAAACAATCCATCGGCCGCAATCCGCCCACCGCCGCCTCTCACCGTCCTTCGCCGCCACCTACCCCCCGCCTTCTGCCGCCACCGCCGCCGCCCGCCGGCCGCCTCCCGCCCGCTGGCCGCCTCTTGTCATCGACCATCGTTCTCCACCGCTCGACGCTTGTCGCCACCCGCCACCGACCGCCGCCCTCCACCGCCGGCCGCCGTGCTCCATCTCCCGACGCTGCCCGCTGCCGCCACCCGGCCGCCGCCTCCCCGCCAACCACCCGACACCGGCGATCACCCACCACCGGCCACCGTCCTTGGCCGCCGCCGGCCACCCACCACCGGCCGCCATCCTCCGCCGCCCATTGTGCTCCACCGCCTGACGCCGGCCACCACCCGGCGCTAGCTTCCCTCGGCCGCCGGCCACCTCTTGCCTCTGGCCACCCGACGCCGGTGGTCACCCACCATCGGCCGCCATCCTTCGCCACCGACCGCCGTGCTCCATCGACCGACGATGGCCACCCTCCGCTGCCAGCCACCTCCCGCCGCCGCCCCCCGCTGCCGTCACCACCGCCCGATGCCACCGTGCTCCACCGCTGACCGCCGTGCTCCACTACCTCCCACCGCCGGCCGCCATCCTCTGCCGCCGCCGACCACCGTCCTCCGCCCCCCACCGCCCCCCACCCACCCGCCGTCCTCCGCCGGTAGCCTAGAAGGGAGAAACTCGTCCATGGAATAGAAATGGATCATTCGCACCTAAACGCGTTTCTATTCTTTTTCTATTCCAGGAATAGAAATTTTGTGTAGTTACTAAACGCTATTTTTTGGTCAGAAACTGTTCCAAGAAATAGAAATAGAAAAAACTATTTCTGATAAAAAATTGTTTCTAGGAACAGAAACGTTGCTATGCAGACCCTAATTTGCCCAAAAATTGTTGTTATTGCGAAATAAGATTGCTAATTGCGTGATTAATCACTCTCGATGTATACATGATTCCGAGCCTTAATCACCGGAGGCGTGCTTTATTCTCATAACCAATTGCTAAGAACAAGAAGAATAGGGTATTTCTAAGTGTTAGGAGTTCTCACTAGATTTAGACATGTCATTAGCCTATTGGCTTTTATTGTCATTTTGGACCATCACATGGTTAAATGTCTTTGTTTTGGGGACTTTGAGCTTGTGGACAAATTGAGGAATTGTGACTGGTTTTTTATGGGTTTGGTCAACAATACAAATAGGCTTTTGTCACCATTTTGGATGGGCTCTTCGGAGAGTTTAAGCAATCCATTAATCCAAAAGTTGAATGTCCTGTAGCAAAATACTTAAAATTAAAAAAAAAAACTATGGAAAACATGGTCACTCGAAAATGTCAATTTAATTTAGATGTTTCCAAAATTTTAAAGTGTTTTAGGGTAAAAAAGTCACTAAGTCAAACATTGGAAGTTAAAAATCTGAAGCTGAACAAAACACTCCATGGGGTCTATTCCCAGTTCAATTATCAAAAATCTAAAGTTGCACGTTAGAACACGGTAGTTCAATTATCAAATAGGGCCACAATTTTTTTTTTCCCAAGACTTTTAGCCATAATGAGAAGGTGGAAAATTAAAATAAAGAAAGGACGCGTTTATTTTTTCGGAAAATGATTGATTTGAAAAATATTTTCGTAAAGATGATCGTTTGTGTAGCCTACAAAAGTGAATGAATGGAAAAAAATATTTTCATCGTCCACGAAAATGTTTAGATATATTGTCGGTTAATGAAAACATTTTTCATTAACTAATTATTTCAAATGATAAAAATCAATCATCTTTAGGAAAATGTTTTCCGAATCATTCATTTAACATTTTCCACAAATCAAATGCCGTAATCTCGGAATGGCTGCAATAGCTAATTGTGTGAGAATCTGATCAAACCCACAGAAGAAAAAATATTTGCCAATTGTAAGCTCACTAGAATATCTTCAAATATGTTATATGAACCTTGCTTGAATACTTTTGTAGCTAGGACTGTAATCGAGCCGAGTTAGGTCGAAACACTATCGAGTTCAAGCTCGGCTCGACTCACAAACTCGATGCTCGAAACCCACCTCGAGCTTGATTCGATTAGAAATTGAGATACTCGAGCTCTACTCTGCCAGGCTCAATTAGATTAAATTAAGCTTAGATACTACGTCATATATTTTGTATCTATTTTACTATTATTATTTATTGTTCCTGAAAAATAAAAACTCGATTAGACTCGCAAACTTGTCGAGCTGGGTATTCACAAGCTCGGGCTCAACTGGACAAGATACTCGAAAGCTCGATCACAACTCAAAATTAGGTGAGCCAATCTCGAGTAGTCATTGAGTCGAGCCCGAGCTACCGGTGAGTGGCTTTACTCACTTTCACCCATAGTAGCCGCTAAGTAACTGTAAAACTGATCTTCCTCTTCACCCTCTTCCATGTAAAATCTATCCTCCATTTTTTCACCTCTCATATGTTCCCACCACAGAATCTGCATAAGTGGCCGCTGTTTAAACGAGAGATCGAACAGATGAACACATTTCATTCTGCAAGACCTTTTCTGTCCGTTGGTAAAAGACAATGAAAGCTCATTCAAATTTCATGGCTCAACAGTAAATAAGCTTCAAGAACACTTCCTTCACAGTCCTATTCGATTCTGTCACATTGGAGATTTGATTATCATCTCATTTTTCTAACTAAATTGGAGGAGAGCGTGCTCAATGATCCAAGCTTTAAGAAGCAGCTGGTTTGCTCGCCGCGTGCTTACATGGGACTTGTTGGTTTTGATTCTTCAGCTCGTTGCCAGCCACGAGAAAGAATGCCGTGTGCCTACCATCATTGTTACACAGAAACATTTAGTCTTTTGCTACAAACGAAAATTGATATCAAGGAGAAAAGGGTGTTCAAAAAAAATTTCACCTGAAAAAGTTCATCATCTTAGTCTTCGAGTCATCATCGATTTCCGTAACGCTGTCTAGTGCTTGCTGCATGTGATGCAACCACCTTTCCGCTGCTTGCCGGGTGACGGGAAATGGTCGATGGCGCCCGATTAATGCGGGATGACCTGCCAAATCAGCAAGGTTTGGAATAAACATGTTTAGCCGTACTCCTAGTAATCAGTCATTTAGGTACCGGGAATCATTTTCCCTAAAATGCGAACAAAATAAGATTAAAAGAAGGCGTTCTCTGGATAGAGCAGAACACCATGTTGAAGATGTGAAGATGTTCATGTAAATCAGACACAACTTTTGGACATTAAGGACTACGAGTCTGGATTGGCTCCCACTTTAGAACCAGAAAATGCTACAAAAGGCTCGATACTATACATATATAGCCATTGCTCCATGGCTTTCTTTTCATTTATAGAAGAGAAAACATAAATCACGTGAGGAGAGTTTACGCATGACTTTAGTAACATCTCTACTTGATTCTTGAATCCTCGACTTTTCGGAGGTGGAAGCTGCTACGATTTTTATAGTGTACACACTTAATCTCATCCGATAGCTGTACCAACTCGTTCCCTTATTATACAAACCATTACCATGGACATCACCACATCTTTGTTGCCTCGAATGGGAAAACGCGAATCGGTACATGACAGTAATAGGACAGTAGGGAAAATACCTTTCCTCTGAGAATACAATGCTGGACCGCCCATTCTCTGCACAAAGAATTCATATTGGTTTTGAATCGCTTCTTCCTTCTTTGAATTTGCGAAGATCGACCGAAACCATTCTTCTCCATCGTCGTACACCCTGAACCACCAGACCACACAGCAACAGATCTCAGATCAACAAGCTTCTGTATTCCACGACTCGTGAGATAAATTTTTTTCCTTTTAGGCCCTCCTCATCATGAATCAAACAAGTACACTTTCTCTAACTCAAAAAAAATCAAGCAACACCATATCTAACGAAAGCAAGAAGAAACCAATTCACCCAATGGTCCGAAGTGCATCTTAAATTGGCTTATCAATACAAACACTTCACTCTTCCAACTAGTTAATCATATTCTCAATCATCAAACGCCAGGATCTTGCCATGGTTTTGTCTTGCACGTTTTAATCGTACCAAGTGCAGTTCATCAAGATACAACTAAAAATCCCGCGTCCAAACTCCGCTTTCCGAAAAGACATCGCGGGAGCATCAAGACTCGTCCAATTTCACCAGACTCATCATCCCCCGCAATTTAGAGCAACACCCACGAACCCCATTGAGCAGCATCAACGCACAGCACGACCGAAACGAACGGGCGAGAGGACAAAAGGACGCATTCCACACACGACAAGATCAAAAAGAAACGAGTTTTTTTCTTGATACATGTGCAGAGAAGCGACCTGGAGTAGAAATTGGTCGAGAGATTGATGAAGGTGGGGAGGCCGAGCTTCTGGAAGAGGTTGGTGCCGTCGATGGCGAAGGCGTCTTCCGGGTCAACGCCACTCCATTGGGAGGCCTTTTCTTGCAGGCTCTGCATCTCTCTCTCTCTGTTTCGCGGAGCTCGTGGCGGTCGCGTGGGCTTGAGGCTCTGTTTCTTGAAGGAGGGAGAGAGAGAGATAGAGAGAGCACACGAACAAAAACTGTGGGCGTGGATGTTCGATGGTATTGGTCGTGGGTTTTGGTGGTCCCCGTTCGGTATTCTATTGCATGTTCTCACTTGGAGACATGGTGAGCTCATTATGTTGATACCGCGATCGGTCACGCGATGGCACGGGGCCGATATTTTGTATCGGCAATAGTCTCCGTGACCCAATCATGCTTGCGATCGCGGTGCCTGTTCTAGCGCCTCACCACGTGTTCTAGCGCCTCGATGAGACTATATGATTATATACTAACGAGCGAGTCGGATTATAAATGATCCGATCCAAACTGACTCATTAACCCATATATGATCCATCTATTCGTAATGCGAATTTCCCGATCCATACCTGGCAAGGGTGTCAAAACCAAACAATAAACCCGAACCGGAACACGAACCGACCTAGCCCGATCTGAAGTTTCGGGTATTTTCGGGCTGGGTCAACTTCATGTTCGAGTATTAGCTAAGCAAACGGGTATCTCAATGGTTTCGGTTCGGTTCATGTTCATAAACACGAACCGAACCGAACCGAAACACATATATTTTTATTTTTAAAACCTAAACCCATTTCACTTTGACATGTGAAGAATTAATTGTCCATGTGACCATGCCTAATTTAGCTAAGTTTAGGATGGAATTAATGAGGGAATAATTGCAGGGTCAGATTAAAATGATTCAAATGATAAGTAGGTGATACTTCCCCAAACTTATGCCACTGATGTGGAAGCAATTGAAAAAGAGTTTGCCTCCCTTTTCTCATTGGATTCCAAATGGCTTCCATGAGTTATTGGATTCTGATCGTACAGTGAACTAACAGATACGCACATGGCATCCTGTCGTTGTTGGGGGGTGTGAAAGTTAAACAGAAGTGTTGGAATAATTCTTATGATAGATGTATTGCACGTGGCATCCTGTGGTTGCTGCTTGATATTCTCTAAGCCATGGAAGTTTTAAAGATATCCATCAACTATGACTATGACTAAGATTTTGCTTGTAGATCCAGTAAAAGAGAAGGAGGGAGATTTGGTCCTTGTTTGGTTGCTTGATGATCTTGAGTTTCCGGAGACATAGGCTATAGCGAAAAAAAGGGGCCCGAAAACCGGACCCCACCCGGGTTTTGAGTTCGGGTCATATGTAATTCGATTTCAGGGTTCGGGTCATATGTGATTCGATTTCAGGGTTCGGGTCAGAGAACATGCATCCATTATTGTTTCAGGTCGGGTCGGGTAGCATGGAGACCCGACCCGACCCGACTCATTGACACCCCACCTAGCAAGGGTCATGAAGCCCTAGCTGGCAGTGGGCGATTGGATTCATACAAGAAAAAAAAAAAAGGAAAGAAAGCAAGAAAATAAAATATTATAAAAAATCAAGAAATTTAAAAGAATTAAAAATGTCAATAAAACTTGTTAAGTAATCCATTTATGACCCACTTAAGCTTATTTTAAAACTTAAGGTAACTCATTTATGACCCACAACATTAAATATAGGTTCTAGACTCATTTTGCCACTGCTCACAGCTTGCGGCGCATTCACAGCAAACAATATGAGAAGCGGGTCCTAACATCGAGCTCATACGGTGGGTCCAATTGAAGGTCTGATTTAATATTTGGATATTCTAAAACTTCCCCCACACGTAAGGTGGAAAGATTTGAATGTGGACATCCTGCTACCACGACGATACAGTGGCAGATTTTATGGGTTTATTGCTAATGATTTTAAAAATTTAAGCCGTTAGAAAAAGACGTAATTTAATATTTAAATATCGTCACGGATACGAAAAACATGCCCGTGTCTTTTGTGGTATTTCTCATGCAAAATGCTCATGCATAATTGGAACGGAAGCCTCCTACTTAGACAAATTGGAAGAAGCTTATACGACACTTTTCGAGGAAGGTCATGTCCGAATTCCCAGGAGCTTCTTGGCATGTCTGTAGCTCAGCGCATCGTCGTTGAATGCCGCCCAGAATCGGCCATTCCGTCCTTAGAAGCCTGGAGGATCCGTTCGTGCCCGCGCTGCGAAGCTGCGGGAGCGCGGCGGAGCTGAAGAGGGTCCACGCCCGCATCGTCCACCGCTCGCTGTCGCAGAGCAATTTCCTGGCGACGAAGATGATCGACGCGTGCGATCGGTGTGGAGATCTCGGCTACGCGGGCTTGCTCTTCGGGAACGTGGGGGACCCGAACGTGTTCCTGTACAATGCGATGCTCAGAGCTTACGCGCGCAGCTTCGCGTACGGTCTTGCGGTGGGAGTGTACAGGAAAATGCTGGAGGACGAAAGGGTTTCGCCTGATAAGTTCACCTTCCCGTTTTTGATCAAGTCGTGCGGAGGGTTGGCGAGCGAAGATCTGGGTATGCAAGCGCACGCCCATGTGTGGAAATTTGGGCCTGCGGGGCACTTGGTGACGGAGAATTCGTTGATAGACATGTACACGAAGTTTGGGAATTTGGATGATGCGTATAAGGTGTTTGACGATATGCCACAAAGGGATGCTGTCTCATGGAACAGTCTCGTTTCTGGGCATGTTAGGTTGGGGCAGATGACGAGGGCGAGAGAATTGTTTGATGAGATGCCATGTAAGACTATTGTCTCTTGGACGACAGTGATTTCCGGGTACTCTCAAGTCGGCGGTTATGGCGATGCCCTGGAAATATTCAGACGAATGCAGACAGTTGGTGTTGAACCTGATGAGATAAGTATTGTATCCGTCTTGCCAGCTTGTGCACACCTAGGAGCTCTCGAAGTTGGGAAGTGGATTCACATGTATGCAGATAAGCACCGGCTTCTCCACAGGACTTGTATTTGTAATGCTCTGATGGAGATGTACGCAAAATGCGGTTGCATCGAGCAAGCGAGCCGGTTGTTCAATGAGATGAACGAGAGGGATGTTATTTCTTGGAGCACAATGATTTGCAGTTTAGCCAATCATGGAAAAGCTAATGAAGCAATTGAACTGTTTCAAGCTATGCGAAGAGCAAGGGTTGATCCGAATGGTGTCACATTTCTCGGTATCCTCTCAGCATGTGCACATGCTGGTCTAGTAGATGAGGGACTGGAGTTATTTTGTTCAATGAAGAGAGACTATGAGTTAGAACCAGATATCGAGCATTATGGCTGCTTGATAGATCTTCTCGGGCGCTCAGGATGTCTCGACCAGGCTCTGGATGTGGTACAGACTATGCCAATAAAACCAGATTCCAAAATATGGGGTTCTTTGTTAAGTTCTTGCAGGACTCATGGCAATCTTGAGATGGCCGTTGCTGCAATGGAGCATCTGGTAGAATTGGAACCAGATTCCACAGGGAATTATGTGTTGCTTGCTAATTTATATGCAGATTTGGGGAAAAGCAAAGGGGTTTCGAGAATGAGAAAGCTCATGAGAAACAGAAACTTGAAAAAGCCACCCGGAGGGAGCTCAATTGAAGTGGACAATATGGTACTGGAATTTGTTTCGGGTGATAATTCTAAGCCCTTTTCAGGAGATGCATATAGGATGATAGAGCTGCTGGAATCGGAGCGGAACCTAACAATACAAAGAATTCAAGCTGGGGTTGCTTGAACTCCTAAATTCACTTTTGAACTTAGTGATGGAAAGACGATGCATTGCTCATGCTGCATTAGAAATGTTTCGAGTCACCTTTTGGGGCTGTGATCTGCTTATGCAGTTGCATTCCTCATGACCGGCCGTCTTTCTTGGGGTTTCCAACAAGAAGTACATGGTTTGAACGGTAGCTTCTTCAATTGTGAAGCACAAGCACCTGAGAAACACGGCGCAGAAATGAGGTGCAGAGAAGACTATTGTTATGCTCTTGGTGTTGCTTTATGCACGCCACAAACGATTGAATTTCGAACGGCAATTGAATGTGTTAAAACTGAGGATTGACACATGTAAACTGGAGGCCCTAATGACGGCTCAAACAGAAGAATTGGTCCATTAGGTCCGGGCGAACACCTGGATGTGCAGATAGCAATGAGGAGGGATGAATATGGCTGATAGAGAAGTTTGTTTTACTAAATAGCTCTTATCACAATCTCTGAAAATCGTCCATGTGCACTCTGCTTTATCGTATACAAGCCATTCAAGATTGATACGTAAGGATAGTATTCTCAAAGCCATAATTGGCTATTCATTTTCGTTGAGCTATTCTGAACTTCCACCAATCTATGATCTTCTCTATAACCTAGTGATATCAATTCTCTCCTTAAAAAGGATCAATCAATAAATTTGTCACAAAGTAGCAAGGATCGAATGAAGTAGCTGAATGATGTTACGAAAAGTACAGGTGCTTTATTCAGTCAAATGCCCAAAAATGGCTACATTAATTCACAAAGCCACGATACAAGACCCATACACATCGGAATATGGAGTGTATACTGGCGAAATTCACTATTACACAAGACAGACTACAACATAACTTCATCTAAAAACAAGCACATGAAATAAATAAATGGATCTACAAGAGCAAAACTGCAGAAAATACGGGCTATTATTCAGCCACAGAGGCTTACAAAGCAGAAAGGTACAAAAAGAAAGAAAGTTTAGCTGCTGATCGGGATTATTTGCTCTAAAGTCAGCCAACTATAGTAACGGCTCTCGCATTCCGATGTAATTATCTGGATCTAAGAGAATATCTGTGTAAGCGACAAACCACATACAACAACCACAGAGTAGACACTGCAATCCATGATTACTGCATCCATTACTTTCATCATCAGAAAACCTAACTCCAAGCTATTACCAACTTGATCAGCCCAATCGCTCCCGTCAGCTGAAGGAATCTTATTTTCCCCTTTGACAGCACTTGAAACAGTTGATTGTTTGCCCAAAAGAAGTGGAGCAAGTACAAGTGTCACGTTGGTAACCAGGACGAGGTAAAGAGGCCTTAACATCAAGATGGACCGGATGATCTTGTTACCTAATAGGGGAAAACCTATATCTGAGAAAACCACTAGCAGCCCCACTACCATAGCACAAAGTAAGCGTGAAGTAGCTGAAGAATCTATAGCAGAACTAATTTGATTAGGACTAATGGACATGCTACACAGTGCCTGAGGAACTGAGGGTTGCTCTACATGTATAGTAGGACGAGATGCATTTTGATGCGAGGCTGATGATAAATAAGTTTCTGATTCCTCACTGATCTCCAACGGCGGAGCCTGTGAGCGTTCATTGCTTGTCTGACTTTTCTCTGATGGAAACTCCATATTTTCTCTACCTCGGGAACCTTCAGCCTCATTAGCATCTCCACTTTGATGATCCTTTGGCAACACAGTCTCAAAGGCTTGACATTCTCCATGATCTCCATGATTCAAAGCTGCATGCAAATAAGAAACACGAGTAAGAAAAGCGGGATAGGTTTTGCTAAATCTGATAACAGGATACTTCCTCTTCCTCGAGCTCTTATCCCGCTCATCCCCAAAACTCAAAATGCAAAATTCATAAAAGACAGAGTTTTTTCTGGGACAAAACCAATTTCAAATCTCAAAGCACTGCCGCATTGCTTTCTTTAACCATGGTAGGAGCCAATCCTAGATTTTTACCCGAATGCCTCCATCATACGGATCCGGAACGCGACCAAAGGGAAATAATTGAAGCAAATCAATGACGGGGCATAAAGTAAGCATTTGATGACGCCGCTAAGCTACATGGTAACTCCACAAGGACATATTGCAATTAGCGAGCCGATCGAAGTTTCGCCGAAATGAAAATGGGGTCCTCAAATCTCAAACACAATTCGCTTTTGCTTTGAACAGTGAAATCATCACTTTGCCCATAAACAGCACTATTCCCCGAATCAGAGCTTCTAGTTCACACAATAGCAACACCCAAACACAATCCCCTCGCATCAAGACAAGAACTTGGCCAGGAATGCTCATCCTAAACTCCAAATCAGGTCTTTTTAAGCTAATTCAGCCGCACCAATGCAATTCACCGACACCCACATGCTCTCCACACGCACACCATCATCCTTTTCTCTGCCGAAACGAAACCTAAAACAACGTCACCGAGACCCTCAAACCCATTTCGCACCAAAAGGAAGAAAATTCCCTCAAAACCAACAATTGGGAAATCGCCAATGCGAAACAACAAGGCGCGCACGCATTCAATTCAGTCAATTTTTTTTCCAAAAAGATCGACGAAGGCGAGATATACGGGGCAGAGGCGCATTTAGGATCCGGAACCTGTGCCGTCGGATGGGTGATCTGGGGGGAGAGGGGACGGGCCGGGATCGCGACGGGCGGGCGGCGGCGGCGGCGGGGAGTCGGAGGAGGAAGGGAGGGACTGGATGCGGCCGGTGATGAGGGCCAGGCGGTCGGCGCCGCGGTCGACGATCTTCCTCCGGCGGGATTCTCTGCTCGCGGTGGCCATGCTCGAGAGAGCTCGTTCTGAGATTGCTGCGGATTGATATAAGAAGGGTGCAGTTTGCGATCTCTGTCTCCATCCGTTTTTTCTTCTCAGTTTTTTTGGGCCATGAAAGTTGAATTTTTTCACACAAAAATGGGTACTACTAACATTCACCTTAGCACAATTTGGTCTATAGAACTTTCAAATGTCGCATAAATGGGATAACGACACAAATAGTCTTTGAACTTGAATTAATAGAAGGATTACATTGAACATTTTTATAAAGTTCAGGGACTATACATGGACCACATTGAACAAATTGAAAGTTCAGGGATCACATTGAATATTGGATTAAAGTTCAGGGACTATATTGAATAAATTAAAAGTTCAGGGACCAAATTGCATATTGAGCCGAAATTCAAGGACTGTTTATGTCATTTTCCGCGCATAAAACGATACCAACTTTTCACTCGAAAGACGGTTTTGGCCACTATTAAATTTTTTATTAAAATGTCATACGCGACATCTGAGATTACAAATGTACGTTGGCATGGCAGCCAAAAAACTAGCTTCCATAAATAATCTAAACGACATTGCTTCCATGTCTAATTTAAACAACATGTTTTCACTTGAGCTGAGGATAACTAGTCAAAACAACATTGTTCCCACTAAACAGGCAGAACGAGGTTATTTGGAAATAAATTAATTGAGTCCAGAGAGAGAGAGAGAGAGGTAGGTGTACGGAATTGGGGTGAATGTCATAGTTCTGATCGTTTATGGAAGTTATGTCTATTGACCTGACACTCGTCGTTTGTCATATCGACGTGGGTTCGCCACCTCAAATGTCACATATGCATATTTTGGCCAAAATTACCTATTGTACTAGAGCTGATGGCTTCTTATGCAATACTTGAAAGTTAGGGTCAAAATTGCCCATCAAATGAAAGTTTATGACTTTTTATGCACTTGAAAGTTGAGGTCAAATTGTCTCGAGTGAAAAACGATGCTTTTCTTTTATAAGAAACCCTCATTATGTCGAGTTAAACATTTTTAAGTGGGTGTTTTCTCTTTCTTATTACAAACCATACAATTCTTCTCCACAACAAATTCTCTATAATCCTAATTAGCTTTTTCCGCTCTTCAAAAGGGTGTCCAACATTGGCATGCAGGGGAATGTTCAGTATAAAGTCGTGGATTTAGTCCACTCATAATTACCAATGCGTGCACGCCACCCATGTCCCACTATTTTGCGAGTGGATAGCCCAAAATTGATGATACACCTAAGGTGAGGCACGCTCCTTCGCAGTCTATCCAAAGTTTTGTGAAACCTAAGACGTGTTAGGTAATTAAATCTAATTTTTGGCTTGTGCACCAACTTATTAGGGGTGAGCACCGGTTCAATAGAGATCTTGGAACCAGATAGGACCAACTCTACCGGCTGGTTCTGGTTTGTTTCTCGATTCCAAATTTTGGAACCGACTATTATTGGTCCAGTTTCCAGTTTCTGGGTGCTGAATCGAAACAAACAGGAGAACCGGACTGAGATACCATAATTCTCTCCTCTTGCGTCTTATATTGACCGGTTCCCGAGTGGACCTTGAACTGGAACAAAGGGTAAGTTCTGAGTTCCAAAATTAGGAACCGATCCCGACAGGGTACATCTCAGGTCCAAAACCTACCCATCCTAAAACTACTCACCCCCACAACTTATGGATCACTTTTTTTTTGTCTGTCCTATTTCTAATTCTCCTCACTCTTATACTTTTGCTCTGCCTCTTATAAAGCGCGGAAATCGAATCCCGCACCTGTGATACTAGCGTTCCCACCACCATGGCAATCTTAAGTATTTAAAACCTACCAATTTTTATGTACTTTAATTAATAACAAAAATAGAAACATGAGAGCGAAGAAATATACAAAATGTCAAAATTTAATTGTAAAAAATGTTCACTCTCAAACAAGAATTTTTGCAAAACGAAAATTAGAGGAGTGAAAAGGAAAAATAATTTCAAAAGGAAAGAAACGAAAAGTTCTGTCAGAAGTGGGATTTGAACCCACGCCCTCTCACGAGGACCAGAACTTGAGTCTGGCGCCTTAGACCACTCGGCCATCCTGACTGCTTTGGTTATGATTCTTGAATATATTATATATATATACTATTTTAGATGTCGGATTTTCTAACAAATTTCCTCTTTGCTGGGCCTGCTCGGTGACCCAGAAATGAGGCCTTTCTTCCCAGGATAAAACGAACCGAGGTGTGGGATTTTATGCCGAGCGCGACCTTCGGATCGTTTGCTTAAGCTACATGATAGTACAGTACCAATTCTTTCACAGGGACGACCCGAGTGCGCTAGTCACATCGACCCGGATGTCGAACTGAAGGGGCCTTCGATAGAACCAACTCGCTCCGGCCGTTTGTGGGCCATGCCGCGTAGCTCCTTCCGGGTTCGATTGTCCACTCGAGAACCGATTCCTACACTCGAATTTTGGAGATTTCATCGCTAAACCGAGCTAATGCAATGACTGCTAAGGCTGAGATCGGGCAAGCAGATGGTTGATGTCACCATGAGCAGAGCACAAACTGGTGGCTCGGCACGACGCTGAATTCAAGACAAAGAGAGCTGATCTGTCGTGACCTAAGGTAGCGACATGCGTGCAAGAGGCCACCGATCCTCGGTCAACTCTTTGCAAAGGGATACCAAGAAATCTCCCGTCATTCGCATGTGACACTCAATGTTATCCTCACCAGTAGTCAACGCTTTTCTTCCCAAGGCATTTATTAGAGAAAGATATGGTAAGCGGCTTGCTCGGTTTATTCTTTATTCTCCGTTTAGATCATCTTTTCCCTTTCGGTTGATCACGAATCGAGGAACCGGGAACACGCACCTCTTCTCCTTCTTCAGGTCACTAGCCACGTCCACAACCCACGCCTCCCAAGCTCAGCGAACAGCTTCGATCTTCTAGTCGTCGGAGGTGGCCGAACTTGTGGTAAGCCTCTTTGATATAAATTAAAGCCGTAGTTCAGGAGCAAGTCGAACCCCTTTCACCTTCGCGTGGCGTTTCGATTTCTCTGATTTAAATCTCTTGATTTCGAGTCCTCGTCACATACTGTATCGATGCCGAAGCGTCGGTACTTCTGTTCCATCACATGCAACCTTGTCTAAGATGAATGTGCTTACTCAACACGACCTCCTTAAGAGGGTCCAAGAAAGTTACTCCCTTTCGTATCCGTCTAATCTTGTCCCAAGTGTCCCACCTCTAATCAGATAGGAGAAGTGGGTTTTGAATTTGCTGTGCAAAAGCTGACCTTTGGACACCACCATAAGAGAGACAGAGAGAAGGGTCGTATTTTGCTAATCTTCTATGGGGCACAAGATTGTCTATATGAAAGACATATTTCTGCTGTTTTCAACGAGCATTATTCTATCATATCGCTCTGGATCCAATGACCCATATAAGTGGCACGAGAAGTGGAAACTCTTGCGCATTTTTCAACGTCTAAAATCAAAGGCTAAAGCCCCCCCACCCCACTAGCTGTGTAGACAACGGAAATTTGATGGCAGGAGAATTTGGAAACGGCCCTGATTGAATCCGAAGACTTACAAGGAAAAAAAATCAGACAGAAGATGTCTACGTGCATGCAATTCCATAGTTTATGTCAAAAGAGGTTTCTGACTTTGGAGCGTGTGACATGCTCGAGGTCGGAAAATGGCCATTGAAAACAGTATCCCAACGCTTAAACTATCATATCCACGAGGCAATGTCATTGGAGTTCTTAATACTATATGGTTTTTGAGAAAGCTCTCTCCCACCTATCGCGAGATTTTTTTTTTATTTTAAATCTCCATCCGTCGCCACGGATGAACAGGGAAATCTGTCACAGCGCTGAGCTGATGACGATATGACTCGTTTGTGAAACTAGCAAGAATAAGAGCGCGCCCCTTCACTTTCGGACCCTTTTTGCCCGTCTCTCCCTGAAGCGCTGAGAGTTTTCAGCAGTTGCAGCAAGCAAAGCCCCGCGAAGAAATGCCAGCGCCGGACGCGAGGTCGCCGCTGCCTTTGCTGTTCCGGCGTCGCTCCAGCGGCGAGATCAAGAACTTGGCATCGGTTTCTAGCAGTCTGCTGCCGGCTTTCGGTACCGTCGTCGATGAGAACTATCTGCAGCTGAAGAAGTACGTGATTGCTCCTTACGATCGTAGATATCGGTAAGTTTTTTCCTTCTCCGGTCTGTCGGTTATCATGTTTTTTTGTTTCTCGGGACTCTGAGCACATGATGCTGCTATTGGGAGGAAAGACGGAGATACTATTCTGATCATTGTATGTGCAGGTTGTGGCAAACGTTTCTTGTGATATTGGTTGTGTACTCAGCATGGGCATCTCCCTTCGAGCTGGCTTTCAGGAAGGTGGCAACAGGGTCTCTGATGTACGTCGATCTGGTTGTCGACAGCTTTTTCGCCGTCGACATCATCCTAACGTTCTTCGTGGCCTACTTGGATAAATCGACTTATCTCCTAGTAGACGACCACACGAAGATTGCTATCAGGTGCGCACGTCCTCCACCTTTTGTATTTCAGATTAACGGCTTCATTTGCACCGGGTTCGTGACACAAGAGGGCTAGCTAACGGTTCGAACTTCTGGCGATTGGTCCCTCGTTTTTCCAACTTATTTTCAGTGTATGGGAGAGCCTTTCTTCCTAATACTGGGAATGAGCTGCCTAGCTAATATCTTAGCTGGCCTAAGCCTTGAAAGAAACGTAGAATTTGTCATCTAACAAGCCTAGCTCAGGCCTCAAGACAACATTGATTGACTAACCTAGACAATTAATTTATCTGGGAGATTTAGATATCAGAATATGTACAAACTTGCACATTTTTCAAATAAGAGAGGATTTCCGACAAGCCTCGTGGCTATAGCTGATAAGCTAGTACTTAGTAGTACCTTTCCCTTAGTTCTTGCCATGTTGCCATGAACCATCAAGCTAGGCCATCTCCCCCTGGGAGGAACAAATGAAAAGCCAGGGTAGAGTCTCGGAGCCGGCCCAAGCGAAGATCGGCACTCGAAGGCTTTCGTATGATGAGTGCCCCTCACTCGCCTCTCTTTCCCTAAGGTTTTTTTCGAGGAATGTTCACTCTACGCTAGAAGCAAGAGACTTGGTGGCAACAACCAGAATGAAATATTATTTAATCGTGGAAATGCCATGTCAGGTGCACCTATCAGAATCGGAACAGACCAATTACCAGATCCACCTATCATCGCCGGCATAACCATAAAAAAGATCATTAAAAAAGCGTGAGCCGTTATTAAAACATTATAAAGTTGATGATTCCCCCCAAGAATTTGATCGCCGGGTCATTCGCTTCCTTAAGCCATTTCCATACTAAAAAGAGCTAAATCAGATGGTGACTAGATTCATTCGTAGCACGGGATTCTGTAACAGCAAAAACTAAGACCCCCTACTACCGGATCAAGAGGAGATCCCGCGTTTGAATCTGAGAAGGAGAGTCTCTCCATAAAGAGACAGTCTTTTCCCACGGGCACATCTTATCTTGACTATGAAAAGCAGAGAGATAGATCACGCCTAAAAGCAGCCATTTCTATGAAATACGGGACCCCCCTTCCTTCTCCCATTCATTCTTTGCCTTCCCGGGCGGCTACAGATACATCAGCTTCACTGGAACTCTGGCGGCTAGCATTGTGCATTGGATCGATGGATAAGAGAACTTTTTTTATATCATATCAATAAAGGCTTTCCTTGAGTTTTCAAGTTGGGGCGCTAACGCCCTATCTATAGTCAGGGGCCTTTTCTTGCAGGATGCCGGGTGCGCAGGGTCGCCCAGGACTAAGCATGTAGCCACAACCATGTCTTTAATGGAACCATTAATTAGATGTATATGAGTCCAACGAACTTCGGCCCAATTCCAAAAAAAACCCTCAACTTTACACTTTGTCCCAAATATACCCTGAACTTTTTTTTATCTCAAGAAAAATCACAAACTTTTATCTAAGTCCCAAATCTGCCCTCCTGTTAAAAATCCGTCAAAAAAAAAAAAAAAAAAACAGAGAACCGGCAGCTGCGACGGTGGCTAAGCCTTCGCCGGTGGCCGCCGCCACAGCCGTCGGGAAGGAGCGGCGGCCCACGCCTGGGCCTTCCCCGAAGGCCGACGACCCTCGCCGGCCTCGGGCGAGCCACACGGCGGAGGCGCGCAGCCCCGATCGGGGCGAGGGTCGCGCCCTCCCCAGATCGGGGCCGCGCGCCCGCCGGGCGGCCACTCCGGGGCGGCGAGGGTCGCCGGCCTTGGAGAAGGCCCAAGCGAGGGCCGGCGAGGGTCGCCGGCCCCCTGTGCGAGCCGCCGGCGAGTGTGCGCAACCCCGATCTAGGGCGAGGGTCGCGCCCTCCCCGAGATCGGGGGCTGCGCGCCCTCGCCGGCGGCTCGCCCGGGCCGGCGAGGGTCGCCGCCTTCGAGAAGGCCCAGGCGAGGCCGGCGACCTCGCCGCCCCCGGCGAGCTGCGGCGAGCAGGCGCGCAGCCCCCGATCTCGGGGCGAGGTCGCGCCCTCCCCGAGATCGGGGCCGCGCCCTCGCCTGCAGCCTCACCCGGGGTCGGCGAGGGTCGCCGCCTTCGAGAAGGCCCAGGGCGAGGGCCGGCGACCTCGCCGCCCCCGGCGAGCCGCCGGCAGTGCGCGCAGCCCACGATCCGGGCGAGGGTCGCGCCCTCCCAGATCGGGGCTACGCGCCTCGCCGGCGGCTCGCCCTGGGCGGCGAGGGTTGCCGGCCTTCGAGAAGGCCCTGAAGCGAGGGTCGGCGAGGGTCGCGGCCACCGGCGAGTGCGCGCAGACCCCGATCTCGGGGCGAGGGTCGCGCCCTCCCCAGACGGGGTCGCGCGCCCTGTTTGGGCGGCCGCCGGCCCGGAAGGCCCTGTGCGTGGGCCACCGCTCCTTCCCGACGGCTGTTGCGGCGGCCACCGGCGAAGGCTTGGCCACCGCCGCAGCTGCCGGTTCTCTGTTTTTTTTTTTTTTTTTCCCTGAGTCAATTGGACGGATTTTGAACGGGAGGGCAGATTTGGGACTTAGATAAAAGTTTGTGATTTTTCTTGAGATAAAAAAAAGTTCAGGATATATTTGGGACAAAGTGTAAAGTTGAGGGTTTTTTTTGGAATTGGGCCAACAAACTTCATTGTGCTGGGGAATTAGGGAAAGGAGGACAGCCTAGCACTCAATGACAAAAGGGTTGCAGCACACCAAAAACTAAATAGATGTAAATTGTGCGAAGTACCCTGCAGGAATGGCGAAACTAAATTCCGGCATGGTTATGCCTGATTACTTGGTATCCATACCATGATAAAGTATCATGTCTCGTCTGTCGACATTGTTCAGAACACCGGAAAAGAAAAACAATTACCAAAAGACAGTGCCGCCACTGCTGCTTGTGTTATCAAGGTTAAATGGCACCAACATGTCTCTGTCTTAAGATAACTCGTATGCCAGCACTTGAATGTTTTCAGACTTATCAAGTAGCTTGGCTTTCCACCTCGGTCGAATACTGGTCCAACGACATAACCACCTAACACCAGTAGATGGATTCTTCGGTTCCTTATTGAAGTTTTTCTATCCTAGGTATGTCACAGCGATTTATTTCCCTTTGGATGTGGCCTCAACTCTTCCATTTCAAGTAATATACAGAATTTTAACCGGAAAAATGCGCGATGGCAACATTTTCGGCTTCCTCAATTTGCTTCGATTATGGCGACTCCGGCGTGTTAGTGAACTCTTCACAAGGTACCATTAACACTCATATTTGTAACTAAAATCCATTTTAACTGTCATGAGATATTCTCACCTAGCAATGAACATCACTCGTGTTTTGACTATTGTCTGGTAAAGATTACAGTTACGATGTGGCTAACCTATTTTGTGTATTCAGGCTAGAGAAAGACACTCGCTTTAGCTATTTCTGGACCAGATATTGCAAACTAATTGGCGTAAGTATATCCTTCCTAGGAGGATGGGAATTTTCTTGGGTGCAACCGTTTTCTACATGGATAGTCATACGCAACTTTTCTTCCTCGTGACTTTCTCTGCAGGTTACCCTATTTGCAGTTCATTCAGCTGGTTGTTTCTATTTCTGGCTAGCCTTCCATCATAAAACACCAGATAACACATGGATTGGAAGTCAGGTTCATGATTTCAAACACAGGAGTGTCTGGCTGGGCTATACTTATTCCATGTATTGGTCAATTGTTACCCTCACCACAGTCGGCTATGGAGATTTGCATGCAGTGAACACAGGAGAGAAAATATTCAATATGGTCTACATGTTATTCAACATTGGCCTCACCGCATATTTGATTGGTAACATGACAAACCTTGTCGTCCACAGTGCTGTTCGGACCTTTGCCATGGTAATCGCTCTCCTATCATAACCGCTAGTTGTCCATGTAGTTCCCAATCTGTGTCAGATAGTATCAATTTAAGTCTTAACACCATTAACACCAAGCAACACTAGCTATTGAGAACTTCAACAGGAAAAGAATGAACCGAGAAAACTACGGATAGTATATGTTGCCTTTTTCATCTTTAGGGTCTTTTGAAATATGCTTTTCAATGAACTTAGCCATTCAGCGGAGTTATCAGTGAAGAAAGAAATCAGATGTAAAGTGAAAAGAAAAAACTGTCCAAGGATGAAACTCAGAGAACTGCCTAAATGAAGAGATTTGTAGAAAGTCAGATAGTTTTCCAAAATTAATTGCTTTTTATTAGGAAAATTCCATTCTAAGAAAAAAGGTCAAGAAAATTAATTGAAAAGATGGTAACTTTATTAACTTGACTGAAGTGCATAAGGCTAATTGCAGAGCTTGAGAACCATTTTCAGGGCACAAAATGCAAAAAGAAAACTTGAAACATTAACTTCTCATGTTCCTGGATGAGCACTGGACATTAATTCGAATAAGATTTTTCTTGCCCTTGAAAAGGACCCATCATTCATATTTAAATCACTCAGTGGCCATTACCTGGAGTACAGCTTACAATCTATACATACCAACAACTTCGCAGAGGGATGCTATAAATGAGATATTGCGCTACGCAAGCAAGAATAGACTCCCAGAAGGTTTAAAAGAGCAAATGTTGGCACACATGCAACTCAAGTTCAAGACAGCAGAACTACAACAAGAAGAGGTACTGGAGGACCTGCCAAAGGCAATCAGATCCGGAATTTCTCAGCACCTATTCCATAGAACTGTAGGAAATGCCTACCTATTCAAAGGAGTCTCTGAAGACCTTATTTCTCAGCTGGTAAAATAAATTTCCTTCCTTCTTCCAACTAAGTTTGCATGGTTACTAGCTTACTAGTTTGAACTAAGTTGAAGATATATCACAAAAATCCAGGGGGTCTTCATCTCTGGACCTATCATTAAAGGACTAGACAGTTTTTCTTGTCCCTTAAAGTTGTTATTAAAAGTTCGTGCGCACCCTGTCTCAGATAATAGGTATTCTTGCCATAACTGAAGGCTAAATGCAACATTATTTTCTCCTAGTGTCTAAATTCTGTGGTTTTGATGTGGTCAGAGAGTAGTCAAGTAAACTATGTTATTGTCTTTTCCGTTTAAATTAGTTCAACCGCGAGATGTTAATCATTTGTTTCAACAGACAATATCTTAGAATCACGTCATTGAATTTTTTACAACAGATATCTGAGATGAAAGCAGAGTATTTTCCACCCAAGGTTGAGATCATCTTGCAAAATGAAATTCCAACAGACTTCTACATAGTAGTATCTGGAGCAGTGGTAAAATTTCTCCTTTACTGCCCAGATTATTCAAGTAAATCATGTGGACAAGTCTTAACAGTATCCCGAATTGCAGGATGTTTTGACATACAAAGGTGGAATGGAGCAGGTATGATCAGCAAAAGGTCCTCTAGAATATCATATCCCGTTTTTACAATAGTTAATCTTTCACATGCTGAAACTCTCGAGAGATTAAATTTTGAACCCTTAATGGCGGCTTGAGCTCCTGGTGATACTATATAATACATTATACATACATATGAAATATGTACGTATAAACATATATACTAAGTTTCACCTTCTTACTCCCATACATCTTTAACATTATACACTGTAACTTAATTTCTTAATATGATGTCATTGCAGCCTCTGACAAAATTAGGCTCATCTGAAATGGTGGGAGAGATTGGGGTAATTTTTAATATCCCTCAACCATTTACAGTGAGGACAAAAAGGCTCTCTCAAGTCATCCGGATTAGCCATCACCACTTCAAGCAACTGGTGCAGCCACATAGCAAAGATGGGAAGATAATTATTACCAACTTTGTTCAGGTTGACAAAAATGTTCCTACTATCACTCGACTAATCTGAAGCAAAATAACAGCTAAAAAAATGTCAAAAGTTTAAAAAAAAAAAAAGGGCTGTCAGAAATTTTGAGATTGAAGCATGCCATAAAAGTTAAATATTATAATTTAAAAAAAAAGGAAGAGTTTTCACCTCAGATATCGCTAAATTACAGTTGATAACAGAACTTTTCTTCAGCTAAACTAAACCTATATTTGTTTACGGTTTGTCAGCTATCCTGATTGCTTTCTTCCTTATGATTTTATAAAAATCATTCGATGTGCATGTTAATTTTTCTGTTTCCTTTCCCGTAATCAGTACCTGAAAGGCCTGAAACCAGAAGTGCTACAAGAAATAGAATTTCTGACAGAATCTCTGGATGATCTGAACATAGAGGTATATCTCCTGAACTAAGCAATATTTTGATAAATTTAGTATCCTCAATGAAATTCAAAGTCCACTTAAGCAGGTGAAAGTAGTTTACCCAAGCAATACATGGTAAAGAACGTTGGTAATTTATTAGCATTATGAAGTAAAGCAGCAGCTAACGAGAAAAACAGGGGGTGATGATTGATATACTATTATGTTTCTCTTCTTTGGCAGCATATGTTATCAAATGAAGAACTCGAGAATGCTGCCAATGGTAGTGGAGATGCAAACGCAAATGGTAGCTTCTCTCACCCAAAACAATAATATCAGCATCATGTCATCATGTCATCTGGAAATAGTGACAATTTATTATGTCTTAGAACCAAACTCCAAAAGTACCAACTTCCTGTTGTGGCAGGGCTAACTCAAGTCTCCGTTTGACATATTCCTTCTTTAACATTAACAGAATCCTTGAATCCCCAACAACAAACAATTTGACTGCAAGTAACTTTTAGGGCTTAGGTGATCAAGAAAATAGATAGTTTAGGTGATATTTCAATCAGAGCCTACATGCTACATCCATTCACCATAATTAAAAACATAAGTTTCATAGATACAGTTGCATTTTCACAGTGTCAACATTAAGCAAAACAGTTGCTTCTGCTCTCTCATAACTTAATCTTCTGCAAGCTACTAATGACTATGATTTCAATCTTCAGTATCACTAGTTTTCTTGTGTAATTGAATCTGACATTTTATGAGTCCGAGTGTGTTTTAAGTCCAAAGGTTGGGATCTGAGGGAAACCCCATTTACGGTGGGCTTCGTTAAAGTGATATATTTAAGTTCAGAGTGTTAGCTTAAAGAAAATTTGGCCACCAAGATCTTTTTCAGGAGCCAATGTTCTTTTTTAATTGGTTTTTTATTGGAATGTGTGGGAAAAAAAATCGTTACTCTTACTCTCTACTTCCATTTCCTATGCTAAATAAACTTATCTGCACCTCCAAGACATATTGATACATCACATCAGTGAGCTATGCCAAGCCATGGAAATAATTTAGACTTTGTCATATGGCGAACCACTTTCTTTATAATTATTATTCTGTCAAAGAATCTTATGCATGCATTTCGCAGAAGCACCGCCACCCTCCACTACCTTACCAAGCACATTTCCAGTAAGGGTAATTATACACGACCATCATCCCAGTGAAAGTACATTGGAATGCAACATGACAGGGAAACTGATACATCTACCCGACTCCATAGAAGACCTTCTCAAAATAGCAGGTATGATGGACATATTCTACTATTTTTATCGAAAATCAAGTCATTTCCATGTAATGCCAAACATAGAGTTCCCCAGATAATCAAGCAACGGCAATAGAAGACATAAATATGCAAATTATGTTGAACATAATGGCTTTCAACAGCAGAGCCATCAACATATTACAATGAATTAATCTGCTGAAATCATAATCACAAGAGCCTGTATACTTCAGGCTTCAAATGCACACACATGCCCATAGAAATCCATGAAAGCACAAGTACACAACCCCACACACGTGCTTGCACAAAGAATAATCACTGACGATGTGCTGCCAGCTGCTGTAAGGGTAACTTTGTGTACTCATACTCTTTGTTAAGTAGTACACAGAGTTAAACTGTCTGCTAAGAGATTGTTACATAATATCAACTTTTCTCTTTACATCCTTTGAGTTCTAAATGCCTCCCTTCATGAAAAATTTGACCTAGTGTTGTTTTACTTAATTTGGCGGGTGCAGAGAAAAAGTTCAGCAAGAGAGGAAGCACAGTTCTCATGGCTGATGGTGCAAAAGTGGAAGAACTCAATGCCTTGAGAGAGAATGATCATTTGTATATCTTTTAGATTCATATGCAGATGACCATGAAATAGTTTTAGCATTTCTCTTTTTGTTAAACAATCCTTACCGATAGCAAAGGATGGAAATATGGAATAGTTATTTAAATGCTTGTAAATTCTTTCCACCAGTGAATACAATGATGAGTTCCATCTCTTTCCAAACTACCTAGAAAAGCTCAGTATATTCTTGCCCTGCATATTAGACTGGAATAAATACAGTTTTGAAGCTTGCCTCAATTTCCAACATTGAGCATGTCGATAACAGCATAAGCAGCTCTTTGGAATTGCTTCTTCTCTTCCTCCAGACCTTTCTTCCTCTCAAGAGCGGAATTCCTGCACTTCTCTATATCCTCGATAATTCCAGCACTGCTTTGATCAGCTTCACTACACAATAGTCATCATATAATTATCAGATGAGATTATCTACATGTCTGATTAGAAAGATGATTTTGCGATACAAGATGGATGAATGTACATAGTGAAAGCACTCTTGAGTTTAAAAAGGGATACCAAACACGTGATGGAAATCACTTATTAGGGCAGAGGCACTGTAGATTCTCTTTAAGGAAACAAATGTCAATGACGTATGAAAAGTGATCAAACTCCGATACAAAGAAAAGCATGAAAATATGTTGATTATCGTAAAATCAAAAGCCCAAAAGGCCGTAGCACACAAGGGGAAGTAACATTGGACGATCTAAACTGATTCGCAAAGCTTTTCTTGCTAAGTGCCGTTGCAGCAATTCATAACAAAAATCAACATGGGCTACTTCTGTGAATCGAATCGAATGCCAATCATGATCAAGAGGAGCCGAAGTTTCAGCATCGAAGACAGAAGCAATCCAAAAGGAACATCTCAACTCACTTTATCATCTTCAGCATGTTTTCCATCGCCGCCTGCACCTGTTGCGACATATCTGCAGCCATGATGCAACAGTCATCAAGTAAATCGCTTTTACCGGTCGGCAAAACCAAAAGAACTCTACATGTAGTCGCGAGGCAATCCACATACGACACGCCAATCTTATTATCACAACAAATTGCACGCGGACACTGGCGCCTATATAAAATTGTAAATTCTCGAGCCTCCGATGACGATACACAAAAGGAAAACAATATATCCTTCCATAACTTCATCTAAATCATAAGTCTGCCTGAGATAACATCTTAGCGTGCCAAGCCAAATGCAGTTACGGAAATCGCAACCGGCAACTTCTTCCCGCGAACAACCTATCGTCCAATTACGTACTGCGCGTTCAGCCGGAACCGTTTCAGCTCACGACCGGGTGATCCTACACCGGTCCGACAGAACCGGCGAGCGAAAAACGCGAACCAGAAACAACAAAACAACAAAAACACGTCGGTCACTGACTACAAAGCGTGCGTACACGTCGATCCGACTGTTTCCGTACACATGTGGAGGATCAAGACGCGATCCGATCACGTCCGATGCAACTCCGCAATGCGCGCGCGCGCGCCGCCTCGGCATCGCTAGCGAAGCGACGGGCACGAACCGGCGGTCGACCGACCACCGCATCCTCCCAAAAGAAACAAGGCGAGCGCTCGCCGAAACTCGTCGGAACAGAAGCCGAAATCCGCGTCGCGGCGAGCCGCGGAGGGACGGAGGAGGAGGGAGGGAGAGGGAAAGAGAGAGGGGCGCGAGGAGAACCGTATACGAGGGAGGCGAGCCGCGATTCGGCGGCTTCCGGAGGAGGGAGACGAGCGGTCGCCGCCGGAGACGGTGGAGCCGCCATTGATTCCGAAGCTCGAGCTCGCTTCCTCGTTCTCTCTCGGGAGGCGAGAGAGTCGTCGTGACTTGGCGAGTGATCGAGCGTTGCCGCGCGGCGAGCTTTTCCGGCTGGGAAAATCGGGTTGCGAAAGTCATTTGTATGCGCACCGGGTGGCTGCGGGCCCGCGGCTACAGGAGCAATACTTGTACGGACGGATCGTTTCAAAATATATATTTCGTCAAAATGATCATTTTATTATAGCTTATGAAAAAAAATAATGAAACGAAAAAATTCCTTCGTTATCCAAGAAAATGTTCAAACATAAAATATTATTAATAATGAAAATATTTTTCATTAATTAATTATTTCGAGCGATGGCCGATCAAAATTATTTTAAGCAATCATTTAAGAAATATATTTTTCACGAAATTAACGGAGTTCTAATATAAATAAGTTTAAAGATCATGAATCCTAAGTTCGCAAGGGACCCACGAGCGTGTGTAGATTTGACGCGCGGCATGAATTTGATTCTTTACCCTTAATATTTGCAAACAATGTCCCGTCCGAGCCATTTATATAATTTTATCTCGCGCCTTATCGGGTCTTTTTATGTTAATGGAGAATGGATGCGGCGGGGTCTTGTGTTATGCAATGTTTTGCGTCCCTGAGCACTGTTGCAACTCGTCCAGTGATAAAGTGGCAATTCATCTTCTATCAGGTCACGAGTTTGATTTGAGTCGCGAGCGAATTTCTGAACACCTCGTGCTGCATTGTTTAGTCGCAATAAATCTGGCGTGGAGAAATTTTCGGGACTACTAGTATCTTGGTAGGAGCAGCAATGACAGGCTCATCAATCTCGGACTTTTGGGCCACGCGGGTGTTGCAGAGCAGCTAATGTGCAATCTTAACATTTAGGGATGGGTGCAATTAAGTCCTAAAACTTGTCAAGAAAGCGCAATCGAGTCCTAAAACTTTCAAAAAATGAAAATCAAGTCCTAAAATTTATCACGAAAGCACAATCGAATCCTAAAATTTTAAAAACGTTCAATCAAGTCCTAAAACTTGTCACGAAATCACAATCAAGTCATAAAACTCATCACGAGAGTGCAATCGAGTCCTAAAACTTTCAATTAGTGCAATCGAGTCCCAAAACTTTCAAAAAGTGCAATTAAATTTAAAAACTCGTCATGAAAATGCAATCGAGTCCTCAAATTTTCAAAAAGCGATAAGTTTTAAGACTTAATAATGGACTTATTCACGAGAAAAAGTAGCATGACATCACTGTCTTTACTAACTTGCCAGCACCGCGCGAGCTAGTCAACAACGGGGCACATCTCCTATTGCCACGTCACCCTCAGTTAGGCCAAGGTAGAAAACAATCCGACCTTTCCTTTCCCTCCTTTCTTGCTCCAAACCCAACAATAGCAAAAAGCCCTCATCAGAAAGCCCAACTAAAATTAGGGCAAAAAAAAAAAAAAGGGTTTTGTAAATGTCAGCACCAATAAAATCCGATTTAACCTTGCAAAAAAAAATTTACATTTTAGATATAGATTTGCCGATTACTGAGCTCACGCATGACGGTTTATAAGTGATTCTACTCCGTCGTATAGATAGATCGTAACCGGAATATGGCCCGTGCAGATGAATAGAGGTGACGGTAGATGGGTTGTTCTTATCATGCCACGAGAGAACCCTGCTGTTAAGTCGATGGTAATGTGAAATGTTAAACTCAGGGGTTTCCCGTTTGTTTGAAGGGAAACTATTTTTCGGGAAACTGTATTCCGGCTTTTCCGGTGTTGGCGATGATGAAAAACCTTCTTCATGGACCACAAACGGCGAGCTTGGACAGGTTAAAAACGACTTCCCCTTATAACGAGAAGGAAATCACTTCTCTAAAGCCACCAAATGAAATGAAATGAAAACTAACCATTTTTCTTGAAAGTGATTTCCAATGGAATATATTTTCATCTACCATAAATTTTTCGGTGAAACAAGCGCACCCTAGAAAACAAATGATCCGGTAAAAAATTTCTTAAAAATGATCGCTTGCATCGCTAGAAAATAATTAGTCAATAAGCGGCGATTTAAATATTTTCGTAAACGATGAAATTATTTTTCGTTCGTCCATTTTTCCGAGTGAATGTTTACCAAATCATCAATTCTCCGCGTAACGAACACGTCGTTTGGTAACAAAGTTTTCTGTCATTTCCCATAAAAAAAAAAACGAAATTAGCTTAATTTAATTACCATGGTACGAGGCCAACCGGGGCCCTAACGTCGGGAAAAACAAAAAAATCTGAAGTTCGTTTTTTTAAATCCTTCGGTTCATAAAAAAAATTCCCCACACGCACACGCAGCACACGGTGGGAATATATCGGAACTTGTGGAGGATCGGAAGCAGAGCTGGAGCTTGTAAAATAGTAGATTAAATCAATAAATAAATCAACAAATAAAAATTATTACTATTGTTATTTTAATCCTAGAATCGTCGTTTTTCGAGTATTTTTTTACGTTAAGATTAGCACGATGTTTTTTTTTTTTTTTGCTCGAAAGATTAGTACGATGTTAAGATGTCATTTACTCGGTGTCTTTTACCTCGGGGCTTCGTCGGTCGCTAGGTCTCGGTTTGCTTAAAACATAGCCACGTGGGGTTTATCTTGAACGCGAGACGTTTCGGTACAAAAATTAAGCCCGTTTTCCTTTTAATACGACCCCCCGGTTTTGGACTTATGTGTGTCCCCCAGGACACTTTTAAAAGTGAAAAAGAAAAAAGAAATAATTGCACGTCTTGATCAAATCGTCGACGTTGTAAATTTTTTTTTTTTTAAAAAATTTTCAGAGCAGGTTTGATGTGGCTCTTAACAAGTGCCCATGATGCATTGTTCGACATTTTTCTTGTTAATAATTAAGGGGGTCGGTAACACTAAAAACTATAAGTTTTGCCCACGGCGGCATCACTGCCTCGAGTATTCTTTTTATGTCATCAGAATTTCCAAAACCTGTACCGATGTAACAAACAGATCGAAAGATTTTGCCGTGCTAGTACAAGTTTGGGTATGGGCGACGCGGAAAAAAAAATTGGGATATTGGCGCGACAGTGAATAAAGTTTTACGCATTGGATGTTTTTGTCGCATCGATACAAGTTTTTTGGGGGGTTTTGGTGGGTGAAAAACCGTGCGGACAAGAGGTGAAAAACGTCCTCCCTTTATGCTAAGATCTCGCCCTTCCTCGAATTCTCAGAGTGGCGTTTAGGCATTTAGCGTGCGTCGGTTCGGGTAAACCCAAGCGCTGAGGCCTTTTTGGCTCCCATGTAAATAAGTTAGAACCCTAGTGTCTCGTGACCTCCCCTCATCTGGTCCAAGAACTCAGCCGATGTCGCTGCTACGTCTACCATAGTCCGTAACCCAATCGACGGAAGACTTGATTATCGCTAATATCGGCCGATCCAACACGGATTTTTTTTTTTTTGATCGAAAACACGGATTGAAATAAAAGCCGGTTCGACAGATCCAGCCCCAAGCAGTCCTGTGTCTAGATCCCTTCCCCGTCAATGATATGATATAGGTGGGCAGCTTAACTCTTCTCCCATTAGTTAAGGTTTTTTATTATTGTTGCCACAGCGGACGTAGTTTAGAATTTTTTATTGTATGTTGCTTAAATTAGAAAAAACCCGTCATGAAAATTTTTGAATTGTTTTTTTAGGGAAAAAAAAAGCCGCTAAAAAAGCCTTCTAACTATGCCAATTATGACATATTTACCATAAAACTTTTTTTATTGACATAAAAAAATCCAAAAAATTTATTTGCGTGACACGTTTACCATCCGTCAATAAAAATCATTAAAAATCAATACCGGAAATCAAACGGTATTGACATGACACTCGCGTGATTTAAGTGAAATAAAAAAGACGTTATTTTGGCTGAAAAATTAGGATAAATATGTCATATAAATATAAATTTAGGATTTTTTATGTTATACGGAAAAATTTAGGATGGCATGATTTGAAGTCTTTAGTGACTTCTTTTCTCTCTTTTTTTTTTTTTTTTTTATAGGGAGAAATTCCTGATTTTATGTTTTTGTTTTTTCCTTTTCGGTGCGACCTCTTTTGTCTTTTCGGAGGTACCCTCCAAAATACTTGCCTTGCAATTCAAAAGCACGGCAGTATCGACAAAAAGAAAATTATTCAAAAGTACGGAATCGGAAAGGAACGAGGACCGTCGATTGGTGGTCCCGCCCAACCGGAATCATGTCACATCCACCGTCAGATTTTCACGCAGGACTGTCGCATCAGAAAACGACAAAAGAAGGACGGACCAATAAGACGCCAAGGTCGGTGCAGTGCGGAAACTTGGGCTCTAGCCAACCGTTGGGGGGCTTACCAGAAAAAGCCCAAAAAGAAATATATATATTTTTTTCAACGGTGATTCTAATTAAAAAGGATTAATACCGCGAAAAATTCCAAACTGGTACGCCCGTGATAATTTTATTCTAAAATAATTTTTTGACTACGAAAAATCCTAAACTGGTATACCTGTGACAAATTTACCCTCAGTTTAATTCCGTTAAATTTTATAGTCAAATTGCTTTGTTAAATGACACACAGTAATTGACGGACGTACCAATTTTATGTTTTACCTTTCGTTTGTCACAGGCGTACCGGTTTATGATTTTTTGTGGTATTAATTCAATTTAATGGAAACTAATAGAGGGTAAATTTATCGCAATTGTACTAGTTTGGGGTTTTTTGTGGTAAAAAAATTAGTTTTGGGTAAATTTATTACAGGTGTACCAGTTTGAGGTTTTTCGTGATCAAAAAATTAGTTTATGGTAAAATTGCCACCGGTGTACCAGTTTGGGGTTTTTCGTGATACTAACCCAATTTAGAAAATACCAAGTTTACTAAAATTAGCTAACAAATTGATTTACTAAATAACGTGTCGGTTTGCAATTGGTTATTGAATATCGCCCATTTGTTTAAAGACCCACTTATGGACCGTCGCGGTATTTAGTATACCAAATTTGTAGATCAATCTTTATAAGTTTAGCATTGTTCCCCCTTTTTTTTTTGCTCGGCATAGCAATTATTCTCATGATAATTTTGACGGGACCATTTGTTTTTTTTTTTTTAGAGCATAGAGATCGATTGGTACCTTAAGCCATTTCATGCGTCGTAACCAGATTCATGCCTTAGAAACAACAAGACTTGAGGATTTTTCGTCAGGATTTACTTTAATTTTTTACTTAACTTGGTCCGTCTTCAAAAGGTTATAATAAAGTGAAATCGTATCCCGGATTTCGCAGCTCTTGACTTGTGGGCGAAGCGCCGAGTGTTTTACAAATTTTACGATGCCCGTAGCATCCGAAATTTCCGCGTGCATCGGGTGCATTTAGGCCAGTAATTTGGCACCCATTTGAATGAAAGAGCTCAATGGAATTTTGTGGCACATGTGCCTTTCTTCTACAATCTCTACTCTCCACCTGGTGCTGGAATGATTCCCAACAATTCCAAACTTCCTTTTTTGCCAGCTTCGAATCAAAGCTTACAAGTTTTGAAGGCCATTGACGACGGCTCTCTTTTTTTTTTTTTTTTTTTTTGTGGTTGGTAAAATCATTGACGAGGGGCTTTTGCCAAAGGGAAAAAAGTTTGGAAATGATTGAAGAGAATCCCCATGGCTGATTGCATGGGGTCCAATTTGGCTGTTGCCGTTGCACTTTTGTATCGATTGCAACGACGTGGTCCATCAATCCTCCCATGCGGCTTACTCCCAAGGAAGCAACGAAAGGACACGTGATTGTCGTCACGCAATATTTCTCTTCCCTATGTTAAGGATCTGTCTCGCGTTATGCATAATTGATATCTTAAAAATTGAATTATTTAGATTAAAGTATACTTAACGAGCGTCTCGGAACGCTTGTTAACGGTACCCTTTCACATTAAGAAGTAGACGGAATGAATAAAGCTATGCTCGGATATAGGCAACTATAATACGATTCAGCTCGAGCCCGGTGTGGATTACTTGTCTTTGCCCGGCTTTATTTCTTGATTCAATGCGTGATTCGTGAAAGTCGGATTCGTGCGTGCGAAACGGAAAAGTCGATATGTCATCGGGACGAGGCATGCTAATTGGACACGGTGAAGAATCAGGGCACCCATTAACTCCTAAGTTGCTCACCTTGAGCTCTCCTTGAAAACCCAAAGAGAAGAAAAATGGAAAAGGAAAATTAGGGTGCACATGTAGAAATGTTAAAGCGAAAGCGGGGTCAAAATGGGAATAAGATGAAGATGTTTTTTCTTCAAAAGAATGCCATGGAATTGTAACTTTGAATACAAAAAGCTGGTGAACGTAGAGAATTACAAAAAAAAAAAAGTGAAAAAAAAAGCAATGTAAAATAAGCTTCGCACAAATTAGACACTCCAATACCAATGGCCAATATTGTAGAATATCTTAAACAATGTTGGGTTAGTCAAAACGATAAACATAATCACATCAAAGAACACAAGATCTTAGAGAAGATATTCTCGCGATTTCAATGTCAAAAGAAGCGCGTCACGAGGAAATTTTTTAATAATTCCAAATGACCTTCGCATGGATATTTATTGAATAAAAATCAACCACCCAAACATTGAAAAGTGAAAATCAGGAAGAAAATCACTCTCAACTGAACTTTTTGCTTGATCTTGCTTTAAGTAAATATTTCTTTTTTTTACTGGACTTTCGGTTTAATTATCATTATCGATCACAGGTTCTTCAAGACTTTTGGGGGTGAATCTCACCTGATATCAGGGGTGTGTAAAACGCGCCGTCTGGACCGGATCGGAATGGTCGGATTGGTCCGGTTCCCGATTCCAAGGGGGAACCGGACCGGACAGAACAGACTGCATATACTTTTTTCATTTATTATTTCTTCAAGAAAATTAGTTAAAGGTGAACTAAACTCACATACAACGCTTTTCCCTTATCGTCGTACCTCAATGACTTTTTACTCATCGTCGCTTCCGTCAATATATTGAGATTTGTCACTTTTTCTCGTTGTGATGGAAAAAAAAAAGTGATTGATTTTATTGGACCGGTCCAGTCTGCTCCTCAGTTCTCAAAATTGGGAACCGAACTAGTTCCCGGTGGTGAAACCGGATCGGACCGGAAACTGATCACTCTTACTTGATATGATCAGTACATAATTATCCATCCTGAAATTTATAAGCGGTCTGCTCATCGGTTCTCAAAATTGGAAATCGAACTGGACCGGAAACCGATCACTCTTACCTGATATGACCGGTAAATAATTATCCATCCTGAAATTTATCATCAATTTTACAGATTTAATAAAAAACAATCAAATCTTTTTCCAGCCCCCTCTCGGAAAAAAAAAAATCTCAGGTTTGGTTTGGTCAGGAGGCCGATTCTGACAGAAGAAAACAAGAAAGAGAGGGGGGAAAAGTGTGAAAAAACTACGAACAAATGTCCTTGGACGGATACACGGTCACTTTTGCTGTGTATTTATGTCTTTCCCCCACATCGTGCGACTCGTATAAAATACTACAAAGAGAGAAAGAGAGAGAGAGAGAGAGAGAGAGAGAGAGAGGGGCAGAGGGGGGCTTGTGGGTACTCCTGTGGAGACTGAAGAGTGCACCAGAAGCTCATTGAAGCTCTGATTTTGAGGCATATAAGAGAGAGAGAGAGAGAGAGAGAGAGAGAGAGAGGGGGGGAGAGGAGTGTTGTGCAAGCATCACACATTCATAGAAAGAGGCCTGGCCTCCTCCTCATCAAATTCACACATTTCAGCGTTGCATTGAGGGGTCTCTCTCTTCTGTGTGAGAGAAAGCACTGGAGAAAACAGCAGCAGGGTCGCTTTGAAGTTTCCAGAAAGGGAGAAAGACAGAGAGAGAGAGAGAAGAAAGACACCCAAGTGAGTTCATTTGATTCTCCATCCCCCCGACCCTTTTCTTCTCTTTTGAGCCGATTCCGTGGCTGGGCTTACTGACTCCGCTTTCTCTGACTCTTCTGATGCAAATTTTTGAGCTTTTGCTTTGTCTCGTCTTTCTGGGTCTGTTCGCTATTGTGGGTTTAAAGGGAATAAAATCACACCACGCACCGTGTTTCTCTCGAACTTCACAAACACTGTTTACTCGTCTCATCGGAGGTGCCATTCACGTCTTCTCCGGGGGGTTGTGTAAGCATTTCAAAGTTTGCTCCTTTTTCTGGTTTTTATACGGGTTGTTGACACGATCGAGTGCTTTGATAGTTATAGGAAGCGAGTGAGAACGACGATGAGGCGATTAATGATTATCTCGTTCGTGAGTGTTTTGTGCAAACACGCAATGTGCTTGTTCGCAGGCTGTGCTTGTTGCATCTGCAGAAATTTTAATTTTTGAATGGAACTTGATGATTCTTTGATCGCTTTTGTTCTGGGTAATGCAGCTAATAAATGGATTGTGGATTTTTAGAATACCCATTTCACTATTCATCGTTGAGATGTTCCTTGAAAATTTGTTCACCTGATGCAGGTGAGCTGCTTGCTTCTGTTTATTGGAAGGAAGCTTTTGAGATCTTGACACAATGCTGATGAAGAGGACTAGTTCAGTGCAGAAAGAAGTGGGTCAAACGACAAAATCGGATTCTGATTTGTACTCCGATCTTAAAAGGCAGAATTGTAGGAGCAATTCCCTTTTCAGCATCCCTGGTCTTTATGTGGGTTTGAATCCGAAGGGCTTAGCCGATGCTGATTCGGTTAGAAGCCCTACATCTCCTCTTGATTTTTTGCTGTTCCCACATCTGAGTAACCCCATGAGGTCCCCTCGATCGCCTTGTGTCGGGCAGCGAAAGAGTTGGGATTGTAGCAAAGTAGGCTTAAGCATTATAGATTCTCTCGATGACAATGGAAACTTATCAGGCCGGGCTCTCCAGTCATTTCATACTGGAAACATACTTTTTGGACCTAAGATCGGGGTCAAGAATCATAAATATGATTCCACTATCAGTTCCATTGAATCGCCGAAATCCCTGCCTAAAGATTACACATTCTCTCGTTATGCCCGTGCCAAATCTCCACTCCACTTGAGCAGCAGCATCAATGTTGTTTTTGAAATTGCAGATGGCCCTATAGAACCTGACCCTATGGGCAAAATCCGGTCTAGCTCACTGGATTCTTGCACAATAATGAGTTATCGTCCTCGAGTGATTAGAGAAAGTCCTAAATTGAGTAAGGTTTCGTGTACTAGTCTGACTTCAATCCCTCTGTCTGTTGAACCTGGCAGTGGGTTTGCTGATTCTCTTTCAGCGAGTGAGATAGAACTCTCTGAGGATTATACTTGCGTGATTTCACATGGTCCTGATTCTAAAACCACTCACATTTATGGTGACTGCATTTTAGAATGTCACCCGAATGAGTTGAGCAATTTTGGCAAGGAGATAGAGGAAGACACTGGGTTACCTCTAACGAAAAGCTCAGAAACTCCTTTGTATATTTGTGATGACTTCTTGAGCCTCTGTTACACGTGCAAGAAGCCATTGCCAGAGGGTGAAGATATCTACATTTATAGGTTTGTATAAATTGCACTTCCTCTCGTGGCCTCACTATTGTTTTACTGTACCTACGCTTGCTCATTATGTGTTCCTTGATTTGACTTCTTGCAGAGGCGAGAAAGCATTCTGTAGCGTGGAATGTCGTTCAAAGGAGATTTTGTCTGATGAGGTTGAAGAAGCTGTGGATGATTATGATAAGTCGCCAAAGTCCAAAAGCGGAGATGGGCTTTTTCAAAGTGGCTCTTTTCTCCCTTCGTATTAACCATTCATGTAGTCCCTGTGGCCACCATGCCCATGATTGCCGGAACAATCACTGAGGTAGATGCCCCAGATCGTCCGTCTACAAAAGAGCTGTTTTTGTGTGCATCAGTTAGCAGCCATGGATGATCAATTTTGTACATTTCTCTCTTCACCGAAAGGGATTCAGCTTTGATGGTCTTGGTGGTGGCAATTATCTGCTGCAGCTTTTTTTGGCTTTTTGGAAGAGACATGACCGTATTATATGCTATGATAACTCATATTATATCACATAATTGTTTTGCATGTGAAATGGGTGTTAGCTGATTTTTATGGCTCCCCATCTATATCCCCCACATTTTTCTTCCGGGGTAAACTTTTCCTGTAATAGCAGCCGACTAAAGTGCTTTTCAATTATAGTATCGAGTTGCTGTTGTAAGATCATGTCCTCTAAATTGGTCTTGTCGGGGGTGTCGATTACCGTCCACTATCTTTTGTTCCCTGATGTTGATGAAGAAGGCATACTGGACCTACCTATTTTATGTCAGGAATTCAAGCTCTGCAGCGATCTTTAGCCATGTGAAATGTGAATCATATGTTTCTGACTGTTGTTATTCTTATAACTATCTGCTTTTGCTTGAAGATCCCGTAGAAACCAGTGGAAATTGAGCGAAAGTTACCTTATCGTTGGTAATGAAAGCAAGTGAGGGTAACTTAAGAGTGCATGAGGAGAATTGAGAATTTACTTGTATCTTCTTCAAGGTAAATCTCATTTGGTTGCTAGAAAGTTCAGACGGTTGAGGAGCCGAGCCAGTTACGCGGCAGTGTATGTAAAGGAACCATTCTGGTGAAAATCTCCTAAATGGGTTTTTAACTTTTACTAATGCGAGTGCAGTGAGGTACTTCTTTGCACATCTGAAGCTAGTTCATGCTCGAAAGCTCATCTCATGATGAACATCCGAAGACCAATGGTGTTTTCTGTCTAGGTTGATGGATTTGGCCTACTAGGCTCATTGTCTGTTCCGACCCATTTGAGCAACCTGACCCAATTCATTTGATGAAATTGTCCTTGGTTACCTTCCAGGGTAACATATCATGACAGCAATTCTGTTTGCTTAATTTTCTGCAACAGAACAACAAGCAGACAGAAATGTAATTAACTTGAAAGTGGTACGTCAAATTACCAGTATTCTCTACAAGAACATTGTCCATCATTAAACCGATGGAATCTGTAATTGTCCCGCAGTATAATCTCTCTATCATAGGAAAGCGATACGAACTTCATGAAGGAATGACAATCTCCGCAAATCCGAAGGTTATTAACTATTCGGATGGTACTCTTCTCGCTGCTTATCAGCCCGAATGCCACTGCCAGCCTCTCACTGTGATGACTCGAAGTCTCATGTCGCTCTTTCTGTAATCTCCCCTCAATCTCACCTAGCATGGAATAGATTTCCGGCGATCGAGAGTTCGAGAAGTCCTCTGCTCTGAATTCATGGACGGTACCATTTTGTTCTATCGTGCTACAACCTGGATGCTTTCGAATCCCTAGCTCATGTAACTTTGTTCTGACCAAACTTGCATCATCCCACCTTCCAGCTCTTGCATACATCTTCGAAAGAAGAATATGAGCTGCATCGTTTGTAGGGTCGATCTCAATGAGACGCTTGTGTGCATACTCTGCTAGTTTGACATTTTGGTGGGTTTCGCAGGCTCTCATGAATGAGCTCCAAACAACGACATCTGCTTCCACCGGCATGGAACGAATAAGTTCTAGAGCCTCTTTCAAGTGCCCGAAACGACCAAGGAGATCGACCATGCACCCGTAATGCTGAACCCCGGGGTCAATTCTGTATTCATTTTTCATCTTGTGGAAGTACTTGTATCCTTCATCTACCAAACCCCCATGGCTACAAGCAGAAAGAAGAGCTATGAAAGTGACATAGTCAGGTCTCATTCCTGTGGCTTCCATCTTCACGAACAAGTCCACTGCCTTTTGCGCTTGTCCCTCCATGGCATATGCTCCTATCATCGCGGTCCATAGACATATATTTTTATCTGTTATGTTTGAAAACAAGTCTCTTGCTTTTTCAACACTTCCACATTTCCCATACATGTCTACCAAAGCAGTTCCCAGAATGTGATCCAATCGGATTTGGTTCTTTTGTATGTACAAATGGATCCAGGTGCCATGACTCAGTGCCCCAACGCTAGCACAGGCAGAGAGCATATTGGCTAAAGTGATCTTATCTGGTTTTATCTCCAAACTCTGCATCTGGTGGAACAGCTCAAACGACTCTCTAGCCGAGCGAGATCTAGTATAGCAACTGATCATAGTGTTCCAAGAAATCAAATCCTTCTCAGGGATCTCATCAAAGAAACCTCTTGCCTTGTCGACATCCCCGGCTCTGCAGAACCCATCCAACATCGAGTTCCAAGAGACAACGGTTTTATAAGGCAAGTGCTGAAATATGGAGAAGGCGTCATCCAACCGACCAAATTTGGCATACAAGCTAAGTAGAGAATTTCCTAGCATTCCTTCGACAGTCATTCCGTGTTTGACAATGAAGCTGTGGATGGATCTTCCAGTGTCATAACCATCCGTATTCATGCAAGCAGTGAGAGCAGTAACAAGTGCAACCTCATCAGGTGTCACATTATCAAGCATCATTTCAATAAACAACTCGAGACTTTCTGGATATCGGCCGGCTTGAACATAGGCCGATGTCATCGTCGTCCAAGAAATCAAGTTCCTCTCAGTCATCCTGTCAAACAACTTCTCAGCTTCATCCATTTGATCCGTTTTCGCATATCCACACAGCAATGTGGTCCACGAAACGACATCATTCTCAGCTTCGCTACCGCCCAAGACCTTACGTGCCTTCTCCATATTCCCACATTTTACGTACATATCAGCTAAACAGTTCAATAAAGTCCCCCCAATCTCCATATTCTTCTCATCAATGTACAAATGCATCTTCTCGCCCATCTCCAAATCCCTCATCTTCGCGCACGCCGAAACCAAGCTGACCATAGTGATCTCATCCGGCTCGACTCCATCGTCCATCATCCGCCCGAACAAATCCAACGACTCCCCAAACATCCCCATTCTAACGTAACAAGATATCATAGTATTCCAAGCTACCACATCTCTCTCACGAAACTCACCAAACAGCCGGCACACTTCCCGCAGCCTCCCAGCCTTCGCGTACACGCCCATCAAATTCTTCCTCAAAGAATCGCTAAATCCAAGCCCGGACTTCAGAACCCGCCCGTGGACTTCGCCGACGTCCTTAACCGCCGTAGTTCTCGAAGCGGCGCTTATCAAGAAGTGAAAAGTGGACATGTCCAACGCCACCCCTTCCTCGACCATACGACGATAGGAAACCAGCACATCCCCCGGCAAGCCGTCCCGGAGCTGCTCCTGGATGTAGTCGTTCCACGGCGCCGTCTCCGACAGGTGATGGGTTCCGCTCAGGACGCGGCGGCAGCGGCCGAGGAGGAGGCGGCGGCGGGGGGCGACGAGGGGGTGTCGGGTGAAGTTGGCGGTGATCAAGCGAGCGCGGATCGGCGCGAACTCCAGGATGCTCGGGCACGAGCTTATAAGGGAGATGAGGTTCCGCGATCTCGAGGAGGAGGAGGAGGCGATGGAGCTCCGAGGTTCGGCGGCCGGCGGTTGGGCTCGCGGGCGGAAAGGAGGAGGAGGGAGGACCGCGGCGGGACGAGCGACGGCCATTTGAATGACGGCCGCCGTCCCGACAGCTCCTGCTGCCTTTTCTCCCGTACGGGGGGGTGACGACGTCGGGACTCGGAAAAGAAAGAATGAATGGGGCTTTCTAGATAAGAAACGCGCGCGACATTTCTAGCTAGCGGATGGAACAGGAGCTCGTTTGGAAGTGATCATTCGATGGGAAGATAAGATGCACGTCTCTCACTTTTTTTCCCGATCAGAGACCGCTTTTCGTGTCTTCGTTTCCGTGCAAGTGTAATTTCGCACCTCGAGTATTGATTTTGGACGCCACTTTGCACCTGGGTTTTAGTTGCTATTATTTATCACGGCTTTATTTACATTCCGCACATGTTTCCGTGTAAATTTTTGAACTCGCCACCCGCTCGAAATCATCCAAACTCGATTCAACTCGAACCCTCGCTCACCTAAAATACCACCGCCATTCGTGCTTCCCTCTCTCCTCCTCTGGGTTCTCTGCCTTTTGCTCTACCACTCTGTCTCTCTCTCTGTCTGGCTCGCTGCCGGGACCATGGACGGCCACGACGACGGCAGATCTTATGGTAATATGGTCTCTTCATGATAGGGGTATTTTGTCAAGAGGTAGGAGAGTCTGTATTTTTTAAAAGGGATAATGACACAAACAGTCCATGAACTTTTGCCCAATGTGCAATTTGGTCCATGAACTTTTAATTTGTTTAATGTAGTCCCTGAACTTTAAGCTAATGTTCAATGTGGTCCCTGAATTTTTAATTTGTTCAATGTCATCCCTGAACTTTTGGAACATGTTCAATTTAGTCCCTGAACTATATGAAAATGTTCAATGTAGTCCCTGAACTTGAATTAATGGAAATGACTGTATTGAACATTTTCATATAGTTCAGGAATGACATTGAATAAATTAAAAGTTAAGGGACTACATTGCACATTAGATAAAAGTTTAGGGACTACATTGAACAAATTAAAAGTTCAAGGATCAAAATGCACATTGGGCCAAAGTTCAGGGATTATTTGTGTCATTTTCCCTTTTGAAAACAAAGGGGGGGGGGGGGTATGAAGATGGCATGCCAGGTAAAAAAGCAAGGAATGTTTTTAGAGTAGTATCTCCCTCGATGGAAACCATCTTGACTACACAATGCTTCGAAGTTTTTAAGAAGTGCTTTAAAACTCAAGCAAGCTTTCCTTAAAAAAAAAAAGCATGTCTCATTCTTCAGCCTAGTAATCGCGTTATCAAAGTGCTCATGGCTCGTCCACTGTAAGGTGCTCCATCCACAGACTGAGCCAATACCAATGAAACAAGGGAAGATACGACCTTGATTACCATCGGCCACTTAGCTACACAAACGCTAGTGCAGTCGGATCCTTGTTTTAGAAAATGGAGTTGAACCTCGACAGACTGACGACGACTACCATAGGCTGCTTTGACAAGTCGAGCGATGGGCACGAGGCCTCGGTCACAACATGTGGAACTCAGATGTACAAAACTTAAGCAGACGTCAGGAACCGCAACAGTCTGTTGAATCACAGAAAAATCAAGCAAAAAAAGAGATAACCTCCCCTGTCTCCGTTCTGTTTCTTGCAAGTGAAGGAAGGATCAGAAGTCAGACTCCTAAAGTAGTACTGGGACACGCGACTGGAATTTGTGAATGACCATTGAAAGAATAGTCAACATCGACGAAACGATCCATACAATAATTATTTTTGGGGAAACCCAATTCAAATGCAGCCCATCGAAATGGGATCGCCTTTAGCTATGACTGAAAGATCGAATAAACATCCGGTGCCCCAGATGCCAGCTTATTTGAAAAGGTACAAATCGCAGCAGAAGTGCTGCTCGCTCAGTGCAATTACCATGAATTTCCAACTCCTTTTGGGTACAGATATTGAGGGAAAAAGGGAACCGCCAACAAGCGCATTGGACTTGGAGAGAGCCATGATTCATCGAGTCGATGTTGGGATGCCACTTCAGGAATGCGCTGCGACTTCACATCCATCATAATTGTCCGGGGATAGTCCTTAGAGGGGAAGCTCAGCCTCTCGTCTGGCGAGTATTGTAGGACTTGCAGTTCAGGCACTTCTGAGCCACTACATGGAATTGCACCTGAGAGGTTTTCCCACAGTCGTTGCAAAGAATCCACACCTGTCATGCAGCAATCCGTATTTACACTCATGATATCAAAAATTAAAGAGCAAACGTTCCCACCAGAAAAGTAAGGACACACATGGACATGTAAGGCGAACACAAAGTATGATTTTCCCAGGGGATGATGATAAAGGGCGATAGATGATTTACCTTTTTATTCTGGTAAGGCTCTGGCATCGGTGTTGCAGCAATCTCCAAATCGAATTTCTCCCAGACCTTGGACATATCACAAATGGACTTCGAACAAAGGGGGCAAGCATATCTGCATTGTATTCATCATATGATAGAGCACATTCGTGAGAAGTCCAAAGAACAGCCAAGGGATTTCAGCGAAAGCTACATGAGCGAAAAATAGATATTTCGAGGGCTTACTGAAAATGATCTCTCATCTCCTTTAAGCAGTTCTGATGAATCGTGTGTCCACATGGCATAACAGTCACATCGTTCCTCGAGTCAAATAAATACTGCAAATCACCATTTGGTTACTCATTTAGCACCAAGAACAAAGGATGCCAAATCCCCATTTGCAAATCAGACTCAAGTAAATCTCCATGACAAGTGATACTGAAGTTTATCTTAGCTCACTATTATTTAGCCAATCAATTCTTACTTCAATCAGAAGATGAGAAAATGAAAACAGAAAAGAATCAGAATTATGCAGAAACAAATACGATTTTTACCTCAAAACAGACAGGGCAATCATGATGCATTGCTCCTTCTATACAAGGGTGGCTGTTCTTGAGCGAAATAGAATAACAGCAACCTTAAACATAAGTGAAGATGAAAATACAAATCAGTCTTCCCTTAACCACCCAATATGTAATATCAATCCAAGGCTGGCAATAGAAAAGGCTTACTTACCACACTTGTAGCAGTGAAAGAAATTTTCACTCCCTCCAATTCTGGACAGGAAAGTTAGAAAGCCCAATCAGAGAACCATAACAATAATGACCTCTCTAAAAGAAATACAATAAACTGGATAAAAGGAGGAGAACAATAATGTGAAAAGGAGAGGCAGAAATAAACAGCCAGGCGGCACATTATTGGGAATGGACAGGAAAAGAAATAAGCAATAGATTTGAACACATTCCAAACTCATAATGTCATCAAGTAGGGAGAAAATCTTTACTCATATTGACTTAAAAATTGACTCGGACAAAAAAAAAGGAACTTCAAAGTGAGGTGATAAAAGAAGCAGCGGCATGCTAATCCCAAATTTCATTTGCTAATCCATATGATAAGACCTTCGACAAGGAACTCTTAAGACATTACCGAACAACTAAAGGCTCAAAAAACAATCGAGGACATAAGCAATACCTGCATATTCCACATCCACTGCAGTGGTATTGCTTTTTAGATGTCTGCAATAAAAGAGAATCGTAAGCATGTAACAACAACGTAGTTTGACAGACGTACATTAATCTCATTTGACAATTATTCAAGCTACTATTAATGATGTACAAGGCCCCTGAACATGCAAGTGGATGCAGGACCAGACAGAATGTCCTTGTTTGTATGGTTGAACGCAAATTTTTAGTAGATTTATGGAGGAGGGAGCCACTGCACCACAAAATACTTGCAGGAAAGAGAATCGATCAAATCAAATAGAAAATTGAAAATAATATGTAACAGAGGGAAGATAAGCCACTTACATCATCGTCGAACAACTTGCACGTCGCACAAAAGTATTTCCCCATGCACACGCCACAGTTTATACAGAACTGCTGGACCTGCATTGGTTCCAGCTAACATATATATTGGAAATTCCCTCCCTCAAAATAAGATTATCCAAGCACGAAAACTAGGGGCAAGATTGAAGTTTTCATTCTCACCTGTTGTTCAGTGCCACAAAGGGAACATATCACCTGCAAAGTCGATAAGAATAAAGTTCAAAATATTAATCCAATGTTTAGTCCACAATGAAATTAATAATCCTGAACAAGATAATATCTACCGAGAGAGAGAATTTACCTGACTGACTTCATGGCGTGGCATGTCATGTCTATCTTTCTGATCCACATTGATACTATTCTGAAAATCAATATGCAGTTCAAAGTCAGATATACAAGTCGTGACAAAAAGAAAAATTAAATACACAGACAAGCTCACATTTGATATAAAACCAACTGGCCACTTCAAAGCTGCATATTGGTGACTATTTCTTAAGATAGCAAGCAGCACTCGTCACACTAAGACCAGAGACAGAAGTTCTAATCTCCAAGGAAGAAAACAGGAAAAAGCATAAGCTTTTGAACCTTTTGATCCTCTCCAATGCAAATAGTTCTATATATTTCCAGTACAGCAGTCACCAACTCTAGAGACACTTCCACAATTGCATAAATTAACTGTTTAGTTGATCTCTAGGTAAGATGTAGACACATTGACAATAACCAATGCTTAAACAAACCGAAAGGTCCAAAACTAGAAAACAGAGCAAAGGGAAAAGGCTCCTCATCTGAAAATGACAAGGTAACTATTGGATACAACCTAAATTGCAGGAATCAAGATATCAAAATCTAATTAAGAATAACTCCAATGCATGGCCATGGATGAACACTTATCCTAGATCCCTGTTAGCTAGACAAAGATTCAAAGAAGAAAATGGCTGAAAAACCAAAACTGACATTAAAGTAATTGCAAAGAGAAACCAAATTCTGCGCTGCCTAAAAAATTGTATACATTCTCACAAGCAAATCCTCATTCATTTTGCCGATTCTTTCATCTAGGTATATATAATCTGTGTCATTGATTTCGGAATTCTATATGGAAGAAGAAACAAAAGAAAATTAGCCTTTATCAGGTTTTGATACTTCAAAATAAATCATGCAGCTACCTAATCCTACAAGCAACTGGAAGCTGTAAAAACGTCAAACGTAATTCGAAAATCATAAAAAAAATATATAAGAGAAGGCTCACTTTTGCCTCGTTATGACAATGGCGACAATCATAGATTTCATTACAACACGGAGCTCTGATGCGGCACCTCCGCCGATAATGTGAACATCTGCAAACAAAGCACATAAAGTTAGCAGAACAACGGTATGAAAGCATCATCATTGATATCAAGAAACAGATTCAGAACATACCCAAAGAGTGAGCATCCTTTCTCAAGAAAATCATTCACTTTTCCAACATCTTCTAGAAAAACAGTGGGCATGCATTGCCCATCTAATTGTGGCGTGCATTTATCAGCTTTCTCACTATTCTTATCTTCACATATGACAGGCTCCAAGGTCTCCAAGTTCTTTGACTCAAATTTCTGATCCTCAGAATGCTCTACAGTTAGTTCCCCCATTATATATATTCCTCGGATCTTATATCTTCAAGAAGGTTGCCAGGTACCTGCATAAAGGAAGAATTTAGCAATACTCCAATAACATTAAGGCATGTCATTGACCCAATTAAGCCAGGCAGCGCCGTATAATATTATTGCTCTGCTCCTGGAAGAAGGATTGAAATCAGCTAGAAGAGAACACATCCAAAGAAAGTTTGATGGCTCCAATCAGCAACACTCCAAGAGATGCTCTCATGAAAGCTAGAGGTTAGAATCATCCATACAATATATACGCAGCAACGATGAATTCCAGAGCCTCCCACTTCAACGAATAACAAAGGCACTGTATCATTACTCCATTCCTCTTAGGAACCTGGGAGGCTGGGGCCAAATCCAATTATACTGAACACGATCAATGGACACGCCAACCTAATGTAAAGGCAATAAATCACGTGATCAATTGGTTCCTAAAAAATGAAAATTAGGGGAATATAGGAATATTTGTGGTGCGATTGTCCTTCGAGGACATCCCTACCTCAATCTGCAACTTTGCAGAAACTTTCCATCGAGGACAAAAATTTACTGAGTAACATTTCTTCCAATGTTGAATCATCAGCTTTCTTCCGTCATAATTTAGCTCATCTGACCACAATCTTCTCACTTTTCATCTAAAATGAGTGCCGCACCAATACAGAAAGGGGAAAAAAACCGGAAGAATGCTGGGAACAAAGTCAACCTCCTCAAGCAAGGAGCTTCTTGAAAAACCACCCAGATTACAGGATTGAATCTCCATGGATTTTGACATTGACATGCTCAAGAAGGTTTGGGAAGATGGAGTAGCACCTAATCACCAGGAACAATGCGAAGTTTGTCTAAATTCAGTACCCTAGCAAGAAAGGTTCATGAATACTTGACAACCTACATAGGCAATGAGAATGGCACACCCCGAACTGAAAGTTAAACTACCAGCAGATAGTAAGTCTATATAGTGATTTTTTGCTAGCCCAATAGTGGTGCAAGTTTACATATTGTTGGTGCCGAGCATTGAGAGATAATAAAGGAATGTAGACTCCTATCGTGCGGTCTCGGATTTTCCACCTACAGAATTCCACCTGGAGAATCTAATGAAAGGAGACAAACAGCTTCCATGTAATTCATCAAGGAATTTGTGGATCTCTAGAACAATCACTTTGTGCGGGTAAGCTTAACTTCCAGAAACTCCCCTCCATATAAGGGCGAACCCCCAACATCATGTGCATAATCATTGGCATGATGAAACTCCTTCAACATCGGCACGTTCTCCAAGTGCCTAATCTTTTAGCTACAAGGACAGGATGCTCTGCCTTCACTTTCAACCTTAGCTTTTAGTGGTTGGGATTTTTTGGAGCCAATTCCATCCAAGACAATGGAGGCAGAGGTTACTCCTGATCTAACTATCAACGCAAAAGTTCATTGACGCAGCGCCAGCAATACAAGTCCAACGTACAAGACATCCATAACCAGGGTATTACATTTTTAGCCTTAAAACTTGGAAAACACACCTCAATCTTATACAGTTCCAGAAACTACCAGCCTCTGGTGCACCCGGAAGAAAGTAAACTTCAACAAATAATACAAGCAACCATCTATTCTCATATCCCTTTTTCACAATTGTCTCAAGGATCTCTTCTTATCAATATTAACATAGTTCTAAATTTCTTTGGTAAGGTCAGGTAAGGAATATCCTATAGGAGCAAGTTTCACATCCTTTCCAACAAAACTTAAGATCAAATTGCCTCAATACGACAAAGCAGCATAAGATCACCTCTCCGGAGAATAACCTCTTCAAAGGTATCTCAGCGCAACCCCCAAACTTAACCAACTCATGAAGCAATTCGGTGGACCATATTAAAGAAAACTCCAATTTCAAATTGCTCTTTCAGAAATCTGTCTCACTAATCCCGAATAAATCATCTGCTCTACTTCAGTTGACGCAGTCTTAGCCTACGTGCCCTCAATGAAATCCTTTGATCAACTATAAACAGTAACAACATCAAACACAAGCGACACAATAAGGCATTAAACATTATCGTGTAATGTACACAATCAACGAGGAGATCATCCGGTCCTGATAACAGGGTCCTGACATCACCTGGTCCAGGGAAAAATTTGCAGATATCTAAAACAAATATTGCACCAAAAGTTGCACAAGAAAACAATAATCTTCTCCACAGAATTAAGGTACTATTATGAATTGCCCAAATGACCTTGGAGGCAACCAACATAAACTACAAATTTTCTCGAGCTCCGGCGATTTAACCAGCGGGCAGCAGTCACATTACCCAAGATGCCGTTATTCTCTCTCTTTAAATTGCATGATTCACATCACGCAATCATTACCCTAGAAACATCGTACCTGTTGGGGACTTGATCAGACCGAAGCAGCAAAACCCGAGAACCAAACATATGCCAAGAGCCCGCACGTTTGAAGGAACCGAAGAGAAAACCTAAGATCTACAACCACTGTTGCCCCTCTCCCCCGATCAAATTCTCCTAGACTAGACTAAAAACAAGGCTCGAGAAGGCGTCGGCTACGCGAACAAAGTCGAAAACCGCGGCAATCAGACAAAAGAGGAGGAAGAAGAAGATCGCGACCAAAGCGACCGAGCGAGCTAGCGATCCAAGCAAAAGCCAGCACAAAGCGAATTTCAGGGGGCGAGGCAAAAAAAAAAAAACGAAAAGCGCAACGAACTTCCAACCCGGACTCCTCTGATCGTGAACGGAGGAGGGAGCAGCAGCGGCGGCGGCGGCGGCGGCGGCGGCAGCTCAGCAAAGCTCCGATTAGCTTTCAGCTTCCTCTCACAAGACACGTCGGCCGCGTCGTCGTCGGCGGCGTCGCGAGAGCTCGCCGGAGGAGAAGTTGAAACCTAAGCGGAGCAAAAGTCGCCGGCGGATGGCGGAGGGAAGAGAGCGAGAGGGGTACGGTTTTGCTTCCCGAGAGAGATCGAAAGATGGCCATTTTATAGGTCGGCAAGCGACGGACAGCTGTATCGGCCAAAGGGCCACCGGCCGGCTTTCCGCGTTTTCTTTTCATTCAACAGTTCGCGCGCGCGAAATTACGTAAGCGCCCTTCTATTTGCCCCCCCCCCCCCCTGAAAATATCTGCGGTCGCGATCGCTCGAGAGAAAGGATCGGGCGGTCTCGTCCGGACGGCTGAGATCGGCGGGCCCCACGAGATGAAGCTTCGGGAACAATCCGGTCCGTCCGATCACGCCCTCCGGCGTGGGAACGGCGGTATACGATAGAAAGATCCGCGGGCAGCGGTGGTGGGGGTTGCTGACTCAGCTCCAGCTCAGTTGTCGGTAGGATTCGCAACGCGACGCGCCGACCTGCGCTGCCGTTGGGAGAACGTCGCGTCAGCGAGCGACACGTGTCGCGTCAATTCGGGGGGAAGATCGATGGAGATATTTTTTTGCTTTGGACGAAAACGCCGGGGGACAGTGACGTGGACGGTCGTCGTCAGAGTCCGATTAGATTAGGCATTTGTCGATTACGATGATTTTGGTCGCGTTAATGTCTTTGGTCGGTCGAGAAAACAATCCATTATATGAGTTTTTGTAATTGGAAGTGGCATTGATTGCTGCAATCGATGCTTTGGAAGTTCAAATATTTTAAATTGAAATATAGTTAACGAGTATCGGGACAATTGTTAGTACGTTTTGATTTGGAGATAAAGGTACGGCGACCGACGTGAAGTGGATTATGCTTATCATTTAATTTGGTCGGTCCCTAATACATATTATTAAATTCGCTAAGTATATAATTGAAGGATTCGATTGGGGCTTCCATGGAGTTGATTTCTCTATAGGTAGAGTTGAAAGCGAATATTTCTCGTATAAAAGTCGAATAACTAATGAGACCGGAAAATGCATAAACAAGCTCGTTTCTTTTGGTGAAAATAGCAAATGAACTAAATGCTGAAGAGACCCGAAACTTAATCGAAAACAAAGAGTCCATCAGTAATTTATCTGTTTCGATTGGTTACGGTGGGCTCAAAAAAGCGAATGATACAATCGTGAATCGGAAGATCAGTCCCCAATGAAGCTGTTCTTGTCAGTATTATAGATATATTGTATGCTCGATTCATTTGAAATCACTCTACCTTCAATTGATTTGTTACATCATGTGTCATTGCCACGTGTTGTAATTCTCCCGTGAAATAGTTCACTATTGCGTACAGAAAAAGTAATTCTACCTCCCTAGCTGGAACTTCAAAATCAAACTCCTAAGAAAGGTTGAGATCCCACCACATCCATGACAAATTATTAACATTTCCAGCAACCACAGATGGTTCTGCAGCCATCAATCAAAACTAATCAGCGGAGCCGCAGCAAGAAGCTGAAGCCACCTGCCTTTGTACGAATCGACTCAATGAAATCGACTCACTTCAACATTTTTAGCTGCCGACTTCAAGTGGTGCCTGAATGTTGCATCGAGCCGAGCGCAAAGAGATTAAGTTAGAGACGATGCTCGCGTCGTGAACAAGGATGTGCAATCTCCTCAACTGTCCGCCGGCCAGATTGGTGAACAGGGATCGAGCCCCAGAGGTTCTGCAGTCCAAGGGGATCGCTAGACCTGAAAAAAATAAACCGAAGAACAAACATACGACAAGCCTTACTCACCAAGACAGAGATAATGAAAGAAACCAACAATCTGTCAAAAACTTATGAGCAGGTAAAACTAGATATTTGACTCCATACCTGCTCAAGCGAAGTATCTGAGATTCTGAACCATAGTGATAATGCCTTAAAGCTCTCCCATGCTTAGGCCATGGTATCTCTCTTGGGTCTGCTAGATAGCAGAATATAGGCCTTGCCATCATGGGCTTATTGGCAACCTTGCCCACATGAATGAAAATGCTTTGATTCAAGCAGGAATAACACATCTGGTTTTCCCTGGTTGCAAAAGTTAAGGAGTTGGAAAAAGCTGAATATAGTCAGTCAGCGGCGAGTTCGCTTCAGCAGATAGAGGTTGCAGCAGCCCACTATTGGACAACGCTTCCAAGCCTTTAATTTCCTGACGCAATCGGGTTGCACGTAAAATGGCATGATCAAGAACAATAGGATCATCTGGGGGTTTCTGGAGAAGAGAAAGCAGAGCCTGCCTATAACCTTGGGAAGCTAATGATGTTCCCGCAACCTGACGAGTTCTACACAAGATCGCCACCTTGATGACGTGTTTGCATATATTTCCACACTTTGACCAGGAGCAATCACATAGGGAGAACTCTGAACCTGGATTCCACACTGTGTATACTGAACTTCTGTCTTCAGAGAGAACTTTTGCAAGCAGGAGATTTCGCTCATCCAATATCACGTCAACATCCGGAATGTTGAGGGCCTGATGCCAAGCATTACTTGTGAAACTCCGGTCCCTAACATTCTCAAAATACCCAGTCTCTAGAGAATATTGATCCAACCAGAATAAAGAGTGATATTCAGTTGCCAACATGTGGATCAACCAATCGATTCTTGGCCATAAGTTGCAATATTGATTGTCTAAAAGCTTAAACTTTGATCTCAGGTGGTAAGACTCAATTGCAGCCAGGGGTTCAGGACCAGCAGTTGGCAAAGACTTCACACTATTAATCAAAGCATCTGCAAGATAAAAGAGGCATCAAAGTTCTGAGCAACTATACCTTTCAAAGCCATCGACAAATCACCATTCAAGGAGGACAATTTTAGATTTCAGATTTGCTTAACAATACCTATACGGGGTAACCACCGCTCTCTGAAGTACTCCATAAAGGCACATTGGTCAACATATACTTGCATGAACTCTTCAACTGCATTTATTCCCGTGCAGTACAAGATGGAGCCTAAGAGCCTAAACATCTCTCTTTGTACACCAGAGTCGCAGCTTCGTTTTAGAAGGTTTCTTATCCAAGCACGACGAACACGCCAGAGGCATAATAGTACTCGGCATTGAAATGCCTCTCTGAAAAATAGGATGAGCTCAACATTCATATCGTCACTTCTCTGCTTCTTCCCTAATAGCTCAAGGAAATTATAACATGGTTTACCTTATAAGAGAGACCTTGAAGGAACAATCATCCACTAGAAAGGAATTCAATTGCCATGTAGGATCCCTTGTGTAGATCCTTTTTGCTAGGGGACCAATCCATTTGTGAATACCTTGACAGATGAGGGAGGAGGAAATGATCCAGGCAACTGGAATGGCATTATGGGAGGTGTCGAAAGCAAGCAAGGTGCATAAGGGATACTGTTGAGAAAATACATCATAACTCAAACAGATTCGGATACCATCCAGTCTAAAGGAAACAGGTCAGCAGTTATAAATACTAAAAATTTTCGTGCTAATGTCAGAGGCAATCCTAACACCTGAATTAAGTCAGTAATTGTCATAAGCACAGGCACAGAATCCAGAAACTAAATCATGGCATTACTATGCTACTTACTAATGGAATATAAAAGCAATACCAGAAACCTACAGTCAAGCCCACAATCATCCCACTTCTTATCAACTACTATTCCATTAGGGAAAAGATGATTACCTCACCTCTAGCGACACTTTCATTCTCTCACATTCCTAAAATTTACCTTGAACAACAGTATTAACCAGACACATGCATATATCCCGACGATTATCATGCTCACAGTGCTCTCTATCCTCGGGTAACATGTTTGATATCAATTTAAATTTTCAAATAGTTGTGACTATCTTTCCTTTTCCTTCATGTGGGTGGTTGGTTGATGGGGGAAAGAGAGGGTACCTTCAGCTTGTTCCTGCCGAAGGACGAATGCATAGCAATGGAACCGTTCTGCCCATGACGCAGCATCTGTTCCAGCTGCCAATTTGTCTGTATACCCATTATAAAAGGTTCTGTATCAGTGTATTCTTGATAAAAGAAGACGTACTTCTGATGACGTTGCACCCATATCTTTACGCTGCATTCATCATTCTCATCCAACTCATGTGAAGAACTGTGAACAAGCCTTTCCATATTACGAACATCGTTCCTACTGAGAAAATCATCACGGTTGAGAGGCCTCCCATGCCTCTGCACCAGCTCCATGTGGTGCTTCATTATATCATCTATAGGTATTGCAACGTAAAGCATAGCCATCACTCGCTGGCGTAGCTCTTCTGAAATTCGGGGAGCATACATAGCTCTGGTGCCAACAGCATGGCGATCAAGTATCCCATGACATGGTGCACCGGTTTTATCAACATGCTTTCGCTGATTATAGATAATTAGAGCAATCAAGGGTCGGATGTATAGACGCTTTACCGTGAAGTGGCAAACACAGCCCCTCATCATGTGACGTCTTCCAGGCCTGCTCCCCTTCCCTGATACAGGCTTCATGCTCGAAGTGTCACCAACACCAGACTCATTGTCTCGGTAGTCTTCAGGACCATAAGAACACCAATATCTACAGCAGGCAAGAATAAATTCTTGAGTTTCAAGTTATTGAATGACAAAGATAAAGCTACTTCCTTGTCTAAACCAAGGAAAATATATCGTTATCTCTGCTAATAAGATTGAGCAAAACTGGAATGCAATTGTAAGTAGCAGATTACATTTTTCTTTCCCATACGTTCAAGGTTCATCAAGACTACTTTTTTCTTTTAATGTTAGGCAGGATATCCGTCTCATGAATGCAGTATTATTTTCAACATGCAGACTCCATAATTGAGCTGGACTTGAACTAAAAGAGCAACTTATATAGAGCAAATGGCACTAAAGCAATAGAGAGCCACGATTATAATGTGACGCACAGGGTGTATTCAAGATAGCCATCTACCCTTGGTTTACTGGTGCTCCCCTCACGTCTTCTCCTTCTTGACTCAATACGAAAACTAGCAGGGCAGTCCGCATTACTAGATTCTCCTTTGACAAAGTCTTCAACCCTGGCAAAAGGTATAAGAGCAACATCATCACCACCTTGGCGACCACCCACTATTTTCACCCACTTCAATTGAGAGGCAGAAAACTCTGCACAAGGAGGATCTTGAACCGGATGATTAAGAATATCCTCCATTCTAGCTGCCTACAATATGAAGCACATAAACTTTATAAGACTAACGATAAAAAGGTGATGAGCAAGATATCAAGAAATAGTTTAAGAATGCCAAAGCCATTGTTTAACAATTCATTTAGGACACCTAAGCAAGGGCAACACGGCATCATGAATCTCTCAACCATGTGCCGGTTTCAATCCCTGACGTTCGGTTGTTAATAAATGGACCATCTGTTGTGGAGACACAAGAAAAACCTAGAAAGCATTTTTTTTTGTGTGCAAAATTACACTTCAACAAGCCCATTAACAGAATGCCGCACAACCTGACAAGCAGACAAGAAAACCACGTAAAGAGAAACCAGACACAAACTTCAAGGATCCCAACAAGGAAAGTGAAAGCAAAATGAGTCGAGATCTTCCACGTCAAAAACAGCGAGAAGAAAGCAATTGGACCAGCCATTGGGCTAGGACCTATTTCTGCTAGAGGGCCTAACACCCCAAACTAATGAAATACTCAAGGAATCGAGTGATCATTTTCTTCACAATGTGAGACGAGAAGATCTTGATTTCACTTCTTTTTCCCACCCTAATCGCAGCAGCAGCAAATAGTTCTCCGTTACAAAACAAGCGCATCATCCAAACGCCGGCAACTGTGAGAAGCAACACTTCGAACTCAATCAACAGGTCTTCATGACCCATCAAACGAAAGCAATTTCACCAACCACTGGGCTAGGACCTATTTCTGCTGGCGGGCCTAACGCCCCAAACCAACGAAACAATCGAGGAATCGGGTGATCATTCTCTTCACCCATGTGAGACAGGAAGATCTTGATTTCAATCCTTTCCCACCCTAATCGCCGCAGCAGCAGCAGCAAATATTTCCCCGTTACTAAACAAACCCATCATTCAAAATGACGGCAATCGCGAGAAGCAGTAAGACTTCGAACTCAATCAACAGGGTTCCCATGACCCATCACCTCAAACGAGCGATTCAATCCGCACGAACACCCAACCAAAGCATTAGCCGAAATCGCAAAAAGTACCTTAGCCTCGCGGCCCTTCATCTTCCCACCTCCGCTTCGTATTCGATTCGGTGTCGCGTGGAGCCGCTCCTATAATGCGTGCAGATAATGAGCCACACCAGCGGATGACGATCGTCTAACGACGCTCCCGAAGCATCGGCAAGAGAGATGGAACTCGATTCTCTGCGGAGAAACTCGAGGACCCAGAAATGGATGAGGGTAGCTCTCGAGCTTTCGATGGAGTTTCGGGGTTGTTTCACGTCGCAGATGGAAGCGAAGATGAAGATCGCGATGAAGGAGATGAAAAGCGGCGAGACGAGGAAGAAGAAGAAGACAGGCTGCACGGATGGTGGTGTTGTAAAATTTGAAGTTTTGGAAATTGTTGTTTCCTTTGTTTTTTTTTTGGCCTTTTTCGGAATAACTCTAGCCCTATAATCGAAAAATGGTAAAAATACCATAAAAAATTCTAAATTATGTCGATTGCGATGCCAATATCTTATTTTTTTCATCAATAAAATTCTAAACTTATATTAGTGTAACAAAAGTACTCATGTTCACAACAAAAAAGCTCCTATTTTGTCTCACTAGTTAAAATTTTGGAATATTTGTTACACGAAAACAAAAGTGAGACATAGATTAATTTTTTGTGACACAATAAAAAGTTTTGAGATATTATTGTCACATTGAGTCTAGTTTAGAGTTTTTTGTGATATTAATTCTTAAAAAATTGATATATAAATTGGTATGTCGAATGCTTCCATGTTAAATAAGATCTGCTTATTTAAACTTGAAGCCAATAATTATGCATTTACTGTTCAACACACATCATATAGTTTGTGTCGGTGCAAAGAGTAATGATTTATTTTAGTAATCACGGGAAAAAAATTGCTTTTTGAATTTGTGTTTATAGCTTTATCTTAGTATACCTGACATCGCTCTTTTATTCTTTTAACAAAACGATTCAAGAACGTAACCAGATAAATTGAGGGTTTTTGAGAGGAAGTTGTCCATTAGACCAATATCTTAATTGAATCAATTGGAATTTCAAGGATGAAATTACGTAACGGAGGAAAGTGCAAAGATCGATAGTGATCGCGTATGAAAAATTCATTTAAGATTCTATAATCATGAATACGGTAGAGTCACACTGATATCCTCATTGATTATGGTAGTCACGTGGTTCAATATACACACACAATGATCATGCAAGCATACTAAGGCTCTATTTTTATTTCGCGAAAAATAAATAATTTCCTAAAGATGATTGTTTTTATTATTTTCAAGAATGAATAAACGAAAATATTTTCATCGTCTAGGAAAATGTTTAGACATAATTTATTTTTCATAATAAAAATATTTTTCCATCAACTAAATATTTCAAATAACATAAATGATTATTTTTTAGATACGAAATCATTATTTTTTCGTGAAACTAATTGAGCATAATTTTTGTTTGACATTGCTCGGAGTGAAGAGTTGGAGGACGCAGAGGCCCATCAGTGTTCTTTTGACTACGATCAAGTGGCCCAAGGACAATGGTCTCTAAAGCTGCGAATGATAACCATTCTGTTTCTCTATTTTTGTTCTAGAAATAGGTTTGGAATATAAATCCGTTTAGTGATATAATTTTATTTTCTATTTCTTAAACAAATTTTTGTTCTAGAAATAGGTTTGGAATAGAAATCATAAGTTAAAATTTTCTACTTTTATATTTCTGGAATAGAAATGAGAAGTTAAAATTCTTCTCATCGCTTGCCTTTGCTACTAGTCGGTCGCCCACCTGCTGCCCATCGCCGCCCACTTGCTGGCTGCCACCTCCCGCCATTTGCTGTTTCCGGCTGTAGGCTGCTGCCTGCCGTCCATCGGCCACCGTCTCATCTTGCCGCCCACCTCCCACCGCAGCCCGCCTCCCATCGCCGGCCACCGTCTCCCGCCGCCGACCGTCCTCCTCCCGCCGTCCACCAACCACCGTCTCCCGCTGCCGGCCGCCCTCCTCTTGTCGCCGCTCGCCTCTCCCCATTTGCCGTCTCTGGTCGCCGTCGTCCACCGGCTACTGTCTCCCGCTGCCGGCAGCCTTCCTCTAGTCACCGCTTGCCTCCCGCCATTCGCCGTCTCTCGCCGCTGTCGTCGACCAGCCACCGTCTCCAGCCGCCGGCAGCCCTCCTCTCGTCACCGCTTGCCTCTCGCCATTCGCCGTCTCTCGCCGCTGTCGTCGACCAGCCACCGTCTCCAGCCGCCGGCAGCCCTCCTCTCGTCGCCGCTTGCCTCCCGCCATTCGCCTTCTCTCGCCGCCACCGTCCACCTACCACCGTCTCCCGCCGCCGGCCGCCCTCCTCTCGTCGCTGCTTGCCTCCCGCCATTCGCCGTCTCTCGCCGCCGCCATCCACCAGCCACCGTCTCCCGCCGCCAGCCGCCCTCCTCTCGTCGTTGCTTGCCTCCCGCCATTCGCCGTCTCTCGCCGCCGCCGTCCACCAGCCATCGTCTCCTGCCGCCGGCTGCCCTCTCCCGCTGCTGCCCGTCTCCGGCCATCGCCCACCTCCCACCGCCAGCTGTTGCCCGCCGTCCATCGCCGCCGGCCGCCCTCCTCCCACCGCCGCTCGTCTCCCCCCGCCGATCATCGTGGGTCGCCGCCCGCCAACCACCGCCCACCGTCTCCCACCTTTGGTCGCCCTACTCCCATCACCGGCCGCCTCCAGCCGCCTTCCTCTGCACTGGCCGCGTCGCCGTCCATCGCCCGTTGCCGCCATCCGCCTGTTGTCCACTCCCTGGCCACCCGAGAGGGAGAAATTTTTGTGCCGTTATTAAACAAATTTTTATTTTGAAAATAGAAATTTTGTGTTGTTATCAAATGTGTTTTTTTGCTCAGAAACTCATCTAGGAACATAAATAGAAAAATCAATTTCTAGCCAAAAATCAATTTCTGAAACAGAATGGTTGTCATTTGCAGCCTAAATGGGCCTAAATGGGCCTAAATGCCCATCAGTGTTTTTACACTCCTGATTTTTCCATTTCTTTTATTCTTTTCGAATTTCTTACAACTTCCAACCTCTGGCTTTTATTCGGCACGAACATTTCTAATTGATACGGTTATTTATTATAGAGCCATTTAGAAGTTATCCTCATTGTCTTTTTTCGGAAGTACGCAGGTTTGTTTAAGTTTTTTCAATTTCAAAATTTTAAGAGAGAACACGAGGAGCAATTTCTAAAAGTTGCAGCGAACGAGCATGCGATTTTTATCTCGGCGTTCCATCATTGCTACCAATTAAGGCGGTGGTTGGCGCAAGGACTTGCCCGCTGCCGCCTGTGAGTATGCAAATCTATTCAGATCATTACAGAAATACCATCGCACGGTAACTTATTGGTTAGTCTAGACCCGATTCACGAGCGGGGCAGATCCAAGACCAAATTACGAAATCATTTCATGACGAGTGCAATTGCTCGTCAGATTCGCTATTTATTTTAATACAAAGGTCTTTTTTACTCACGTATACGTTTGCACCCGAATGATTACTTGATGAGACAAGACAAGCTGTATTTTCATGTAAATGAGGTGGTTGGCTTCTCCAAAAGCGTGATGTTAACAAAGAATCTTCTAAGGCAATCTTTTGTGCGCATCGTTGACAATGAACTCGGGCGCTCTTTATCAAAGCAAAGAGGGCAACAGACTGGAACTTGAGTTAATGATAATTGCAACGAACATAATTCCTCGAATATCATTCGTGGGTATAGTTAAAAGCTTTTGAGATATCAACGGATTGAAACGTATCATCTCGTTACCTCTCGATGTCGACAGATCTTATCAATCTAATCGGATTTGCACGATGCGGACCTTCTGTCTCTGTCCCTATCTCTGTAACTTGTCTCGATATCCGACCAAACATTTAGGTTTTTTAAATAGAGGGAGGCTATATCCGTATAAGGTACGTTGCAATCATACACTCAAAACGACACGGGATTACATTCAGTAATCTTGATCGCTAATATACATGACCCGGATCCGAATGTCCATTAGAATTCATATCTAGATACAACGCGGAGTTAAAAAAGATGGTTGAAGATGTTGGTGAGACGCTTTTGCTGCAATTGAAGATGCTTGTCCTTTCAAAGTGTTTTTTTTGACTTCGTTATGAAAGGCCAATTTGAGGAAGGGGCCACATAGAAAGGGCACTTAGAAAAGGGCACTTGGAATGGCTATTATTAAGGGCGACATTAAATATTTTTCTGAACTTAGAAAAGGTCACATAGAAAGGTCACTTAGAAAAGGGCACTTAGAAAAGGGCACTCGTCGCCAGTGGCCATGGCCAGAGCTCTAGATCCGGTCGAACTTTGGGATCTGGACCCGAGGCATTGAGCGGCGACGGCTCCAGACTTGGAAGTATGGCTAGGCTAGATCTAGAGGGCACCGGCCATGGCCGAGCAAAGACAATGGAGGAATGGCTTAGCTTGGACGTGTAGCAGTGTTGGCCTGGATGCAATGGCGGGAGGAGGCGCAGACGACGTTAGGCTCAGAGGTGATTATATATAGTTGAAAGGGGAGAGAGAGACCGCAAGCAGATTTTTTTTTATATGATTCCACATCAATATAATATATGTGTCAATTAATAATTGATTCAGAGTATATAAATGCAAGCTACATCAAGAGATGATGTGGCGGTCTCAAAATACGGACTATTTTCTTGATATGGGAGGGAGTGAAGAGTTGGAGGATCCATCAGTGTTTGTTTGACTACGGTCAAGTGGCCGAAGGACGATGGTACGATGGTCTCTCTAATTAGGCTCATCAGTGTATTTTCTTCACTCATGACTTTTTCAACTTTTTTGTTGGGTTAATTCCAAAAAAAAGCACCAACTTTAGGTCGAGAGACAATTCTGGCCCGAACTTTTTTTTGTTTCATAAAAAAGCATCAACTTTAGGTCGAGGGACAATTATGGCCCGAACTTTTTTTTGTCCCGTAAAAAAGCACCAACTTTAGGTCGATGGACAATTCTGGCCCGAACTTTTTTTTGTCTCGTAAAAAAGCACCAACTTTCACTTGAATCCCAAATCTGGCCCTTATTGACTTAAAACCATTGATTTTCCAACTTGACTATTCGACCTTAGCAATAAATCCACGTGACTTGCTGACTGGATTTAAAGCATTATTCATTGTCTTATTCTCTAAACCACAGTTTGAAGAATAACGGTGAAACTGTTCGTCTCCTTCACTTCACCGGCAAGTCAAAAATATCTCCAGATTGAATCTTTCCGGCCAAACTTCGTCGTTTTGTCGTAATCAAGTCAGACGACCGCCCGTCGACGACGCCATGGAAGAGATTCGCCAGCCTCACCACCATAACTTTTTTTCTCAAACAAGGGTAACTTCAGACAGAAAATCAATGGGGGGCCAAATTTGGGATTTAAATGAAAGTTTGTGCTTTTTTACGAGACAAAAAAAAGTTCGGGCCAGAATTGTCCCTCGACCTAAAGTTGGTGCTTTTTTATGGAACAAAAAAAAGTTCGGGCTAGAATTGTCCCTCGACCTAAAGTTGGTTTAACCCCTTTTTTGTTCTTTTCGAAAAATTTACAACTTCCACCCTTTGGCTTTTAATTTATGCAATTATCGAAGATAGAGCTATTTAGAAGTTATTTTCATACTTTTCTCCAAAGTACGCATGCTTGTTTTTCATTTTGCAAAATTTTAAGAGAGGAAACAAGGAGTAATTTCTAGAAGTTGCAACCAACGGGCATGCGATTTCGAACTCGGCGGCGTTCCATCATCGCTGCCAATTAAGACCGCGGTTGGCGCAGGAGTTCCCCACTACTGCTTGTGAGTATATATATTAAGATCTTAGGAAAGTGCCATTGCACGGTAACTTTACAGGCTAGTCGAGAACTGATTTATGAGCGGGGCGGGACTCAAGATTGAATCACAAAATCATTTCGCGGTAACTTATCGCGCGGCTAGTATAAACGTCTGCTGCTTGTGAGTATGCATATCTATTCGAATCTAGAAAAATACCGTTGCACGATAACTTATGGGGCTGTCTAGACCTGATTCATGACCGGGGCGGACTTGAGATTGAATCACGAAATCATTTCGTGACGTGTGTAATTTATCTTTAGATTCGCTACTTATTTATACAAAGGTCATTTCTAGCAAAATATATGTTTGCGCCCGAATGACTATTTGCAATTGCAAATGCATTACTTCAATGGTGATCAGGAACGTGCAAAAGGAAATATCGGGACCGGACCGGCTGGTTTCCGGGGGCACTAATTTGATTCCCGTTCCATAAAATTGGAAATGGTGGATTTAGATCCGATTCCTAGTTATAGCTGTGGAAATGCCCACCCGGACCACCCTGACTGGATCGATTTTTTTTAAAATTTTAAATTTTTTTCATTTCTAATCAGTAAAAAAAACTCTTATCTCTCTCCCATTTCACAAAAGAAGGCCCTTCAAGGCTAGAGCGACTACGTTTACTTATGCACATGAGTAAGATGATAAGAACAAATCAAAACACGACATTAGTTGCTTATTCCAAGTAAATTTTGTATCTCTGTGAACGTTGGCTGCAATGTACAAAGAATTATTAGTAGTATTCCCCTCTCGATGTTGGCAGAACCATGTGGAAAGTCAAAAAACGAAAAAAGATAATTTTTTTTGTCCAAGACGCAACAAAAAAATGAAAATAAAAGAAGGGTCATTTATCTTATCAACCTAATCAGATTTGCCTGACCCCATGCCTTCTGTTTCCGTCTCTGTCCCATCCTGTAACGTGTCTGACTAGAGGTGGCCACGGTTCGGAACCGGCGGTTCCGGTTCGTGGCCAAGTGTGAACCGGAACCGTCCGGTTCCGAGCCGGTTCCTATTTTTTTCTGTTTTTTTTCTTTTCCTTTTCCTTTTCTTTTTTTTTTCTTCCTCCGCAGCCGGCCATAGCCGGGGCCGGCGCGGAGGTCGCCGGCCTCTAGGCGAGGCGGCCCTCGCCGGGCGTCGGGCGAGGCCGGCCCTCGCCCGGGCGGGCGAGGCCGGCCTCGCCGGCGCCGCCGGCGAGGTCGAGCCTCGCCCGGAGGGCCGGCCTCGCCCGACGCCGGCGAGGTCGAGCCTCGCCGGTTGCGTGGCGAGGCCGAGCCCTTGCCGGCGTCGGGCGAGGCCGGCCTCGCCCGCCCCAGCGAGGGCCGGCCTCGCCCGATGCCGGCGAGGTCGAGCCTCGCCGGTTGCAGGCGAGGCCGAGCCTCGCCTCGCCGGCGTCGGGCGAGGCCGGCCTAGCCCGGCCCTGGCGAGGGCCGCCCTCGCCCGACGCCGGCGAGGGCCCCCTCGCCCGACGCCGGCGACCTTCGCGCCGGCCCCGGCCATGGCCGGCAGGCGACTGCGGAAGAAGAAAATAAAATAAAATATAAATTATAATTTTAAAAAACAGAAACAAGGAAAAAAGACAAAAGAGAAAAAGGAAAAACAGAAAAGGAAAAGGAAAAGAAAAAGAAGAAAAACAGAAAAGGAAAAACAGAAATGAAAATAAAAAAAATTAAAAAAATACTATTCTTGTGATAGAACATTATTCAATATAAATTGTGATTAAAATGTAAATTGTACTCAAATTTGGGAACAAAAAGACAAGAGAGAAAGAGAGGGCTTCAACTTAATAAATTATCATTAAGCACATTACAATTCGTTACAACGATCTTAAAAAAAAAGGAGTACAATATATATACCCTAAAATTATCCCAAAACCTAAGCATTCCGTGCGCAGGGGACCAGAGGTCACATATCGTCGGATTATATTTCGGTTTCCCTAAGCTCACGTGGGCGTACCCGGTATGAGAAACAAGAGTTCCCGAAATATTTGCCAACTCCAATAGTTCTTTTACCCTCAATCGTCACTACCGTTCCAATACCGATAGTGGTAGCGGTAGTATCTCCGTCGTTAAAGAATTCGGATTCATTATTCCAATCTATCTCTTGTTGCCGGTA